CTAATTGCGTTAATAGATAGCATAAATCCAATCAATGATATAAAGTATATTGATAGGCGCTATAATCTCTTCGCACCGCAGATGACTCGGTAAGTCCCCGTTTTTGAGAGGGAATCGCTGTGCCCAGCTCACCCCAGCACTACAAGCACAACCGTTTGCAGCAATTACGAGGGTTTTGTTTTACGGCCCAAACCAACAGTATTTCGAAGGCGGCCGATCGGTTGTTTCTGAGTCAGCCCTCGGTTTCGCTGCAGATTCAGGCTCTGGAGCGCGAGCTGAAAACCACGCTTTTCGAACGGCGGGGACCCAAGATTTCGCTCACGCCCGATGGCAAAATCTTGTACGAGATGGCGGCCTCGCTGGTCGATGCGATGGACGGACTGCCCGAGCAGTTTGCCGCGAAACGGCACGGCGTGGCCCCCGGTAAGCTGGACATCGCTGCCGGCGAGTCGACCATTCTTTACATCTTGCCCGACTTCGTGAAGAAGTTTGTCGCCGATCATCCGAACATCGATGTCAAGCTGCACAACGTTACCGGGCGCGATAGCCTCGAGATGCTGCGGGCCGACGAAGTCGACTTCTCGGTCGGATCGATGATCGACGTTCCGCCGGATGTCGATTACCGTCCGACGTTTTCATACAACCCCGTGCTGATCACCCCGCTGGATCATCCGCTGACGACGAAGAAACGGGTGACGATCAAGGATGTGGCCCAATACGGACTGATCTTACCTCCGCGGCACCTGACCACCTGGCGTGTGATTGACCTGGTGTTTGAGCAAGCCGGACTGAACTACAAAGTCACGCTTGAAGCAGGCGGCTGGGAGGTGATTAAGAAATACGTCGAGATGGGGATGGGCATTTCGATCGTCACCAGTGTTTGCCTGACTGGCGAAGAGAAGCTGCAGCAGATTCCGCTGGGGAAGTACTTTCCCAAGCGAACTTATGGCGCAGTGCTACGACGCGGGAAGTATCTTTCGATTCAAGCCAAGCGGTTCCTGGAACTCATGGAACCGAAGAAACGCCGCGGAAGAACGACGGCATCAAGCTAACGTGGGAGTTCCCAAGAGTGGATCTTCCATGTCGTCCCGTCTTGATAGACGAGCACCTGAATGTCGTCCCCGGCAGAAGTCCGCATCAACACGTTCAACGTGTTGCGAAGCTGACGGATGTCGCGAATCACGGCCCCATCGAACGTCGCCCGAATGCTTTCGATCGCAGATTCGGTCAGCTCCCCATCGCGGAAGCGGCGGGCGTAACCGAAGGGCCGACTGGTGATCAGGCCCTGGGCCGTGGCGATATCGTTTAGGCTTAGCGCTGCTTGGAATGTTTCGATAAGCGCCTGCGGGCTCGACTGATCCACTTCAACTTTTTTCGGAGCCGGCGGTGCAGGTTCGTTCTTAGGAGCCTCGGGCGGAGGCATGGGCTCTGCGGTGGCTTCTTCAGCAGATGTCGTTGAGCTAGCCGCTTCTGCTGGGTCGCTTTCTACGGGAGCCTCCGCAGGATTCTCCTCTGCCGGTGCTGCTTCAGCGGGTGTGGCTTTCGCCTGCAGTGATTCCAATTCGGCCTTGAAGGGTGACTCGGCTTTAGGGTCTTTCCACATGCCTCGTCCCGCGGCCCGAGCACGTTCTTGAGCCTGCAACAAACCGTCGTCTTGAACTGATGTGGGGTCGTACCATGCCCACCCAGAGTCGACCATGGCTTCGTTGACCTCGGTTCCGTTGCTGTAGACCCAACCCACCAAACCTCTGCGAGCTTCGGCGATGGCTTGGATGTGCGCTTCTTCCCCGAGATGACTGCGAATCTGAGCAAGGGCTTCAAGTCGACTCGATCCGGTAGCTGGAGCAGATACTCCGGCTAGATGAATCTGGAACTTCTTGCCTTCCGAACTCTTAAACGCGAACTCCGAACCCGATTTGACGTGACCAACATCACCATCGAGAGCCTCGATCACATTGTCGCGTTTGATTGGTTCTTTCGAAGCCGGAGGTGGTTCCTCAGCTGGTGGCTCTTCGGCGGGAGCAGATTCTGGAGCGGGTACTTCAGCGGGAGACTGGCCTGCCGGAGGTGAGGCAGGTTCGCTGGGGGTCGATTCTGGAGTTGGCGGTGTAGCGGGTTCTGGAACCTCGGGCTTGTTCCTCTCGTTGAGCGCTACAATCGCGGGCGCCGTTTGAAGATCCGGCACGGTGGTCGGAGGCTCCGGTTCCGGCTCTGAATTGGTGGCGATGCTGGACGTATCGATGACCGGCTGGGAATGGTCCGGACTTGGAATGAGCATCAAAACGACAACGCCCAGAAACACCACACCCGTGGCGACCGACCCGGCAATTTTGGGACAGACGTAGGTTGTGGGCGCAACGCCCAACTGGCTGGTCGCTCTTGAAATATCTGATGAGCCCATGTTCGTCAGACTTTCGGTTCGTACCCCTAGGTTTCTGCGGATGGCGCCGCGGGCCGCAGAAAGAGTTGCTCAAGCCCCAGATCCATTATAGGTATTCGGTCCTTAAGTGCATCGTAAAGTGCTGTGATTTTGCAGGTTTTGGCGCCGGAATGGCCGCCATTTTGCGGACCAGCCAGTCCGCCTTAGCGAGCCAGTTCCTCGAGGATGCAGTCCCCCATTTCGACGGTGGACAGTTTGCCACCTAGATCGGCGGTGGCAGCACCCGAGGACAATACACCGGCCACAGCGCTGCGCACGGCTTCGCCTGCGGTTGGTTGCTCTAACCAATCGAGCATCATCGCGGCGCTGAGGATCGCGGCGATCGGGTTGGCAAGGCCCTTGCCAGCGATGTCGGGCGCCGAGCCATGCACCGGCTCGAACATCGAAGGGAACTTGCGTTCAGGGTTAGTGTTGGTGCTGGGGGCCAGTCCGAGTCCGCCGCCGATTACACCACCCAGGTCGGTCAGCAGGTCGCCGAAGAGGTTGGAAGCCACCACCACGTCGAAGTGCTCGGGACAGCGGACGAAGTTCATTGCGGCGGCGTCGCAGTGCTGCTTGTCGGCTTTCACATCTGGGTAATCGCCACGCATCTCCTCCAAAATCTCGTCCCAGAGAACATAGGCATAACCCAAGGCGTTCGACTTGGTGATCATGGTGAGCCGGTTACTGCGTTTTTTGGCCATATCGAAGCCGAAGCGGAGAATCCGCTCGATTCCGCGGCGTGTGTGAATGGCCGACTGCAGGGCAAACTCCTCGGGCTGGCCCACCTTGAAGCGACTGCCCGAGTTGACGTACTCACCTTCGGAATTTTCACGGATGACCATCATGTCGATGTCTTCTGGGGTCTTGCCGCTTAAGGGGCCGTTCACGCCGGGGTAGAGCTTCGCAGGTCGCATGCAGGCGTATTGATCGAATGACTGACGGATCTTTACCAGCGGCTCGAGCGTGACATGATCGGGCAGCTTTGCGGGCCAGCCGATAGCCCCCAGAAAGATGGCGTCGAACGGCTTGAGGATGTCGAGGAAATCCTCAGGCATCACTCGACCGGTCTTTTCGTGGTAGTCGGCGCCCCAGGGAAATTCGGTCATCTCCAGTTTGAAGTCGCCTTGCTTCTCGGCCACAGCATTCAGCACGCGAACAGCCTGATCGGTAACCTCGGGCCCGATTCCGTCACCTGGATAAAGTGCAACCTGGTAGCTTTTCATTCGATTCCTCAATTGCGGCTGGCCGTCTCTTCAAAGCGAAAGGCCAAATTGTAAATCCTTCAACGTGGGAGACCAGAGTGATAGCAATCGCGGAGCCAATTGTCGACCAGGCGGACCACAAGAAACCGTGTTCTATCAAGGATTTGCGATGCAAACTGGCGGAAAGGGCCGCCGAATTTCCGGAGATTGGCATGCCCCATGCAATAATGCTCGATCGACTTGGGTAGGCCCATTTGGCAGCAGTCGGACCCGCACTCCGCCTGCTGCCGAAAGTACAAAGCGCTCTCGGGCAGCGCACCGTGAATCTTAGTCGCAGCGTCGCCTTGAAAAGCCGCGACTGAAGCCCGTCTCGGGCACAGCGCCAGTTTTCACGGAAACAAGAGGGTCCGCTTGGCAGTTCCTCCGAAGCCAGGCGGACCCTTTTCCTTTTGTTGCCCGTGACCACGTCGATTGGGTCATGACGGGCAGCAGTTTGCGGCGTGCTTCACTCTTCATCGACGCTTCCATTGTGGCTTCAAACAACACGTTGAGCGCTCGGCATCATCCTCACCCGCTATCAGCGGTACTTGTTTTGAAGTGCCGAAATTCGCTATACTCCGCGCGCAACGGCCCTCGGCTCACGCGAGTCGATTAGGCGGTGACCGTCGCTCGAACAACCGAATGCTGGGCTTCGTCGCAAACGGGGGGCAATCAACTGCCCCAAAGGGGAAGCCGATCGCGTTCTGGGTAGAGTTGGCAGTACAGGCAAGCCTCCTTGGTTCGTCGGTTCGGCCAGTCACGCCCTGGAAGGTGAGCCGGCCAACCGTGGAAAGCGGCCGTTTGAGCCACTGCCCGGTATCTGTCTACAAAAGGAGTGGGATGGATGGCGACTGCGACATCTGACACCTGTTGCGTTCAGCAAATCGGCGAGACCGCCGGCGACATCTGGAAAGCCCTGTCGCTCAAAGGCCCCCTCAGCCTGGCCAAACTGGCCAAGGAAGTGAACGCTCCTCGCGACCTGGTCATGCAGGGCGTTGGCTGGTTGGCCCGCGAAGATAAGGTCACCATCGACGAAGAGTCCCGCACCCGGGTCGTGTCGCTGAAGTAACCGCCACGCCCAGACCAGCGGCGACATCTCGCTTCTGTTCGAAACGGCCGACTCTGCATTCCCGGCTTTCCCCGTGACGGCAACCGCCACGGTTGTGCTACGGTTCCACCGGTGCCAAGATGGGAACTCCTGGTCGAGGCTCGGAGAGTAATCTCTGCCGACTCCCAGGGTTTTGCATCCATGGCTTTTGGGGGGATCCACCGTGTTCTTACGTCGTACGACATCTTCAGCGCTCGCTGCCTGTCTATTTCTAGTTTCGACATCCGCGATGGCTGCCTCGCCCGAGGTATTCGAACTGTGGCCCGATGGGGCCCCCGGGGCGAAGGGTTCGGCCGAGCACGACGTCCCTACGCTTTCCGTCTATCGTGCCGCTGAGGCGGGCGAGGATGAGACAGTGGTGGTCGTTTGCCCCGGTGGCGGATATGGTCACCTGGCGGTCGATCACGAGGGGCAGCAAATCGCCGAGTGGTTGAACGCGAACAACATCACTGCCGCGGTGTTGCGGTATCGCCATGCTCCGCACTATCAGCACCCTGCCCCGCTGAACGACGTTCAACGGGCTTTGCGGTTGGTTCGTTCGCCCGAGTCGCCGCTGAAGCTGGGCGCCAAGAATGTCGGCATCATCGGCTTCTCCGCCGGTGGGCACTTGGCCTCGACCGCGGGAACGCACTTCGACGCCGGGGATTCGAGTGCCACCGACCCGGTGAGCCGCGCCAGCTCGCGACCCGACTTCATGATGCTGGTGTACCCCGTGATTTCGTTCACCACCGAGTTCACCCATAAGGGATCGCGCCGCAACCTGCTGGGTGACAACCCTTCAGAGGAACTGCAAAACTCGCTTTCTAACGAGACGCAGGTGACGAAAGAGACACCGCCTACGTTCCTGGTGCATACGACCACCGATCGGGGTGTACCGCCGGAGAATAGCGTCTTGTTCTACGGGGCCCTCCGTCGCAACGATGTGCCGGCCGAGCTGCACATCTTCGCCGAAGGCCCGCATGGGTTTGGGCTGGGCAAGGATGATCCGATTCTCTCCACCTGGCCTAAGCTGGCCGTGCAGTGGATCGACCGGATGGGCTTTGTGCCTGCGGCTGATAAGACTGCCAAGAAGTCTGACAAGTAGCGGTCGGGGAAGACGCATGCATCCGTTCGATCGCCGGCAGTTCCTCCGGCGCAGTGCTGTTAGTGTCGCCGGGCTTGGTTCGCTGGGAATTCTCCCCGGCTGCGGGCAGCGCGGGGAAACGCCTGCGAGTTCCTCCGAAGTGGACACCGGCCCCCTGCTGACGCCGCGCGTTCCGGGCTCAATCCGTCAGGCGAGTCGTGAGGAAGTTGATCTTGAACTGCAGGTGATTGCGGGCAAGCTGCCCGAGGGGTTGCGGGGGCACGTCTTCAGTGTGGCGGCGTTGCCCGACGATCGCGACGGGTATGTGTTCAACGGCGACGGCATGCTGTACCGCATCGACTTCACCGGCGACACGGTTCTTCTCAAATCGCGTATCGCGAGAACGCCCAGCTACTTTGCCGACCAGGCGACCGTGGGAACCGAAGACGAATTCCTCGACGCGGGGGTGCTCCGGCTTTCGCCCACGCTGGGTGCGCAGGAACAGGCGAACCATGCGATTGTCCCCTTCGGCGATGCGCTGCTGGTGACCACCGACACGGGCCGGCCTTATGTGCTCGACCCTGCCAGCCTGGAACTTCGCAATCCGTTGGGTACGAACGCCGAGTGGAAGTCTGCCCTGGGCGAACCGCTTATCTCGGGCCCCTTCCCTGCGATTCTGACCGCGGCTCATCCGTACTTCGACGCCAACACCGAAGAACTGTTCGGCATCAACTACGCACCGCCGCTTCCTGCCAGCGAGCCGTTTACCGATCTGCTGCGATGGCAGGCTGGCGGGACCGTGCAGCGGTGGAAGCTGGTCGATGCGGATGGCAACCCGGTGTTGATCAAACAGTCGGCCCATCAGGTGGCTGCCACCCGCGACTTTGTGTTGGTGGCCGACACTGCGTTTCGGTTTGGTGGCGAAGAAGATTTGGTCGAACGTCGCACGACCCCGCAGGCGCCCGACACACCGGTCTACATCATTCGTCGCGATGCGATGACCGACGATGTGAACGAAGTGGCGGTGCAGCGGGGGGGCATCCCGCGCGAGATTTTTCATTTCCTTGTCGATTACGAAAACCCGAAGGGGCAAATCACGCTGCACGCCGCACACGCTGCTGCTTGGGACTTTTCAGATGGGCTGCGGGCCGACGATCGTTTGGGCACCGTGCGACAGCCGGTGCGGCGGGGGCTGCGGGGGATGCCATCGACGCCTACGGATATCGGAGTACTCGGACGGCACACCATCGATACCGGCACTGGCGAGGTGGTTGAGTCGGATTTGCTGCAAGACCCCGAGTTCACTTGGGGAGCCGCGCTCTTCACGCTGCCGTACGAGCAGATCCCAGAGCATGTCGAATCGATCTTCTGGTTGTCGTTTGGTTTCTCGGAAGAGATGCTTTCGTGGCGCACCGCGCGGGCTTACGAAAACTACGAGCACCGCCAAATCGACTACAGCAAGTTGCCCATTCTGGGGCGACCTTCGGCGCTGTTCCGGCTCGATGTTCCTTCGATGCAAATCGCCGACGGTTACCAATTCCCCCCGGGCCGTTTCGCCACCGCACCGCAGTTTCTCCCGCGAACTGATGAGCCGACGGCCGACGCCACATCCGGCTACATCCTGTGCGCGGTCATCTCCGACGACGCGAGCACCGAGGGTTCCTCCGGCGACGAGTTGTGGATCTTCGACGCTGAAAACCTCAAGCTCGGCCCGCTCTGCCGCCTCGGCCACCCAAAGCTCGATATTGCCTTCCTGCAGCACAGTGTATGGGTTCCGGTGTTGAAGGAACCTGCAGAAGTGGCGAGTGTGTCGGTGCGAGAGGATTTCGAGCCGCGGCTGGAAGGTCAACCGGAAGAGGTGAAGCGGTTGTTTGAGGAGAAGGTGTTTCCGGAGTTTGAGAAGTAGGTTGGGCACCCGGGCGTGATACAAGTCCGTGAATCTAGATATTTCTGAGGTATGACTGGCTGATTACGGCACTGATCATTTGTCACCATTCAAGGACGAATATCATGTACTCAAGCGCAAAAGCATTCGGCGGAATTTTGTTACTGAGCCTCGGAGTGCTGTTCGTCCCGCACCAGTGTTTGGGCGGCGAAGCAATCAGTCGAAGCCCCGAGGAGGACTTACAAGCTCTGAAGAGAGCACGTGTCCTCGTTCAGCAACGCGATGTAATTGTACATGATCTCTTCGAAGCCTTTAGGCGAGACAGTTCCGGAAGAGGATTGGCCGGCCTTGCAAGAATCGAGGCGGCTCAAACCCTCGCTGAACTTGGCGAAGTGCGAATCATTCGCCTCTTGATCGAAGAGGTTACTTATCGAAAAGGACATGTGACTCTCGAAGTGCAAGGCTTTCTGGGACGTTACCCAATGGCGCTCGTCTTGATGCATGAAAACCTGCGACACTGTACCCCGCACAGAATTGTGCAATACCTTGGCGGCACGCGCTCAAACAGAATTAATCAGGAAGCTATCGACGTTTTATCGCACTTTATGTTGGAGTGTTTTTCGGAAGATGATGGTGGTTCGGAGCTGGCGTTCCATTTAGTTCGAAGAGCACTGGAAAGCCCGAATACATTGAACGCCGAGCGTTTGAAGGCTCTTGAAGACGGGATGAAACGCATCTGCAGCGATCGATACTAGGTGGTTGTCAGGCACGGGGGTGCCTGACCTACGGATTGGGGTGCGAAATTTATCTGGTTGTTGTCTAATGTTTGGTAACCAGGATGTTCGCGATCGCTAATGGAGAGTCCGGATGACTGCCCCCACTTCGAATGATATTTCTCAATGGACGACCGACCTGACGCATGGAGATGCGGAGGTGCGGGCGAATGCGGCGGAGCGGCTTGCGCGGCATCCGGCGGAGGCGGCGTCGGCTGCGGTGGCGTTGGTGCAGGCGGCCGGGGATGAGGATGAAGTTGCGCGGGAGTGGGTTGTTGCGGCGCTCGAAGAGTTGGGACCGGCGGCCGTCGAACAGCGTGATGAGTTGGCCGCACTGACGGGGCACGCCCAGGCCGACGTGGCTTATTGGGCCGTAACGTTGTTGGGGCGATTGGGAGAGGCGGCCGCGCCGACCGTTGAACGGCTGACCAAGGGGCTTGAACAATCGACCGCCAACAATGTCCGGGAACGCATCGCCTGGGCACTAGGGCAAATCGGCCCACAAGCCGCCGCAGCGTTGCCGACGCTCAAACAATTAAGCAGCAGCGACAATCCCCGTTTGGCCCGGATGGCGTCGAAGGCGATTCAGTTGATCGAGCAATGATGCTTGGCTAGATGCGAATTCCCTTGGGTGGCCCAGCCGCGTCGGCTGGGTCGACGAAGTCGACAGGATACCCCGGGCAGAAGTTCGCCCATCCCAGGCATGCTAGATCGAAGCAGACCCCGAAGGGGTCATACAACAAAGCCCAGGGTAAGTGGTGCGTCACCCTGGGTGGGATTGCGGTTCTTCATCATCAACCCTGACAGGGTTGTATAACACCGCGAGAGTCGAACCAGTCGAACCCTTTCAGGGTTCACGCCGTGTGTTCCAACTACTTACTTACCCAGAGTGTCGCGGCTGGGCCGCTTACCCTGGGCTGGGTTGTTGAACCGCATTGCGGTTCTGTGGTGGTGGGATTTTTTCCGGTGAGAAGAACTCTACTCAAGATATCTTGTCGACTTCTTCGATCCAGCCGGCGCGAGCGGCTGGACCACTCGGTGGTGAGCGTCGCTCGTTGATTCCGCCTCGCTATTTCAACCGCGATAAGAACTCCACCAGGTCGCGGATTTGGAACTTGGAAAGTTGTTGCTTGATGGTCTCGGGCATGGCCGAGGCGCCGCTTTGGCGTTCTTCGATGGTGGACTTGTCGATGGTGACGCTGAGACCTTCGGGGGTCATTAGCTGAAGTTCTTCGTTGGTTTCTTCTTTGAGCACGCCAACGTGAAATTGCCCGTCGTCGGTGAGGAGGACGACGGTTTCGAAACCTTTGGCGATCTTGCTGTTGGGGGCCACGATGGCTTCGAGCAGATACTTACGGTCTTGCTTGCCGATTCCTGCTAGCGAGGGCCCGACGGTTCCGCCGCCGGTGACGAGGCCCGCCCCTGGAATGTCGTGACAACGCAGGCAAGAGACGGAGGCCTCCTCGAGAAAAATCTTTCGGCCTAAGAAACTCATCCCGCCGTACAGGGTCTCGGTGTACTCCGACGTGGGGTCGGAAGGGTCGCGGGTGGCTTCGAATTGGGTCAGGCGGTCTTGAATTTCGGCCGCATCGCGGGGGCCGGCTGCGGTGAGCAGTTCGAGGTGCAACTCAGGCGGCACATCGCCGGCGAGCAAACGGTCAAGCCACTGGACGAACAGTGCGTCGACTTCCGGGCCCTGCATTTGCCCCAGTGTCATCAGCGAGGCCTGCTTCTCGCGGATATCGCCCTTGTCTAGCACCTCGGTCAGCACCGGCAGGGCATCATCGGGATTGATCTTCGCCAGCAAGCGGCGGCCTGCACTGCGGAGGGCCGACTCTTTTGAATCGACTGCCGCCAACACAGCATCGTCGAGTTGAGCGGACTGGATCGCTTCGAGAGCGAGCAGAGCTTCAACCCGAACATCCTTTTCTTCGTCGTCATCCTGCACCAGCTTGGCCAGTTTGTCTTCGGCGGGCGAGAGCTTCAGGGCCCCGGCGAGCGAAGCGGCGGCCTGGCGAACATCTTCGTTCTTGGCACTGAGTAGTTGATCGATGGCTGGCGACACGACCGTGACCGCTTCGTTTGAGTCGCGGGGATCTACTGGCCGCCACAAGCCAACCACGCGGTCAAGTGAACCGGGGGTAGCCCACTGGGCCAGGCACTTGAGGGCCTCTTCGCGAAGTTCGGCGGGGGCCGATTCGTTTAAGGCGTATTCAACTAATGCCTCCGCGTGATCCGCCCCGCCCTGTCGGAAGTTGGCATTCAACACACGTCGCATCAGCATCTCGTCGTCGACCGGCGATTCGATCAGTGCGGCCAACTGCGGCATCGCGTCCGCAATCGGCACATCGTTGATCGCCCGGGCGGCTTCGATCACCAGCGTGGGGTCGCTGTCTTGCAGGAATTCTGCCACCGCGGGGCTCTCATGCCTGCGGAGGGCGAGCAGCACGCCCATCTGCACGGCGGGAGATTCGTGAGCGATGTGTTGGGTCAGCTCCTCGGCAGAAGCACAGCCGTAAAGGCCCATTACGGCCGCGTGACGAAGGTAGGGATCGGCTTCTTGAGTGGCCTCGAGCATGGCCAGCAGTGGTTCGACTGCTTGCGGATTGCCGAGGTTACCCAAGGCGATGGCGGCGAAGAACCGCACGCGAGGCTCTTGATCGCCAAGCCGGCCGATTAGCGCGTGCAACGAAGTGTCGCTCGGAGTGTCGCCCAGCACTTTTGCCGCCTGGGCTCGCACTTCCGGCTGCGGGTCGGAAAGTAGTTCGATAAGTAGCGGTTGCGGGCGCCCGTTGCGTCGGGCGATTTGCCCCAGGCCCCAAATGCCGTGCAGCCGAGCCAGCAAGTTTTCAGACGAGCGAGCGGACTTTTCCAGCAATGCTTCGCCCTCGGCGCCACGCTCGACCAACGCGAACTGTGCTTCCTGACGAACTCGCTGATCTGGGTAGGCGAGAAACCGCGTGAGCGAATCGCTGGGACGATGCTGCATCCCCTCACTGAGCAGCCGCTGAACTTGTTTCACCTGGCGGGAGTCGGTGGTGCCGGGGAAGTCGACGCGGTAGATCCGCCCCTTGCCGGGCTTCTGCCAACCTTCGACCCAGTCTGTTACGTACATGGCTCCGTCGGGGCCGAAGTCGACATCGGTGGCCAGCACCGACCAGAGGAACTTCTCTTCGTCGACGAGTTCGAACGACGCCCCCTGCGGCTTCACGGCGAAGCTGCGAATACCGCTGAGATGCTGCGTGCCGCGGAAGTCGCACAGGAAGAAATGCCCTCGATAATTCGCAGGCAAGCCGGTGCCGGGGTCGTGCGTGAGGCCCGAGGGACCATCGGCCAGGTTCGCAATCGGCGGCACAATGTACGCGGCCTGGCCTGCGAAGTGCGGGTGCCACAGCTTCTCGGCGTTCCAGGGGCCACGAGGGACCCAACCTTGCAGGAACTGGTAACCGATTCGCCAGCCACTGTCGCCACCTTCGACCACGTACACCCAACGGGCTTTGTCCCCGCCGTCGGAGTTGTTGTCGCCGGTGAACAGGTTGCCGTACTCGTCGAACGCCAGCTCTTGCGGGTTGCGCAATCCGTAGGCGAACACTTCGAGTTCCGAGCCATCGGGATTGCACCGCAGCACCGAACCGGTGTCGGGCATGGCCAGGGTTCCGTCTTCGGTTTCGAGGTGAAACCCGCGGTCGCCGATGCTGAAGTAGAGCCGACCATCGGGGCCCATCCGCAGGCCATGGAGGTCGTGACCGAGGAATCCGACGTGCACGCCGAAGCCGTTGTGGAGTGATTCTCGTTCGTCGGCCACACCGTCGTCGTTGGTATCTCGCAACAGCCAGAGATCGGGGATGCAGGTGAACCAGACGTTGCCATCGCGGGCGAGCAGCCCTGCCCCGATACCGTCGGGGATATTGCTGAACCCGTCGGCGAAGACGGTGGCTCGATCGGCGATGCCGTCGCCGTTGGTATCGACGATCATGCGGACACGATCGTGCTCGGTGGCGTAGGAGGTGATCTGTTCGCCCAGATGTTTGCGGAACATGGCGATGCGATCTTCGACCGTGCGACAGGCGAGGTCATCTTCGTACCAGTACATGTGACTGCGGGTGTCGGTAACCCCGGCGGAGTGGCGAAAGGTTTCGGCCACGTAGAACCGCCCCTGGTCGTCGGTGCAAAACGCCACGGGGTTGGCCAGCATGGGCTCGGCGGCAAACAGCGAAACGCGAGCGCCCTCGGGAACTTCGAACCGCTGAATCGCCTGATCGCCTTCTTCTGACGCGGGCGAAACCAAGGGGGCGTAGTCTGAGTCGCCGGCGGGGGCATCTTCAGCCTGTGCGAGCTGCGCAAATAGAATTGCGGTGAAAAGTGCGAGCGCGAACATCAAGCGACCCATGCCCAGAATTCGACGTGCGGGCATCCCGAACACCAGCCGTTGGCTCCACAGATTCACCGGTGTGCGTCTCCTCGATTGATGGAATGGGAAGATGTGGTGATCTAAATCGAACGTGGGCCGTGTCGACGGAAGGATCGTCGGCACGGCCCACGCGTTTTCGTTGCGTTTGATGCCCGGCTTGCGCCGGAGCTGCGATCAACCTTCGGCGTTCAGTTTAACCGAAGGATCGTCGGCCACGTTGACCCACACGTGCACGTGCGGGGCACCGCGATAGTGCCACACGAACGACGGGCCCTCGAGCCGCCAGTTGTCCCACACGCCGTCGTCGCCGATGTCGTTCTTCGAGTAGAACGCAAGCTTGCAGGCATCCAACCCGCCTTGGGCTTTCAGGCAGGCCACCACTTCGTCCTGATCGCTTTGGCGGTAGGGCTCGATCAGCATCTGCAGCACGTGTTGAGCGTGTTGCTTCTGATCGCTGGAAAGTTCGCTGATGGGGATACCAGCGATGTCGGCCGATGGTCCGCGGAAGGCGACTTGGTCTTCGTGCGGAAGTTGCTTGACCAGGGCCAGCTTTCGCTGCTTGCCGTCGAGCATCTCGAAGAGCTTGTTGGCTTCGAGCGCTTGCGACCAGAACACATTGCCGGGGTGGTCGGCCTCTTCGTTAAAATCTTGGGCCGCGTGACCGTAGAAGATGGGTCCCCCGAACGCAACGTGCTCGGTCGAGTTACCATCGCAACGCACGGTCATGTGGCGACCGGTCATGACGAACTCGAACTGGTCGGAGTTGGGGTCGCCGAAGATGGCGATCGATTGACCCTCACCCCAACCGCCGGCGTCGTCGTGCAGTTGCTTGTCGATGCGGGCGTGCCACTCGGGGTTGTAAATGCCTTCGAAGATCTCGCGAATCAGCGTTCGCTGTTCGTCGTTGAAGAACTTCTTGTTTACTTCTTCGTTGGTGATATTCCAGTTATTCGACACGCGGGTGCGAAGCAGACCGCGCTCGGGATCGATGTAATCCCAGGCGAAACAAATCTTTTCGCGTTGCTCGTCGGACAGCACGTTGTAAAGCTTCTTCACGGTCGATTCGGGATCGGCCGAAGTGTCCTTGGCCTGGGCCCAATTCGGCACGGCACCAAAGGCGGCCACGGCACCAGCAGCGCCGGCGGTTTTGAGGAACTCGCGGCGGTTCCAATCGATGTGACTAGTGGCGTCGGCCAAGCCGCGCTTCTTGGATTGATCGGTCACGGCGTCATCTCCTTGATTCGGGTTCCGAGTAGCTCGACGGCAGGGTGCCGACTCGCCCCCCACTGAAGTTGTTATTAGACTCGCCCACGGCGGCGTCTGCAAATGAAACGCCACCTGCCGCCCAGGGTTTCGCCGAGATGATCTAAGAGGCTCGGGCCGGCTTCACGGATCGACGCCGACGGGGTTGGCAACGGGCGCAGAAGAACGTCGAGCGTTGGGCCTGCACGATTCGCTGAATCTCCTGGCCGCAACCTACGCAGGGCTTTCCCGCGCGGGCGTAAACCAGGTGCTTGTTCTGATAGCTCCCGGCCTTGTTCAACGCGTTGCGGTACGTGCCGTCGCCCAGGGTCGAGCCTTCGTAGCGGATGGCTTTGTGCAGCACGTCCAACATCGCGGCATGCAGTGCGTCCCACTCGTCATCGCGTAGCGAACTGCACAACCGCTCGGGATGGATCTGCGACTGGAACAGGATCTCGGCTGCATATAGGTTGCCGATGCCGGCGATGGCTTTTTGATCGAGCAGCGCGACTTTGATTGCGCGACGGCTTTCTGCGAGGCGGGATTGCATCGCTTCGCTGGAGATTGCTAAGGCGTCGGGCCCTAACACATGCGGGCCGAGCCGTTCAGCGAACTCCTCCGGCGAGAGCAAGCGAACGGAGCCGAGACCGCGGCGATCCCAGTAGAACAACTCTTCGACTTGGCCACCTTCGAAGGCGATGCGGAACCGGAGGTGGGTGCGATTGGGTGGATCGGCCACCAACACGAGCCCGGCCATGCGGGGCTCGATGATGATCCGCTCGTCGTCTTCGAGCCGGAGCACGACCCGTTTTCCGTGCCGATCGACGCTGGCGACCTGCTTGCCCACCACTCGCTTTCGCATGCTGGGCAGAGCAGGCTCGACCTCGATGGGCCGCAACCGGCAGCGAACGCGGGCGATTTCGCGGATGCGGCTGCCCTTCACGCCCGCAATTCCGCGTCGCATCGTCTCGACTTCGGGCAACTCGGGCATAGGAAATTCGGTACGGCAGTTCGCGAACTTGGCAACACGCTAGGGTGTCAGGGATTCTATGGCTCCTTAGGCTCGCATCGCAAGCGGCCGCGGGAATGCATCTCTCTGGGATGTGACCCTTGACCCACCGTGAAATGCGTCTGACAATCGAAGATTCGCCCCCGGCCGGTGGAGGCCTACGGGCGATTCGAATTCCAGAATAAACGGGGGAACCCGCGTCCAGCGGTTTCGATTGATGAGCACCCCAACGCCCGCATCCTTACCCGATGAAGCCGGTCGTTTTGGCGAGTTCGGGGGACGGTACGTTCCCGAAACGCTGACCAAGGCGCTGAACGAGCTGACCGAAGAGTATCGCCGTGCCCAGGCCGATCCGGCGTTTCAGACGCAACTGGCCGACTTGTTGAAGCATTACGTTGGCCGCCCTTCGCCGCTTTATCACGCCGAGGGACTCAGCAAACATGTGGGCGGTGCGCAGATCTATCTCAAGCGAGAAGACCTGAATCACACCGGTGCTCACAAGATCAACAACACCATCGGGCAGACGTTGCTCACGCTGCGGATGGGCAAGCCACGGGTGATCGCTGAAACGGGGGCCGGCCAGCATGGCGTGGCCACCGCTACGGCCTGTGCTCGCTTCGGGCTCGATTGCGTTGTTTACATGGGTGCCGAAGATATCCGTCGGCAAAAGTCGAACGTGTTCAACATGCGGCTGATGGGGGCCGAAGTGCGGGCGGTGGAAACCGGCTCTCGCACGCTTCGCGATGCCATCAACGAGGCCATGCGAGACTGGATGACCTCAGTCGAGACCACGCATTACATTCTCGGCTCGGTGGTGGGCCCGCATCCGTTCCCGCTGATCGTTCGCGACTTTCAGTCGGTGATTGGTCGCGAGACGATCGAACAATCGAAACTGCAACTTGGCCGTCTGCCCGACTTGGTGGTGGCTTGCGTTGGGGGAGGCAGCAACGCTGCAGGGATGTTCTACCCGTTCGTCGAGCAGACCGATGTTCCGCTGCTGGGCGTTGAGGCCGGGGGAAGTTCTGACAAGCCGGGCGATCATGCTTCGCCGCTGTCGTATGGTCGGCCCGGTGTTTTGCACGGCGCACATAGCTACGTGATGCAGGACGACGAAGGCCAGACTTCCGACGTGCATTCGATCTCCGCCGGGCTCGACTATCCGGGTGTGGGACCCGAGCACAGCTACTGGAAAGACACGGGGCGGGTGAAGTACACCAGCTGCCGCGACGAAGACGCGTTGGCCGGCTTCGATTTGCTGGCCCGTACTGAGGGGATTCTGCCGGCGTTGGAATCGTCGCATGCGATCAGCCAGGGGGTTGCGGAAGCCCGAAAACGGTCTGAAAAAGATGTGGTTGTGATCTGCCTCTCTGGCCGTGGCGATAAAGACGCGAACGAAGTCGCCCGACTGCGAGGCGAATCGTTGGAGTAAATTACTGGGTGACACAGGTTCTTGAACCTGGGTCGGCGAAGCCGACAAGAGGCCCACGGGTCGCACTAATGATTAGAATCGGAAAGCCCTTCAGACAATTCGTGAGTCGCAAGGCCTCTGAATGAAACGGGGCGGTTGAGATGAATGCGAGGGCCTCCGGCGGCTTCGCCGCACCGGTTCAAGAACCGGTGGTACCCATGCTGAATCTCGATAGAGATTGAGAAGTCACTAAATACACAGGTTGAACATCGGGGACCACGGCGTCGTCTTATGTCTGCTATCGATCAACTGTTTGAAGAATTGCGGTCACGAAAGAAAAAGGCGTTCATGCCGTTTGTGACTGCGGGCGACCCTGATGTTGAATTCACTGCTGAGGTGCTGAGAGCGTTCGCCGAAAACGGGGCGAACCTGGCCGAGGTTGGCATTCCCTACAGCGACCCGATCGCAGACGGTCCGGTGATTCAAGATTCTTACACCCGTGCTCTATCGGGACACGTTACGATGGAGAACACCTTCGGCATGCTGCGGGGCGTGACGAGTGAGGTGGCCATGCCGGTGGTGACCATGGTGAGTTACGCCATCGTGTATCGTCGCGGACTGGAGGCCTACGTCGACGCCGCGGTGGCTGCCGGTGTGAGCGGTGCGATTGTGCCCGACTTGCTGGTGGAAGAGGCGGGCCCACTGGCTGAAGTTTGTCGCGAGCGGGATTTCAGTTTGATTCAACTGGTCACTCCCACCACTCCACGCGAACGGGCGAAACGGATCGCCGAGCAATCGACCGGCTTCTTGTATTGCGTGTCGGTCACGGGCATCACCGGCGAACGCACGGATCTTCCGCCGGAGTTGCTCGACAACATGCGGTGGTTGCGCGAGCAAACGTCGTTGCCGCTGTGCATCGGATTTGGCATCAGTCGGCCCGAGCATGTGAAGACGTTGGCTCCCGTGGCCGACGGTTTGATCGTGGGCTCGGCACTGGTTCGCCCCATCGGGAAGATTGCTGAAGCGGGTCGTGAGAAGGTGCTGGAGGAGATTGGCAGCACTGTTAAATCACTTACCGACGCACTGCACGATTAGCGGCAGTGGCAATTCTATGCTTTGTCTTGGCGTTGCAAATTCGCAAATCGTGCTGCTCACCAGTAGCGATCTTCGTGGCACATCTCTTGTAGTCGCAATGAGTTGCAGCTTGCCCCACCCGTTCGCACTGGGTCAATTCAATCTTGACCTCTGTCGAAAATCGTGCTTAGACTTGAATAGTGCGGCGTGAGCAGGCACAGGGTTTGCTTTCGTTATGCACCGCGTTTGAAAAGCAGATTCCCCAGGCAATACGGCAACGGCCGGCTTCCCTTCTCGGTCAACGAACCTCGCTCAACGTTGAGGCAACGCGTTGGCCACCCGCCGGCACCACCGTCGTACGCGGAGGTCCGGTTCCATGACGCATGGCAATCGTCACACTGCGCTGCATCGTTATCTCTCAGGCATTACGGAAAACACGTTTTCCGTCGACTTGGGAATGGCCGACTCTCGGTTGATCGACTACATGGTCGATTTGCTGCTGCGGTTTGTGCATAACGACGCCATCTACAGCGTTCGCAACCCGGCCGGGCGGAGGCTCGACGAAGTGGCCGACATGGTGGCCGAGGCCGAAAACCGTACCGGTAAACCACGCCGCGAAGTGCATCGCCACATCGGCGACTTCACCCTGTTCTTTTCCGGAGTCTTCCCCGAGGCCCTACGGGCGTTGCGACGCGCGGGGCGGAAGGATCACTTCGTCGATTACTGTGAACAAGGTAAACGCGCGTACTACATCGCCAGCACCATCGATGGCGACGAGAAACCCGAGGGCGACGTGCTGGCCCGACTCAGTCATCAGTTCGAGCTGTGCGCCTACGGGTTGAACCAGGTCCGCAAGCAGTGGGACTCGAGCGACGATGACCCGTTGGGGCATTTGTTGATCGACTGAACGTGTAGCGTGCGTGCTGGCACGCACGAAATGGAGCTTCTGGCGACTCTCCTCTTTCGCGATAGCGCCGAACCGCCAAGCTGCTGCGTCCACTGAGGGTGGAATCGGTGCTGGTGCTGCCTACCGTTACTATTCGTGCGTGCGAGCACGCACGCTACGGAGGCGTAGTGGGATCTAAGTGCGGCTTGCGGCTTACAGCGGTCTGGGGTTTACGCGGCCTTGTACGCGTGAGGGGAGGCCTTGGATGCGGATGAAGCCTTCGGCGTCGGTCTGGTTGTAGGAGCCGCCGCCTTCCATGCTGGCGATGCCCGCATCGTAGAGGCTGTTGGGGCTGGTGCGGGATGACACCAGAATGTTACCTTTGTACAGGTTCAACTCGACGGTGCCGTTGACGACCTTTTGGGCCTGTTGATTGAAGGCCAGTAAAGCGTCCATCTTGGCCGTGTACCAAAAGCCGTAGTAAACGTCTTCGGCCACATCGATAGAGAGCCGGTCGCGAAGGTGCGTCAGGTCGCGGTCGAGCGTGAGTTGCTCGATCAGGCGATGGGCTTCGTAGAGGACGGTCATGCCGGGGGCTTCGTACACGCCGCGGCTTTTCATGCCGACGAAGCGGTTTTCGATGATGTCGATTCGGCCGACGCCGTTGCGGCCGCCGATTTCGTTGAGCTGTTCGATGGCTTCCAGCGGCGTGCACTTCTTGCCGTTAACGCTAACCGGAACCCCGGCGGCGAAGTCGATCTTCACCTTCTCGGGCTTGTCGGGGGCTTCCTGCGGCGAGACGGTCATGCCGAAGTCAACCACTTCGTAGCCGTCGACGTCCAGCTCTTCGAGACGGCCGGCCTCGTAGCTGATGTGCAGGCAGTTCTCGTCGGAACTGTATGGCTTGGCGGTGGTGGCCTTCACCGGGATGTTCTTCTGTTCGCAGAAGGCGATCATCTCCGTGCGGCCGGGGAACAGGTTGCGGAACTTTTCGATCCGCCAGGGGGCGATCACTTTCACGTCGGGGTCGAGGGCTTCGGCCGCAAGCTGGAACCGGCATTGGTCGTTCCCCTTGCCGGTGGCTCCGTGGGCGAAGGCGTCGGCCCCCACTTCGCGGGCCACCTGCAGGCAGGCCTTGGAAATGATGGGGCGGGCGACCGAGGTGCCCAGCAGGTAGATGCCTTCGTAGCGGGCTTGCCATTGCATGACGGGGATGGCGAAGTCGCGACAGAGTTCTTCCCGCACGTCGACAATCCGCGCACTGGCGGCCCCACAATCGCGGGCCTTGGTGAGCGTGGCCTCGCGGTCTTCGCAAGGTTGACCCAAGTCGACGTACACGGCATGCACGTCGTAACCTTCGTCTTGCAGCCAGCCGAGGATGACCGAGGTATCGAGCCCGCCGGAATACGCCAACACGCAAGTTTTCTTCGCCGCCATCACGCACCACTCTCCACAACCAACCTCAGGGCATCCCGCAGACACCACGCCCGGCGGAATGCCCCAGTGAGCAAAGAGGTATTGTCGGAAGAAGCCAGTTTCCTGGCAAGGTGGTGGACGAAACTGATTGCGATTGGCCCGTGTGATCTAGTTGGTGCCGTGCAACCTCCGCCAAAGCGGAATGAAGCCGATCATGGCGATGCCGAGGAGAACCGCAGAGGAAGGCTCGGGGATGAGTGAAAATCTTCCCGTGGCCACAATCACTCCACTAAGCATTGCGTCCACCTGTACCGGGTCGGATACCAGTGCGTCGCCGAACGTGATCGGAGCGGACACCGTGATGAATCGGTCGCCATCACTGATGATTATGTCTTGTGTAACCATCCCGATTTGACCGACTGGACCCAGCTCCTCATTTATCGGATTGGTCGCGAAGTCCAGCGTAACTGAGCCGATCAAGGCGGTAAGCGCCCCGGTTCCCATGTAAGTGAATAACCCTTCGTCGAGGCTCAGTTCGGTGGGCGAGCCTGCGCTCGGATCGAATGCGTACTCGAAAGGGAGTGAGCCATTCGTTGAATTCAAGGGGATGTAGCCGTTGCTGGATAGCGAGTTGATTTCAGCCCCCGAGATTTCCGCTTCTATGCCTCCAAAGATTCCGGCTGAAATGTCGATCGTTCGATCGGAGAGGGCGATATCGGCCCCCAAGAAGGCCAGGCCTGTTGTGTCGTTAGAGCTGGGCGAAGTGAGCGCATCTTCAACTTGGATATCGAGTGTGCCGACCAAATCGAAAGGCACCGACGCGGTGATCGCACCATTTTGAATATTAAGGAACAGGTCCACCCCAGAGCCGGTTGTGAGCGTCAGTCGGGCAGAGATGGGAGCGGCATAAGATGATTTGTCAGCCCCCACGATCGCTGCCAGCGCCAAAGCGATGATCGCCGAATTTCTCATTAGCTACCCCTTTCAGAACGCTTGAAGCAAAGGCCCCACCACAGAGCACCCGACTGGCCCCAGCCGGGGAGCCTTACCCTAGCAAAGTGAGATGTTCAAAGCAAAAGAATAAAAATCGATTGGAATGGATTGGGAACCGCTAACCCTCATCTTGCGAAGGAAGATTGACTTGTGCCTACTGCGGCCGAACAAACAGGCCAGCCCTGCGGGAGGGCTGGCCTGCTGAAGCTTTTTAGGCCGCTCATATTGGCTACGATGCCTGTGCTCGGAATTTGCGCCAGAGCGGAATCAAACCGACTATCGCAATGCCCAGGAGGACAATCGACGAAGGCTCTGGGACGAAGACCCCGGTTGCTACGATGAAGCCGCTCAGGTCGGCGTCGACGTTGACCGGATCGGTAAGAAGCGTATCGGCGAATGTAATCGGAGCGGAAATGGTGATACTCACAATTCCAAAATCGCTGACCACTACGTGCTGGGTGACCAGCCCGATTTGACCGACTGGATTGAGCTCGGCTTCAACAGGATCGGATGCGAAGTCCAGCGTACCCGAGCCAAGCAACGCGCTAAGCCCACCGGTACCCAGGTAGGTGAATAACCCCTCATCGATGCTGAGCTCCGTAGGCGTGCCTCCGCCTGGATCGAATGTGTACTCGTAAGGGAGCGAGCCATTCGTCGAATTCAAGGGGATGTAGCCGTTGCTGGATAAATAGTTGATTCCAGCACCCGAGATCTCGGCTGAGATGCCCCCAAAAATACCGGCCGAAAGATCGATCGTTTGATCGGAGAGAGCTATGTTGGCTCCCGTTAAGGCCAACCCCGTGGTGTCGTTGCTGACGCTTAGTCCGAACTGCGTAAGGTGATGCTCAACCGTAATATCGAGCCATCCAGTCAGATCGAAGGGGATCGACGCCGTGATTGCACCACCAAGAATATCGATGTCTAGATTCACCCCCGAGTCGGTTGTGAGCGTCAAGGTTGTGGAGGCGGGAGCGGCGTTCGACGTCCTGTCTGCCCCCCCAAACGCTGCCATTGCCAAACAAACGATCGCTAATTTCTTCATGAGCTACCCCTTTCAAAACTCGAAAGAAAAATGCCCCCCATTGGAGAACCCCGACGACCCCACGCGGGGAGCCTCAAAATTAGCAAAGTGAGCGTCGAATAACAAAAGAAAAATTTGGAAACACTGCCCGGTCAAGCGTGCGATTGAGGGCACAGAGAGACAGGCAACGTACACCTGGCAGGTGCATGTTTTGCGGAACTGACGGCTTTGGGGCTCAGGCAACGACTCGCATGAGACGTTTCGGCGAATAGCAGGAGCGTTGCTAGAACGCAGACTTTACCGGGCCCGCCCCTTTGAGTTGCGAGGCAACACGGTGAGCAAGAATGTCGCGTCGACTTAGCAGGTATACACGTAGGGCGTTTACGCGGATAGAGGGGCCGACATAACTGACGCAGTTGATTCGCCTGCTCGTAGAATAGCGTGAGGTTTCCCATGAAGGTGGATCGGAGGCAGGACCGCAAATCGGCTTACAGAGCATTGGCACCTTGGTCGAATTAAGGACCGCGCATAAAAAAACAGGCCAGCCCTGTGGGAAGGGCTGGCCTGCGAATCATCATACTACTCGTTCAAGCGTCGAAAGCTTACTTACGGCGACGCAGAACGGGAATCAATCCAACCAGGGCGATGCCGAGCAGGACGATGGTGGAAGGTTCGGGAATGATCTCATACATACCCGTCGCAACCAGAGCACCGCTGAGGTCGGCGTCGACCGCCACCGGGTCGGTGATCAACTGATCTTGGAAAGTGATCGGAGCAGAAACGGTCACATAGACATAACCGTCGGTGACGACCACATTCTGGGTGACCTGGCCAATTTGGCCAACCGGTCCAAGTTCAGCGTTCACAGGATCGGTACCAAAGTCGAGCGTACCCGAGCCGAGCAAGGCACTCAGACCACCGGTACCCAAGTAGGTGAACAGACCTTCGTCAATGCTGAGTTCGGTCGGGGACCCTCCACCTGGATCGAAGGTGTATTCCCAGGGGTTGGCACCATTGGTCGAGTTCAGCGCGACCTGACCGTTGGTGGTCAAGACATTGATGCCAGCGCCAGTGATTTCAGCTTCGATACCACCAAAAATACCGGCGTTGAGATCGATCAGCACGTCGGCGATGGCGATGTCAGCACCCGTGAAGGCAATGCCAGTCGAATCGTTCGAAGTAGCGTTGATCAAGCGATCTTCGATCGTGGCGTCGATGGTGCCCGAGAAATCGAAGGGCACAGCAGCCGTGATGGCACCGCTCAGGATGTCCAGGTTGAGCGTGGCACCCGAGTCGGTCGTGAGGGTCAACTGGAAGTTAACAGGTGCAGCTTGGGCCGGCTGTGCGAAGCCGACAATAGCTGCAAGAGCCAAACAGGAAAGAGTTAGCTTTTTCATTAGCAGCAATTCTCCAGAAATAGAAAACAGATCTGTTATGGGTTACTCAATCGAAGCGAGAGACTCCCACCTGACTTCACTTCGATACCTACAGAACAAGAAACGATCCGATGCAGCGTCCTTCCTGCATCACTACCAAAACAGAAGAGACTCGCAGTACCTCCGTTTCGATTCTCCAGGCAGCGCCCCACCTAGCCGGTTTCGCCGAAACAGCTATTTCAGGGCACAGACTACTAGTGGCCTAACTAAATGTCAAACAAAAAAACCGCGTTTTGCTAAATTTGCGATTTTTCTTATCTGACTCCCTTGAGACCGCCGTTGTCTGTCTTGCCCTAGCCGATTCGACGTCTGCTTGCAGGTTGGGAGGGAATCCCCCCTTCTCCTGCGACTCGTAGATTATCCATGGTGGACTAATCGGTCAACAAAAAAACCAAAAAAACAGCATTTTTCTTTACAATCAGTCTCCCTCGCAGGGAGTACTCATGGAAATGCTTTTCCGGCACGGTAGCCAGGAAGCCTTCGCTCAATTTCCTGGACCAACGCACCGTTATGGGCAGCCTTCGCCATCTGCCGTGCTTCCAGTGCCGTCTGAACGGCTTCGTCGAATCTACCGGCCGCGGCGTAGGCGGCTGCGAGTGTGTCTAGGAAGGTTGCTGTTCGCCCCCCCGGCTGGTCGACGATGCGTTCGGCCAAGGTTACTGCCTCGGGGCCATTGCGTAGCTCTGCCTGAGGACTGGTAGCCAGCTCCCAAGCGAGGTTGTTCGCCACCTCAAGATCGTCGGGACGAATCTCGAGTAAATCGCGATAGATTGCGATCGCTTCGCCGTGTTGGCCTAGAAGAAGCTGTGCCCGGGCTGCGCCTTCGCGGGGCTCTCTCGCGGCTGGGGCCAGGTTCATTGCCACCTGGAAGTGCTCGAGTGCCTCTTGGGGGCGACCCGACTGGAGCAGGATGACCGCTAACTGTTGCTGTCCGACGTAATTTGCCTCGGCATTGGTCACCGCTAGGGCGTGCCTGAATAAGCGTTCGCTGCTGCTCCAATTCCCAACCTGGTGATAAGCGGTGATGCCGAGTGCAGTAATCAGAACGAGCGAGGCGACGGTGCGAGCGACCACGGGCACTCGCATTCGATCCGCCAAATCGGCAACTCCCCAGACTGCGGCGATAAAGATGCCGATCAACGGAATATAGGTGTAGCGGTCGGCCATTGCCTGCAAGCCGACTTGTACCAGACCAATCACTGGCACCAGCGTGCCGAGGTACCAGAACCAACCGACAAAGAGGTAGGGCAAGCGCCTGAAGGCCAGGATGGCGACAACAGATATCGCCAGCAGGGTGAGAAATGCGGCAAGTACAAGCCCCCAGGGGGGAGACTCCAGTGGATGAGGGTAGAACACTGACAGGTTCAGCGGCCAAAGGGTTTTCCCGAGATAAGCGACGGCCGAGACCATCGCATTGGCGACTCGATCTGTGAAATCGATTCGGCTCCCCATGGTCATGGCTCCTCCGGCACGCTGCACGAAGAACGTGACCAGGCAGGAAGCGGCAACCAGCAGGAATAGCAACCACTTCTCCTGCACCAATTGGCGGGCGGAAGCAAACCATGTTGGTGCAGTGTCAGTACTATCAGGCGATTCGAACCGCTGTAGCGGCCACCAGTCGAGGAGTAACAAGGTGAAGGGCAGCGTGACGAGCATCGGCTTCGCCAGCAGCCCTAAAGCCAGAAAGATGGGGACAAGCCAGCGTTTTCCCGCGGTATTCGGCTCGCGAACCGTCGCGACGTAGGCCAGCGTGGTTAACAGCCAGAAGAGCGTGCTGAGGACATCTTTTCGCTCAGCAATCCAGGCGACTGACTCGACGTGGAGCGGATGCACGGCAAATAGGGCCGCCACCAGGGCCGCTCGCCACGTGGCCGCCGTCATCCGCCATAGCAGCAGGAAGAGCAAAACACTGTTTGCTGCGTGGATGGTTACGTTCACCAGGTGATGCCCGCCGGCCCACTGCCCGTTGGGCTCGTTGTCGCTGCGGAACAGAGACGCGTCGACCATGTGCGAGATCCAGGTCAACGGGTGCCAGTTCGAGGCCCTCGTCGCCTGAAATGCCCATGCGATGCCCTCGGGGGTCACTCCATTGAGTACCTGAGGGGTTTCTGAAACGTAGATGGGGTCGTCGTAGTTGATAAAGGGGAACGTGGCGACCTGGGCGTAAATCAGGAAAACCAGCACGGCAAGGCCAACAGCAATGGCCACCGCGTTCCGCTTCGAAGCGGGGTCGACAGGCGCCGTGCGGGAACTCGTTTGGGGGCGATTCTCCCGACGCTTCTTCTTTCGACTCATCTTGCTCCTGAAGGTTGGGTCCGTGGGCAATCGCAAGCGTTGCGTTATCGATAGGGCCGAATAATATAACGGCCCGACGATCGAGCTTATACTAAGGGGGGTTCTTGGCAGTTCAACGGTCGACCGTCCTCACTAAACGGACTGGCGGCGAATTGCGAGGGTGGGGCTCTCGGTCTAAGATGCCCGGTTCCGAAGCTGCTGCGTGGGGCTCAGCTTCGATTCTATCTGCGTGGTTCGAATCTCAGGTTCGTTTAGCTGCCCGTGATGCAAGAAGATCGCCGAATCGACCACTGGATCTTGCCTCTCACGTTGGCGCTGCTGACGCTGGCGGTGTTTGGCCGGTCGGTGACCTTCGACTTCGTCAACTTTGACGACTTCGAATACGTGGCCTCGAACCAGAACATCAATCAGGGATTCAGCGTCGACAGCTTCTTATGGGCGCTGACTGCCGAGGTTGGCTCTAACTGGCATCCGGTCACGGTGCTGACGCACATGGCCGACAGTCATGTTTACGGCATTCACGAGGCCTGGGGGCACCACCTAACCAACGTTCTCCTGCATGCCGCGAATGCAGCGCTGCTGTTTTTGTTACTGAACTCGATGACAGGCGCCCGTTGGCGATGCGTTCTGGTAACCGCCCTATTCGCGGTCCATCCTCTACACGTCGAGTCGGTGACCTGGGTTTCCGAACGTAAAGATGTATTGAGTACGTTCTTCTGGTTCTCGAGCCTGTGGGCCTATGCTTGGTACGTCAAACGACCCGGGCTGGGAAAGTATTGCGTGGTGGCAGTGCTGCTGGCCCTCGGGCTGATGAGTAAGCCGATGGTGGTGACGGCACCCTGCTTGATGCTGGTGCTCGATTTCTGGCCGCTGCGGAGATTGTTCGGCCCCGCGGAAACCTTCCGCGAATCTCTGGCTCGTTCGGTGTGGCTGGTGGCCGAGAAGATTCCGTTCTTCTTGATCGTGGCCATCACGAGCATCATCACCTTCAACGTCCAATACGATCGGGGCGTGCGTTCGACCGATGAACTGACCGTCTCATTGCGGTTCTACAATATGATCGTGTCGTACGGCGACTACATCACGCAATTGATTTGGCCTACGAGGATGTCGGTGTTTTATCCGCACCCTGCCTCGAACATCTCGATGATGCATGTCTTCATCGCCGGACTCGCCATCGTAGTGGTTTCTCTTCTTGCCCTGGTTTGGTGGCGGAAGCGTGCTTATGTGTTGAGTGGCTGGCTGTGGTATCTCGGCACCTTGGTTCCGGTTATTGGGCTGGTACAAGTCGGGGGAGCGGCCCGGGCCGACCGCTATACCTATGTGCCGCTGGTGGGATTGTTCATCATCATTGCGTGGGGGCTGCAAGAGTACGCCACATCGGGGCCGCGCTTTCGGCGATGGGTCCCCGTTGCCTGCGGAATTTGGATTGTCGTGCTGATCGGCCTCACCTGGAAACAACAGGGTTATTGGAAGAACTCGCTAACTCTGTTTGCCCATGCGGCTGCTGTGGCCGATGGAAGAGGAAACTTCTTGGCTCACTCGGCCATGGGTACGGCCTATAAGCTTCAGGGGAACAACGAGGCCGCGATAGAAGAATATGACAATGCTCTGCGGCGATACCCTCAGGATCGTGTGGCCATCTTCAAGAAGGCCACCGTGCTGCAAGACATGGGCCGATATGAAGAGGCGGCAGAATATTTTAAGGCGGTGATTGCCTTGGGGCTCGATGGGCCAGGAGAACGTGTTGCCCTGGGGAATGTGTTGATTGAACTGGGGAAGTATGACGAGGCCATCGAACACTTCCGCACCGCGATAGTGATTCAGCCGAGCCCATTCACCGAAGTGATTCTGCGAGAGCAGGAACCCAGAATCCAATTGGCCCTCGCGCTGCAAGCCACCCAACAATACGAAGAGGCCGTGAAAGTCTTTGAAGAAGGACTGCAAGAGACCCCCGAGAATCCCGACCTGCTGAAGGAATACGCCTGGTTGCGTGCTACTTGTCCCGAGGAACTGCTTCGGGATAGAGAAGCCGCGGTTACGATGGCCCGACAGGCGTGCAATCTTTCGAACAACGAACTGCGGGCACTCGACGTCTATGCGGCTGCGCTGGCTAACAACTTGCGATTTAGCGAGGCGGTGCGTGCTGAGCAGCGGGCCATTGACCTAGCCAACCTGCAGGTCGAAGCGATCGAAGAGCAACTCTCCAGCAAAGACTGGAAAGAGTGGGAGAAACCTCCGAAAGAAATGCTCGTCCAAGTGAAGAGCATACTTGAAGAGGCCGAAGAGAGGCTTCAACTCTACAAGCAAGCTCGCCCTTACCGTCAGGAGCCCCCGGAAGACGCTGAGTAGCATAATGGGGCGATGATTTAGAGAATCAGGAATCAGTTGCTCGTCGCTCTCATTTAAAGCATCGCCCGAATCGCGCACTCGGTGCTGGCGTCTCCGAGGCATGAAACTTTCTTTAGATTCAGCGCCGGCAGGCTGAGCACAACGCTTGCCCCATCGACTCTTATGAACCTCGAACAGCGCAAATCTCACCCTGCAATTACCGCCGGAATCTTGGCGGCCCTTGCGCTGATTACTCTGTGCATCTTTTGGTCAATTCTCTCACAGGGCTTTATTCACTACGACGATCCGCAGTACGTGTTTGACAACCAACAGGTGCGGCAAGGGTTTACCTGGTCGACTTTTGTATGGTCGCTCAGTTCTCAAGTGCAAGGCAACTGGCACCCCGTGACGATGTGGACTCACATGCTCGACTGCCAGTTGTATGGCCTGCAGCATCCTGGCGGACACCACTTCACCAGCCTGGTCATTCATGTAATGAATGCCTTGATGCTGTTTTGGTTCCTCCGCATAGCCACGGGCGATGTGTTTGCTGCGGCCTTTGTTGCCGCATTGTTTGCCTGGCATCCAACCCGGGTTGAATCGGTGGCCTGGGTCTCGGAGCGGAAGGATGTGCTCAGTACGTTTTTCTGGTTCTTGATGCTGCTGGCGTACGTGCATTACACGCGACGTCCCGGGTGGCTGCGGTACGCACTGGTGTTCGTGCTGCTGGCCCTAGGGCTAATGAGCAAGCCGATGCTGGTTACGGCCCCGTTTCTGCTGCTTCTGCTCGATGTGTGGCCGCTGGCTCGCCTGTGGATGCGCTCGACCTGGAAGGACACTGGGGCACAACTGGGTGCTCTGGTGCTGGAGAAGTTGCCGTTAATCGTGCTGTCGGTAGCCTCCTCTGTCATTACTTTCCGCGTTCAACGCTCCGGCGGATTTGTGATTTCGCTGCAGCGGCACGATTTCGGCGAACGGCTCATCAATGTAATCGACACTTACGGCAACTACTTATTCAACACATTCTGGCCTACGCAGTTGGCCTTGATGTACTCGATGCCGCGAGAGATCCCGCTCACCACCTGGACGATTCTCTCGGCTTCGGTCCTCGTTACGTTATCGGTACTGTCGATCGTTTGGATTCGCAAACGGCCCTACTTCTTTGTCGGCTGGTTCTGGTTCCTGGGAACTCTGGTGCCGGTTATCGGAGTGGTGAAGGTGGGTGCCCAATCGATGGCCGACCGTTATACCTATGTGCCGATGATTGGATTATTCATTATCGTGACCTGGGGCTGTCGCGAGCTTCTTTCCGGCATTTCATCCAAGCCGATCAGGCGCGCGATTGCCATGGTCGCGGGATCCGTAGTATTGATTCTCCTCGCAGGCTTAAGTGTGAAGCAGGTCTCATATTGGCAGAACGAGTTGATCCTTTACTCCCGTGCTTTGGAAGTAACCGAGAAGAATTACCTTGCGCATTACAACTACGGTAATGCTCTGATCAAATCCGGGCGACTGAACGAAGCACTGAAGCATTTCACAATCGCCTTGGAACAAGAACCTGAGCACAGCGGGACCCAGTACAACGCTGGATCGGCACTTGCGTTGCAGGGTCGCTGCACCGAGGCCCTGCCCTACTTTAAGAATGCTATTCGGTATGGCAACGACAGTGCTCGTGCCTGGTATGAATTGGCCTACTGCGAACAGCGAATCGGCTTGCTTAAAGAAGCATTGGCCCACTACCAACAGGCACTGACTCGCGACCCGAACATGCGTGAGGCTCGGCTTGGACTGGGCAATGTGTTGGCCCGTCAAGGCGATACGACCTCTGCATTGGCCATCTACACAAATGCTCTTGGCCAGTGGCCAAGTAGTCGCTTAACGGCGGCACGCTTGATTTGGCTACTTTCCACACATACCGATGAACAGTACCGCGACCTTCCACTGGCAATCAAACTTGCCGAGGCCGTTCGTGCTTCGAACCAAGCCGTAGATTCGTCTTCGATTGAAGTGAACGATTCCCTTGCGGCTGCCTTTGCTGCGGCGGGGCGTTTTGATGAGGCACTTCCGCTGGCCGCGCAGGCCTATGGCCTGGCCCGTACTCAACGCATTCAGGCAGAAGAGCAAGGTTGGGAAGAAGGAGTCGAACGGGCTGCGGTGGTCGAACAAGCTATTGCCGACCGAATCGAGCTTTATCAAGCCGGAAAAGAGTTCCGGCAAGATCCCGTGGATGCTCCTTATTGAACTTCATGCACGGTGAGCAGATTGTGCCCGCCGATTGTGAGGTGGCTGCCGGTAACGACGACAACACGGTCGCCTGCCGTGAGTGTTCCGTTTTCGGTACCCCAGGTTTCCACGTGACCCATCAGTTCGGCCACATCGTGCGTCGGCGCGCCGGCCAAAGGAATGACGCCCCAGAACAGGCACATCAATCGCAACGTCGAAGGCGAGTCGCTCACACCGATGGTTGGTGCAAAGTTGCGTTGCTTCGATACGGCCAGGGCGGTAGCCCCGCTGTGGCTGGCCACGGCCATTAGCTTGGCATCCAACTGACGGGCCATCTGCCCTGCCCCGTTGAGAACCGCCGGCGTAACGCTGTGCAAAACTTCAGACTTCAGCGGGGTCAACTGCGGCGGACGTTCGCGGAACAGTTGCTCGGCCTCCAAGGCGATGCTTCTCATCGTCTCAACCGACTGACGAGGATAGTTGCCAATCGCGGTTTCGCCCGAGAGCATGCAGGCGTCGGTTCCATCGAGAATCGCATTGGCCACGTCGGTGGCTTCGGCCCGAGTGGGATAGCGGGAATGTTGCATGCTGTCCAACATCTGCGTGGCCGTGATTACTGGCTTCTGCATTTGATGGCACATCGAGATGATGCGTTTCTGCGCCAGCGGCACTCGAGCGATGTCGATCTCCACGCCCAAGTCGCCACGGGCGACCATGATGCCATCGGACACGTGAACGATTTCTTCTAGTTTGGTGAGGGCCTCAGGCTTCTCGATTTTGGCGATGACCAGCGCCTTCGAACCACAGGCTCGCAGCATGGTTTGCAGAGCGTGCACGTCTTCAGCCGAGCGAACGAAGCTTAGGCTGACGAAGTCGGCTCCTGCCTCGGCAGCCCAGACGGCATGCTGACAATCCTTCTTCGTCATGCTGGGCACGCTGAGCTTGGCCCCGGGAAGATTGATTCCCTGCCGGCTACGAATCAGCCCGGGCTGCACGACCTTACATTTGGCGAAATCGGGCCCGCGTTCTTTCACCATCATGCTGACGGTACCGTCGGCCAACATGACGCGATTGCCGACCTCTAACTCATCAACAAGTCGATCGTACGTGCTGACCAAGTCGTGCGGTTCGCCGGCGGTATCGCCGCGAACGAAACGGAACTCGGCCCCTTCATGGCAATCGATCTCGCCACCGGCCAGCTCGCCCAAACGAATCTTGGGACCGGCCAGGTCGACCAGGATCGCCACGGGGCGGTCTAACTCTTTTGACAGACGGCGAATAGTTTCGATCAGCTCGGCATGTTCGCCGAGTGTGCCGTGCGCCATGTTCAGGCGAAAGACATCGACGCCGGCCTCGATCAGCTCGGTGAGTTTCTCGGGCCGCGAACAAGCGGGCCCTACGGTGGCAACTATTTTCGTGCGAGCGCGGTGGAAGGCAGATTGCTTGCTCGACATGGTGGGTTCCGGAATGGTGGCGGTAATCATGGTGGGCAATTGCGGCCGACGGCCCTCGCGGTGAGAATGAACGGTAGGGTGGGAAGTTCAACATCCGCGATCGCGTCGGCGACCGCCTTTGTTATATAGCACGCAACTAAAACGCACGATGCGTAACCGGCAGGACCGTTATGGACGGAGAAACTCAACCTGAGGCCCAATCCAAACTCACCCGCGGTCCGTATGTGCTGCTTGCGTTCTTTGCCTTGTTTGGGATTACCGCGGTGGCGCTGTGGCAGGTAGCGGTAGCACAGCGTGGAAAGAACCCCCCGCTGACGCTTGAACGGCTGGAAGTGGCGCAAAACCGTTGGAGTGAGGCTCGTCCAGACAACTATCTGCTGACGATCCGACTGTACGGCCAACATGGCGGGTTACTGCGAGTAAACGTGGAAGGCGATCACGCAGAACTTGAAGCAGACCCCCCAAAACTACTCGAAAAAGGGTCTGCCGACTTCTGGAACGCCAACGCCTGGACGGTCGATGGAATGTTTGTACGGCTGCGGCGAGATATGGAAATCGTGAACAATCCCGAGTTTCTGCCCCCGGCTGGCACCGCTGCGCCGGCACATGGTTACAAAACATTACGCGCAGACTTTGATGATCAACTCGGCTACATCACTACTTACAAACGTCCACAACTCGATCAATATCCCTCACTGCAATGGCGGGTCGAGTCGTTTGAAGCGGAGCCAGGGACGTAGCGAGTAGAACGTCTCCTTATGGTTTGATTACCTCTGACAAACTTGCGTTCCAGAATTTTTCCAGGTTCGTGCCATGCGAACGCCGAGATGTGGTGGGCTTAGAACCTTCTTGGCACTCTCAGAGAGGGCCGTCTAGACTGACCACCTTCACAAACATTTAACGAACCACTCATAGGAAATGCACACACCGCGATGGATGCCTGGCACGAGAAAGTGGTGATTGTGACTGGCGCTTCCGCCGGTTTGGGGCGATCGATCGCAAGGGCCTTCGCCGAAGCGGGGGCCAAGGTGGTGCTGGCGGCGCGGAGTGCAGGCCCGCTGAACGAGGTCGCCCAATCGCTGGAGTCACAAGGTCGAACGGTGTTGGCCGTGCCGGTTGATGTGACGAAAGATGCCGACGTTCAAACGTTGATTGAACAAACATGGGAGAAGTTTGGCCGGCTCGATGTGTTGGTCAACAATGTGGGGCGTTCGGCCCGCGGCACACTTTTGGACACCACCCCAGAGCAGTTTGAAGAGTTGCTCGAACTCAACCTGATGGCTGCCGTACGATGCACCCGGGCGGCGGCGCCACTGCTGCTGGAAAGCGGCGGAAGCATTGTGAACATTGCATCGCTGGCGGCGAAGTCGGCGGCCCGATATTTGGGGGCCTATGCCGCGTCGAAGTTCGCCTTGGCGGCTTACACGCAACAGCTGCGTCTCGAACTGGCTCCTGAAGGCGTTCACGTCATGCTGGTCTGCTCGGGACCCATCGCTCGTGATGATGCCGAGGAGCGTTACAAGTCGCAACTCGAAGGACTCCCCGCCGAAGCCGCCAAACCGGGGGCCGGGGTTAAGGCCAGCGCCATCGCCCCCGAAGAACTCTCTCGCCGGATTCTGTTGGCCTGCCAGCAACGCAAGCCCGAGATCGTTGTGCCCGGCAAGGCCAGGCTGCTGTTCGCCCTGTCGCAATTGTGGCCGAAGCTTGGCGACAAACTTTTGTTGAAGATGACCGGAGCCTAAATCGCCAGGTCGCCTGTTCGGTCACACCTCACATTCCTGCAATCGTCACATTCAGCAGGCGCACACAAAATGATCGAGCGGGTTGGTATTCGTTTGCTCGAGCAGATTGGCTGTGGGCCCTGCTGGGAATCGGCAAAATTGTCCTGCTAGCTCCCTGCACGAACCGCCGGATAATCCGATCGGAGTAAAGAAACGATTGTTCAAGGCGTAGCTGGTGGAATTCCACTTAGAAACGAAGGCGATGACATTGACGTAAATATAGTTTACATATAAACTACATAAGGTAAGAGTCACCCGTGGAACACTTGCATGAACGCCAGTCGACTTCAAAGTGAGCTGAAAAAGAAGGGGCCTTTCCAGTCGCCCGAGCAGGAGGCCATCTTGAATATCCTGAGGACCAGCGACTTGTTTGAAAATCGCCTCGGCCGCTTATTCCGCGAATATGGGCTGACCTCGTCGCAGTACAACGTGCTGCGAATTCTCCGCGGTGAAGGAAAGCCGCTCCCCTCGTTGGAAATCGCCGACCGAATGATCCAAGTGGTCCCCGCCATCACGGGCCTGATCGACCGCTTGGAAAAGCAGAAGCTGGTGCGACGCGAACGATGTGCGGAAGATCGCCGGGTGGTTTACGTCGAAATCACCGACAAGGCTTTAGAAACACTGAAGAAGCTGGACGCACCTTTAGAGGCCCTCCACAAGAGCCTCATCGGGCATCTTTCCCGCAAAGATCTGAAGGAACTTAGTCGCCTGTTGGAGAAGGCGCGACTCGCCGAATGATGAGGCATCAGGAGCTTTTCGATGGAGCAGTTTCATGTGGCGGTCACCCTTAAGGTAAAGCGCGGCAAAGAAGAGGAATTCGAAGAGGCGATTCGCGATTTTGCCCGTCGTTCGCTCCACGCCCCTGGCACGACGGGGGTGCATTTGATCGGCCCTGTTCCGGGCACGGGTGATTGCAACTACGGGATCATGCGTTCGTTCAAAGACGAGGCGGCCAGTCGGGACTTCTACAACTCCGACCTCTTCGCCGAGTGGCGTGATGAGTCGGCCCACCTGGTCGAGGGCGACCCCTTGTACCGCAAGTTACATGGCCTGGAAGCTTTCTTCCGCGAAACCGGGCACGCCCCGCCGCCCCGTTGGAAGATGGCCATCGTCACCTGGCTGGGGGTCTTCCCTGCGGTCGCCCTCTGGTCGCTGGTGCTCTCGAAACTTCTGGTTGGTCTTCCCTGGCTGGTGGTGGTGGCCGTGACGAATGTCGCCGTAGTCATCACGTTGGCCTGGGGAATCATGCCGCTGCTCACCCGGTTGCTTACACCGTGGCTGCATGCCTCGTCGATCAACAGGTCATAGACAAGAATGCCAGGGTGGCCCAGCCGCGCCGGCTGGGTCGACGCAGTCGACAAGATGCCTTGTGACAGGGATGGAGTCGTCGGAAAAAGAGACTGCTTGAAAAAAATCTGGCGTTACGACTGGCTTGGGGGTCAACCGGATTTCGAGAGCAACGTTTCGTTTCGATGGGAACCGCACTAAAGTTATCTTGTCGCTGCGCGACCCGGCCGGTGCGGCCGGGCCACCCTAGTTCTTTACTGAACCTTCGCCTTGGGTTTGCTAGGCCAGAATCTCGTGCAGCACGTTGCCGTGTACGTCGGTCAGGCGCACGTCGCGGCCGCCGTAGCGGTAGGTGAGGCGTTCGTGATCGACACCGAGTTGGTGGAGCACGGTGGCCCACATGTCGTACACGGTGCAGGGGTTTTCGATGGCGTGATACCCCAGTTCGTCGGTCGCCCCATAGATGGTGCCGCCCTTCACGCCGCCACCGGCCATCCAGATGCTGAACCCGAAGGGGTTGTGGTCTCGGCCGTTGCTGCCTTGTGAAAACGGCGTGCGGCCGAACTCGCCGGCCCAGACGATGAGCGTATCATCCAGCAAGCCTCGCTGGCGAAGGTCTTGCATCAGCCCGGCGATGGGTTGGTCGACCTGGAAGCTCATGGCGCGATGGCCTTTCTCCAGGTCGCTGTGTTGATCCCAAGGGTTGGCCGCCCCACCAGCCCCAATGCCTCGCGTGAGGCAACTCAGTTCGATGAATCGCACGCCGCGTTCGACGAGCCTGCGGGCCAGCAAACACTGCCGGGCGTAGGCGGCCTTCTTCGGTTCCTTCGAGTCGAGCCCGTAGAGTTCGCGTGTGGCGGCGGTTTCGCCCGAGATATCACACAGCTCAGGCACAGCGGCCTGCATACGGAAGGCGGTTTCGTAGTTTTTGATGGCCGCTTCGACCTGCGCTTCGCCCGCGGTCGAGGCGAGGTAAGGATTGTCGAAGTTGCGCACCAGGTCCAACCGGCGGCGCTGCATGGCGGTGGCTTCCAGGGGGCGAATATTGCGAATCGCCTCCGGCTGATCGGCCTTAAGGATTGAGCCCTGATGCTCGGCCGGCAGAAAGCCGTTGCTGAACAGGCTCACGCCACCGTGCGGGGGAATTGCGTCGCCACTTTGCAGCACCACGTAACCCGGCAGGTCGCGGTTCTCGGTACCCAAACCATACGCGGCCCACGCTCCGGCACTGGGATAGCCCATGAACGGAAACCCGCTGTGCATGAAGAAGTTGCCCTGGGCATGTTCGTTGAACGAGGTGGTCATCGAGCGAACCACCGCCAGTTCGTCGGCCAGTTCGGCCACCTTGGGGAACATGCTGCTGACCGGGAGCCCGCTTTCGCCCGAGGACGTGAACGGGAACGGGCTGGCCATGATGTTGCCGTTGTTGTTGAACTGCGTGCGTTCGACCTTCACCGGCATGGGCTTGCCGTGGTCGCGATCGAGCCGCGGCTTGGGGTCGAACGAGTCGATATGCGACACCCCGCCCGACATGTAGCAGAAGATGACGTGCTTCGCCTTGGCCGGATGATGGGTTGTCGGCAGCGCCGCACCCGAGGGCAATTCCGCTGGCGAGGCATACGCGGGGTCGGCCATCAGCCCTGCCAGGGCAACCGCGCCGAAGCCGTTTGACATCCGCGCGAGCATGCTGCGGCGGGAGATGGGCTGCGGGAGATATGTTCGCTCGTTCATGGCGGTGGCCTGTTGCGAGGGCTACTTGATGTAGATGAATTCTTTAAAGCTGAACATCGCCCGGGCGAGGTCGACCCAGGGTGCTATGTCTCGGTCTCTAGCGGGAACTTCCGCGAGTGTTTCAATCTCGGCCGTGAGTTGTTCGATTGCTTGCTGGGTGGCCACAACCTGTTCTCGCTGCTCGGGCGAAAGGGAGGCCAGGACCTGAGCATCGGACACGTAGTGGGCGGCCAACTGCGAAGTGGCGGCGATTTCTTCGTCGGTCAATGCGCGATCGTAGAGGTGAGCCCGATGGATTTTCCCACTGAGCATGCGGTTCCCCGTGGCCGGGAGGTGCCGCACCCCGAAGCTGACCACGGTGTTGCCGGCCTTGAACTCCCTGGGGCCATCGCTCTGGTAGGCGGCCCCGTAAGGTTGACCGTTGCGATAGCCGACAATGCGACCGTCCGCGTGGTAGGCGATTGCCAAATGCACGGGCGACTCGACGGCTTCGGCTTCTTCTTCACCCGCGAAGGGCTGCGTGCGGCTGAAGTTATTGCTGCCGGCCAGCCACTGCCGGGGACTCGCTTCGCCAAAGACGATCGAATCGAACGTGATCCCGTCCGGGGTTTGAATCGACATCACCCCACCGCCCCGCTGGTCGAGCTGATCGAGGCTGACCCAAACTTCGAGCGTCTTCTCGCGGAGGGTTTGCTTCAGCGGTGCGGTGACCACGTGGGCCTGCTTACCGTCGACCACTAAAGCGTCGTTCTCCAAGCGAGCCCCACCCCGGGCCGAGCCGTCGGCGTCGCCCAGCGTGTCGGCCAGGTCACCGTCGAACTCCCAGTAACTGATGGGCCGCGGAACCGCTTGTGCCAAAGCGTCTGTGTCTTCTGTCGAAGTCTCTTCCAGCCGGGCACGGGCTGGGCCGACAATCGATTGGATGGCCGCGCGTCGCTCGTCGATTTGCTGTTCGAGCGATGCGAGACGATCGATGAGTTGTTTGTACTGCTCTCGCGCTTCATCCAGGTAGGAGGTGATGGTGGCCACCTCGGTCGATGTTGGCTCGCGGGAGAACGCCTGCTTGAACATCGCCTCCACGCGTTCCGCGTCGCTTTGTAGTGTTTTGTCCCCTGAAATCTGCTTACCCCAGGCGGTTGCTAACTCGGCGACACGCTCGTCGTTCATCAGCGTGAGCGACTGAGCCGGCACGTTGGTGGCGTTCCGCCGACCGGTGGCGGTGAAGGGCTCGGGGAAATCGAACACCCGCAGGAATGGGTCGAGGGTGTTTCGCTCGACCTGCAGGTAAACGCTACGTCTGGCGGCCTTACCTGAGACCGGTTCGCCGAACATCTGGGGGTTCAGTTCGCCGGAGGTCTGCAACATGGCGTCGCGAATGGCCTCGGCCTCGAGACGGCGAACGTTGCTGTGTGAAAGCAAGTGATTCTCTGGATCGATTTCAGCAGCGGCTTCCGGCGGGGTCGAATCTAGCTGCCAGGCGCGACTGGTGACGATGTTTCGGATGGCCTGTTTGATCGACCAGCCGTCTTCGACAAACTGCGTGGCGAGCCAATCCAGAAGCTCCGGATGGGTCGGGGCTTGGCCCAATGTGCCGAAGTTATCGGGCGTGCCGACGATGCCTTGTCCGAAGAGATGGTGCCAGAGGCGATTGACGATCACCCTGCGCGTCAACGGATTGTCGTCACGCAACAGGTCTTCGGCCAGTTGCCGACGACCACTGAGCGGCGTGTCGTACGGGGTGGCGTCGATGGCCTCCAGGAACCGCCGTGGCACTTCGTCGGACGGCTGGGTGTGGTTGCCGCGGACGAAGAGCGGTTGATCGCGACCCACGGTTTCTTCCAACCCCGGCACGCGTGTGGGCACGGGGATCGCCTCTTCCAGGCGGCGGTATTCTTCGACCAGTGGTCTCGCGGCTTTCAGCGTCTTCAACTCGTTCGAGAGCATGCCCTGCTCGATGCACTTGGCCAGCAAGGCAGCCTGGGCGTCGCTGGCCCGACCGTCTCGCCAGGCGGCGATGCTGCTGGAGAGTGCGACGCTGTAACAGGTGGCCAGTTCTGCGAGCGAAGCCGGTGCGGTGACCGCGGCCATCTCGAACACGGGATCGAGGGCATCGTGAGAGTTCACCGCTGGTCCAGGTTCGCCCTTGGGCACGAGCATCGCCTGACGAACACCGAACCACGATCGGGGATTTTTCTTCACCAGCAGCGGAGCGTCGGTGCCTTCGGTGATTTCGATATGGATGTTGTCGCCATTCCAGTAGGTCAGATCGAACTTTTGCCACTGCCAGTCGGACGACAACTCTTTGACGGGATAGACCGTGCCGTTGCGAGGATAGTTCTGCACGACATAACGGGCCGCGGAACCGCCCTCGCCCAGCGATTGAAGCCACAGTTCATACTCGCCGTCGAGCTGTATATTCGAAGATGTGAGCCGGGCCGGATGTTTGCTCGACAGCAGGTGCGAATAGACGCCGGCCGGATAGATCCCGGCGAGGGCTTTCTCACCTGACGGGGCGATGGCGAACGCTCCGGCTTCGCTTGGCTTGTCACCCAACCCAGTACCCGTGGGGAACCAAGTTTTGTAGTCGGCCGCATCGCTGAGGTCCCAACTCCACTGATACTCCCGAGTGGATTGCTCGCGGCGGCGGTCGAGTTCGGCCTGCCACGTGTCGATGCGGGCTTGCCACGCGGTGGCGAAGTCTTTCCCGCTGTCCATGTCGCGATGGATGAGGAACAAGGGTTGGAGCAGATCGCCGTCAGCCTTCGCCTCCTTCCAAGGTCCATCGTTGGCGAGGAGCTTGGCGGCCAAAGAGTCGGCCTCTCCTAGCCAGTCTTCGGCCAGGGCCGTCCGAATCTGCGGTTTCAGTTCGGCCAGCTCCTCGCGGTTCTTGTTCAATTTCGACTCGACGTCGATCGCCACCCGACCCGGGCGGCAGGAGCCAAGGATGCCGAACAGGGCGTAGTAGTCGGCCTGACTGATGGCATCGAACTTGTGATTGTGACAACGAGCGCATGAAACGGTGATCCCCAAGAAGGCTTTCGAGAAGGCGTTGATCTGGTCGTCGGTGAAGCGGACCTTCTCGTCGAGGGCATCGGTGGGGGCAAACCCATGGAAGACCATCCGCCAGTGCACCGGGCCGATCAGCGATTCGTTGATACCGAGTTCCTCGTTGATACGCGGCTGTTCAAGCAAGTCGCCGGCCACGTGTTCGCGGAGGAGTTGATCGTAGGGCACGTCGTCGTTGAGGGCCCGAATGAGGTAGTCGCGGAAGTACCACGCGTTGACGATCTCGGGGTCGCCTTCGGAGCCGTGCGATTCGGCGTAGCGAATCCAGTCCATCCAATGTCGGGCCCAACGTTCACCGAATTCGGGGCGGGCGAGCAAGTGATCGACCAGTTGCTCGTAACCCTCGGGGTTGGCGAGTTCGGCCTGCCAGTGTTCGGTTTCTGCTGGGGTTGGTGGAAGCCCGATGAGGACGAAGAACAAACGGCGGACAAGCGCTTGAGGGTCGGCCTGGCTGACCGGTTCGAGTCCCTTGGCTTCGAGTTGGGCCAAGATAAAGCGATCGATGGGGTTGGTGGACCAAGCGGCGTTGCTGACCTGGGGGAGTTCCGGTCGGTAGATGGACTGGAAGCTCCACCAGCGTTTTCGCTTTTCAAGCACGGCTTCCCAGGAAGTGGCGGCCGCGACCTCTGCGGTGGAGGCCGGCTCTTCGCGAGGATCGGGCGCGCCCATGGCGATCCACTTCTCGAGGTCGGCGATTACCGCCTCGTCGAGCTTGGGGGCGGCCTGGGGCATCTCGAGCCCCTCGACTTCGTGCCGCACGATGGCCAGCAGCCGGCTTTTCTCCGGCTTGCCAGGGACGATTACCGCGCCAGTGTCGCCTCCGGCAAGAAGTGCCTGACGGTGATCGAGGGCCAGCCCGCCTTCGGCCGCATCGGCCGAGTTATGACACTCGTAACACTGCTGAACGAGTACGGGGCGAATCCGCGATTCGAAGAACTCGAGCTGCTCGGCACTGGGACCTTCGTCGGCCACCGCGGTGGTGGAGACTCCCCAGGCCAGGGCGATGCAAACGAGCGTCAGCCATTCGGTTCGAATCATCGTGCGCCTTCCATACTCGCTTTGCAGTTTCGACAGCTAGGGTGCCAGCAGAATCGACATCAGGAAGTCGTCGGGCGACTCGTACTTGTCTGACTCGGACACGCCCTTGATCAACAGATGACATTCGTGCCCCGCGGCGTCGGCTTTCTCTTTCATCTTCACGCCGTACACCGGGTGATGGATGCCGTGGCCGGCGTTCTTCGAGGGCAGCGTCATGTCGTTTCCGTAGGTCATCAGCAGCGGGGGATCGTCGCCATCGAGGTGGTTGTACGGCGAGAACTCCACGTACAGGTCGCGGTGCTGATCGTAATTCTCAAGCGCCCCCGCCATGGTCGGTTCGCCCACGGCCAAGTTGATCATGCGGTGCTCGAGCACTTTGGGTCCGAGCCATTCTTCGATCACCTTGGGATCGATTGAGGTTTGCCCAGCAGCGACGGCCGCGCCGCTCACCCGGGTTGATTCGCGCTCAACGGGATCTTCCGAGTCGGGGTCGGCCAGGTCGTCGTGCAGGAGGATCCACATCGAGGTGCATGCCCCGGCGCTGCCGCCGGTGAGGGCGATGCGGTTCTTGTCGATGTTCCACTCGTCGGCCTTCGAACGCAGGAACTGAATGGCTCGGGCCGCGTCGTGAACGGGGGCCGGCAAGGGGGCTTCGCCGCTGAGGCGGTAGTTCACCGCCGCGTAAGAAATGCCTTTATCGAGGTAGGGCTTGAAGCTGTTGTAGGCCCGTTTCTTGTCGCCACCGGTCCAACCCCCGCCGTGAATGTAAACCAGCAGCGGTCGCGGCCCTTCACCTTCGGCTTGCCAGAAATCGAGCACGTCCATTTTGTAGGGGCCGTACGAAACGTCGGCATGGGTCGGCTGCTTTTCTTTTTCTTTCGCGGGCTTGTCCTGATCGGCAGCAAACACACTGCCGGTGCATACGACCAACGCGAGGAATGCGAGAGCCAGGTGTTTCATGTTGTTCTCCGCCGTGGGTGTGAATCAGAGGGGTTTGGCAGTTCAGGCAGGTTCATTGGGGCAGTAACCCATCGTAGCAGGAGCCGTCGGTGACGGCGATTTTCTACCCCACAGGTACGTTGAGATGGATGTTGTGTAATTGGGGGGACAATCAGGCAAAAATATCATGCACCACGTTGCCGTGGACGTCGGTCAGGCGGAAGTCGCGGCCGGCGTGGCGGTAGGTGAGCCGCTCGTGATCGAGCCCCAACAGGTGCAGCACGGTGGCGTGCAAGTCGTGCATGTGGATGCGATTCTCGGCGGCCTCGTGGCCAAACTCGTCGGTGGCTCCGTACGAGAAACCTGACTTCACCCCGCCGCCGCAGAGGAAGTGCGTAAAGCCCTTAGGGTTGTGGTCGCGACCGTCGTTGCCTTGCGAGAAGGGGTTGCGGCCGAATTCACCGCCCCACCAAACGAGCGTGTCTTCGAGCAGCCCTCGCGCGTGCATGTCGGCGATTAGCCCGGCGACCGGCTTGTCGGTGGCTTTGGCATGGATGGAGTGTTCGTGAATCTTCGAGTGCTGATCCCAGCGGGGGTTCGACGTGTTGTCGCCGTAGTTGATCTGGATGTAACGCACGCCGGCCTCGGCCATACGACGGGCCAGTAGACATTGCCGGCCGAAGTCGGCGGTTTCTTTCTCATCGATGCCGTACATCGCCTCGGTGGCGGCCGTCTCGCCCGAGATGTCCATCAGTTCGGGGGCGTGGCGTTGCATGCGATAGGCCAGTTCGAAGGAGTTCATCACGGCCGAGAGTTCGTCCTGGTCGGTGGCCGATTCGATTTGGCGGCGGTTCATTTCTTGTAGCAGCGTGAACTGCTTCTGCTGTACGGCGGAGGGGAGCCGGGAGTTGGTGATGTGCTGGATGTTCACCTCGCCCGAGGGTTGACCCGCGCGGCCGATGGCGGTGCCTTGATAGTCGGTCGGCAGGAAGGCGTTGGAGTAGTTCCGCGGTCCGCCATTGCCGGCCGAGGGGTTGATGGTGATGAACCCGGGCAGGTTCTGGTTTTCGGTTCCCAGCCCGTAGGTGACCCAAGAGCCCATCGAGGGGCGGATGAGGTTCATCGCCCCCGTGTGCAGAAACAACGTGCTGGGTCCGTGGGCCACACCGTCGGTATGCATACTGTGCAGGAAGCACAGGCGGTCGACCTGCTTGGCGATCTCGGGGAACAACTCGGAGACATAGTGCCCGCTGTCGCCGTATTGCTTGAACTTCCACAGCGACTTCATCACGGTTTCGGCCCCGGTCATGCCGGTCTTGGCCATCTTGCGGGCGTCGCGGAATTCGAGCTTCTCACCGTGATGCTTTTCGAGGGCCGGCTTGTAGTCGAACGTATCGACCGCGCTGGGCCCACCCTGCATGAAGATGAAGATCACCCGTTTCGCGAGGGGGGCGAAGTGCGTTGGCTTGACGGACAACGGGCCGGCGAACGAGGGAGAATTCGCTTCGGCCGCTTGGGCTTCTTTGCAAAGGCCTGCCAGCGCGAGCGAGCCAAACCCACAGGCGGCGGTCGAGAGCATCTTGCGGCGGGTTAATTGACCAGGAATCACGGGATTATCCTCGTTCGCGTGAATGCTAATCCAAGTAGCGGAAATCGACGCAGGCCATCACGGTTTGACATAAGGCGGCCCATTCTTCGAGCCGTCGAACGTCCGGTTGCGAATCGCCGTCGCTCTGCTCCGCCTCGTCGAATTTGCTGAGGAACCCGAGGGCCAGTTGCGTCTCTTCCGGCGTGGGTGCCCTACCTAGTGCCAAACGATAGAGCCAGGTGAGCCGCTGCTCGTCGTCTAAGTCTTCTCGGGCCAACAACCGCTGAGCGGCCAGCTTCGAGCGGTCGAGAGCGAAATCGCTGTTGAGCAGGAACAGCGATTGGGTGGCCAGCGTGCTGATGTTTCGTCGGCCCAGCGACAGGTTCGGATCGGGGAAGTCAAACACGGCGAACAGGTCGTGCAGTTGATTGCGGAACACGGGCAAATACACGCTGCGGCGGGTCTCGTCGAAGGTGTAGCCATACTCCGACTTGGTCCCATCACGCACCGTGTTCCCACCGGGAGTGAAATCGAGTTCACCGCTCAGGCAAAGCATCGAATCACGGATCGCTTCGGCATCGAGTCGGCGGCGGTTCTGATGGGCGAGCAAGCGGTTGTCGGGGTCGGCACTCATCGACTCGGCGGTGGCCCGACTCGAGAGTTGATACGTTCGGGAAAGCATGATCTCGCGAATCAGCGACTTCATACTCCAACCGTGGTCGACCAAACGGATGGCCAGGTAGTCGAGCAACTCGGGATGCGAGGGCCGCTGCCCCATCAGGCCGAAGTTATCGACGGTGCGAACGAGGCCTTCACCGAAGAGATGCTGCCAAACGCGATTGGCGGTGACCCGCGCGGTGAGGGGGTTCTCGGCACTGGCAATCCAGTGGGCCAACTCTAATCGTCCACTGGAATCGGCCGCGATACCTGGTGAGTCGCCCAGCGTGGCCACGGTCAAGAATCCACGGGGGACATCGTCGCCAAGGTTGCGGATATCGCCGCGAATGCAGACCTGATAGTCGCCGCACTCCTCGTGCTCTTTGACTGCGATGGCCTGCGGCGGTGCCGGCGGGGCCGCCTTCTCGAGCTTCGCCTGTTCGGTCTTCAGCGTTGCCATGCGGCTTTCGACTTCGGTGAGTCGGGCCAGCGTTTCGTCTTCGTCATCGACGTGAATCAACTGCACAGCATCGGCCACCACCGTGCCGCGGGCGCCCTCGGTGCTGACCAGCACGGTGGCCGGTTGATCGGGGCTGAAGTTAAACTGCCCCAGCGAGGTGTAGGTGTTGCCGATCGAGGGGAGTGAAGTCTGATCGACGTGGGCCGTGGTGATGCCATCGACGTGCGAGATGGTGTAAGCCGTATTCGAACTGCGATTCTCATGCGGCGTGTAGGCCACGCGGACGTCGTATTGCCCGGCGGTGGGCACGACGAATTCGTAGACCGCTTGCGAGCCTTTCCCGCTGGCATAGCTGTAGCTTTCGCCGACGAAAGGCTTCACCGAGTTACTGGTTTGCCAGGTGCCACTGAGGACGGCTTCACCGTCGTCCATCGTGATGATCGAGACTTGCGAGGCCAGTTCGCTATGGAGCGATTCGGCGGCCGCGATTTCATTGTCGAGTTTTGCGAGTGCGGCGTTGTGTTTGTCGTGAACTTGCTGTTGCTCGGGGGCGAGCGGTAAGGGGCTTTCGACCCAGCTCGACACGTTGGCGTCGATCACCGTCCGCGTGCTGCGAAAGATGCCGGCCAGGGCGTAGTAGTCGGTCGTGGGTACGGGGTCGAACTTGTGATCGTGGCAACGGGCACACCCGAGCGTCATGCCCAAGAAGGCCCGACCTACGGTGTCGATCTGTTCGTCGACCACATCGGCCCGAAGCTGGTCTTTGTCTTGCAGTTCATAGTTGGAAGGGCCGAGAGCCAGAAAGCCGGTCGCCACCAGTTGTTCGCGGCCACGGCGGTAGTCGTCGTAGGGCAACAGGTCGCCGGCGATTTGTTCGACGATGAAGCGATCGAACGGTTTGTCGTCGTTGAACGCCTCGATCACGTAGTCGCGGTAACGCCATGCCTTCTCGTACAGCAGCGAACGTCCTCCGCCTGTGGACTCGGCGAAACGGGCCACGTCGAGCCAGTGCCGCCCCCACCGCTCGCCGAAGTGGGGCGAACTGAGCAGGCGGTCGACCACGCGTTGGAAGGCTTCAGGCGACAAATCGTTACAAAACGCGTCGATCTCCGCCGGCGTCGGCGGCAGCCCGATCAAGTCGTACGTGGCCCGACGGAGCAGCGTTGCCCGATCGGCCTCGGGGCCCGGCTGGAGGGAGGCCGCTTCCAAGCTCGCCAGGATGAATCGATCGATGGCGTCGCGTGGCCACTCGTGGTTGGCGACTTCGGGCAACTCGTGTCGCTGCGGCGGTTGGAACGACCAGAACTCGCGGGCTTGCTCCCAATCGATATCGCTTGCTCTCTTCGCAGCGTTTGCAGACGGAGAATCGCCGGTGCGTGGATCGGGGGCTCCCATGGCGATCCACTTTTCGATCAACGCGATCTGGCCATCGGGCAGCTTGCCCTTGGGGGGCATCTCGTACGATTCGTAGCGGAGGGCCTCGAGCAAGGGGCTTTCGTCTGGCTGGCCGGGCACAATCGCGGGGCCGCTGTCGCCGCCGGTCGCCCAACCGACCTTGGTATCGAGCGCCAGCCCGCCCTGTAGCTTCTCGCCCTCGGAGGAATGGCATTCGTAACAATGTTCGATCAGCAGCGGCCGCACGTGCTCTTCGAAGAAGGCGAGTTGCTGTTGCTCGATGGGCTCATCCGCCGGAATCGCGTTGTCTTCGGCCTGCGCAATGGCTGCTGCGAAGAGCAAGCAGAGCGAGAGCAAGACGTGCGATGGGGTCGGGCGGGGCATGGACTTCTCGCGGAGGGAAAGCGGTGGGACGCCAAGCGAACCGGCCGGAGAGCGCAGACCGGTTCGGCGACCACAACTCGTTGCGCATCACGGCCCTGCGGTGCAGGCCGGGTGCACGCCCATGATACGGTGTTTTGCACCTCGATTTCAAACTTTCTACCGGCTCTGCGGAGGGGAATGTGGAGAATATCTCCCGGAAGATCGCCATCGGGCCGCAAAGGCTGTCGGTAATGCGGGTGATATTCCCGTAAGGCCGGGGAATCGGGTTACACTGCGGACGTGATTTCTGTAGGGAACGCCCTCCTTGGCGTTCCGAGATTTGCCGTTACGCACGGAACGCCACGGAGGGCGTTCCCTACAGTGGATGGGTCCGGAGAAATACTGGTCTCGACGGAATTCAATTCACACGTGCTGACTGAATCACTTAGAATGAGGGACCATTCGTATTTGCCCGCGCTGAGTCGTCCTGCCTGACATTGCGATCCATTTTCCGCAGCGGAGGATTCCTTGTCCGACTCCATTTTGAAAGGTCTGTCTAACGCACGTTGCCGTGGCCCTGGGGCGGCATCGCTGCGGTCTTTCTCGCGGCGAGATTTTCTTCGCACTGCCGGCGGTGGGCTGGGGATGGTGGCCCTGCAGTCGCTATTGAGCGGCGATGTGGTTCGCGGGAGTGAGTCGGCGAAGAACCCGTTGGCTCCGAAATCGCCTCATTTCGAACCGCGGGCTAAGCGAATGATCTGGCTGTTCATGCACGGGGGGCCCAGCCATGTGGATCTGTTCGACCCCAAGCCCGAGCTAGACAAATATGCCGGCCAGCCGCTGCCGGAGAGTTTCGGTCAGGTGATGACCCGTCGCGATGTGGCGAACAACCCACTGTTGCCGGCGGTGCGAAAGTTTCGACCCCGCGGTGAGTCGGGCCTGCCGGTGAGCGACTTCCTGCCGCATATCGCCGAGGTGGCCGACGACCTGTGTGTGATTCGCTCGCTGCACGGCGACAGTGTGAATCACCCGCAGTCGGTCTATCAGATGAATACGGGCAATATCCTGATGGGCCATCCCAGCGTGGGGAGTTGGGTCACCTATGGTTTGGGTTCGGAGAATGCCGACATGCCGGCGTTCGTGGTGTTGCCCGACCCTGGGACCGGCATCAAGGGTGGACCGCCAGCGTGGGGCAGCGGTTACCTTCCGGCTGCCTATCAGGGAACAACCATGCGGCCTGGGGCGACGCCGATTTTGAATCTCAATGCCCCGCCGTCGCTTTCGGCGGCTCAGCAACGCTCGACGCTCGATTTGGTGCAGTCGATGAATCGCCGGCACATGCAGGCCCGCGAGAGTGATGATGAGTTGGATGCGCGGATCAGTTCCTATGAACTTGCATACCGAATGCAGACCACTGCGCCGGAGATGATCGACCTGCGGCAAGAAACGGCCGAGACAAAGAAGCTCTACGGGCTCGATGACCCGAAGGCGCGGGAGTTCGGCGAGCGGTGTCTGTTGGCCCGCCGGATGATCGAGCGGGGCGTGCGGTTCGTGCAGCTTTACTCGGGCGACACGAATGGTTGGGACGCCCACAACGATGTCGATAAGAACCACACGGAATACTGTCGCAAGACCGACCAACCGATCGCCGGGCTATTGCACGATTTGAAACGCACGGGGCTGTTGGAAGACACGCTAGTGGTGTGGTGTGGCGAGTTCGGCCGGATGCCGATGAGTGAACAAGGCAAAGGCCGCGACCATAACCCCTGGGGGTACTGTGCGTGGCTGGCGGGAGCCGGCGTGCGGGGTGGAATGACCTACGGGGCGACCGACCCCATCGGGCTGCGAGCCGCCGAAGACAAAGTACACATCCACGACTTCCACGCCACGCTACTGCACATCATGGGCTTGGATTTCGAGGACCTCACCTATTACCACAACGGACTGGACGAGCGACTCACCGGCCAGGTCGAAGCTCGGGTGGTGAAGGAGATCCTCGCGTGATGCTGCTCCTTCGAACCATCCGCCGTCTCGCTATCTGCTGGCTGCTCATCGGCTGCGCTGTGTATGCAAGTGCCGTGTATGCCGAGGATGGCGGCAAGGTGCACGAAACGCCGGTCACGGCCGACGATCGCGATCATTGGGCGTTTCAGAAATTGGTGCGTCCTCCGGTGCCGGAAGTGAGCAATACCGCTTGGCCCCGCTCGGCGGTCGATTGCTTCATCTTGAGTGAGCTTGAGGATGAGAAACTATCGCCCAGCCGTGAAGCCGATCGTACGACGCTCATCCGTCGGGTGTACTTCGACCTGGTGGGCTTACCGCCTTCGCCGGAAGAGGTCGAGCGGTTTGTTAACGATGCCGAGGCGATGGCTTATGAACGCCTGATCGATCGACTTCTGACTTCACCCCATTACGGCGAGCGTTGGGCTCAGCATTGGCTCGATCTGGCTCGCTTTGCCGAGACCGACGGGTTCGAGCACGACAAGATCCGCCCGCACGCCTGGAAGTATCGCGATTGGGTGATCAACGCCCTGAACGATAACTTGCCCTACGATGAGTTCGTGCGACTGCAAATCGCGGGAGATGTGATCGCGGGAGATGATCCGGATGCCGTTGTGGCCACGGGGTTCTGCCTGGCCGGGCCGGACATGCCGGACATCAATTCGCAGGAGCAACGCAAGCACATCCTGCTGAACGAAATGACCGGCACCGTGGGCTCGGTGTTTCTGGGCCTGCAAATGGGTTGTGCTCAGTGCCACGACCATAAGTACGACCCGGTGAGTCAGGCCGACTTCTATCGTCTGCGTGCGTTCTTCAAGCCGGCCGTGCAGGTGAAGAAGAATCAGTCGGTGGAGACGCTGGTCTCCTCGCCCTCCGATGCGGTGGTGAGCCACATCTTGCTACGTGGGGACTGGCGGCGGTTGGGCCCTGAGGTTGAAGCGGCTTTCCCACGGATTGCCGACCCTTGGCAGCATCCCCTGAGTGCCGAAGATGCCGATCAACAACGGGCCGAACTGGCCTTCTGGATGACCAGGGGCGACCATCCGCTGACCGCGCGGGTGATGGTGAACCGCATTTGGGGATTCCATTTCGGTCGGGGTCTTTCAGGCACCCCCAGCGACTTCGGCCTGTTGGGCGAGGAGCCTACGCATCCGGAACTGCTCGACTGGCTGGCCGCCGAGTTTGTGGACTCGGGCTGGGACATGAAGGGGCTGCATCGTTTGTTGCTCACCTCGGCCGTGTATCGGCAGGCCAGCCACCCCGGGGAAGAGGCCGGTTCGGTTGATCGCTGGCAACAGGCTCGCGAGAGCGATCCCAGTAACGAGCTGCTGTGGTGCTTTCCACGGCAGCGGCTCGATGCGGAGATTGTTCGCGATGCGATGCTGGCCGCCTGTGGGACGTTGAACCCCGCACGGGGTGGACCGGGGGTTCGACCGCCGCTCCCGCCGGAGTTGGTCGGCACGCTGCTGAAGGACCAGTGGAACCCGAGCAAAGACGAGGCAGACCATTACCGCCGCAGCATCTACATCTTCGCCCGGCGGAACTTGAGGTATCCGTTGTTCGAAGTGTTCGATCGCCCGGCAGCCAACGCTAGTTGCCCCGATCGGGGACAAACCACCACGGCGCGACAGTCACTGCTGATGCTCAACTCGGAGTTGGTCCTGCAGATGGCCCAACAACTTGCCGGTCGCGTGTTGGACGAGGGGCATACCACGCCTGCAGAGCAAGCCACGGCGGTGTTCCGGCGGGCGCTGAGTCGTACACCGAAGGTGGATGAACTCGAAGAGTTGGTTGCATTCTTGCAGCAGCAACAGGCCCTGCTAACGACAGACGCACGGGCCAGCGAGGAACTATCGCTTCCGATCAGCAAGGCTTCGCTTGAGAACCCTTATGCCGCCGCGGCTTTGACCGATCTGTGTCTGGCGGTGTTGAACTCCAGCGAGTTTGTGTACGTCGATTGACGTGAGTTCTGTCAGTCGGCGTAACGTTCATTTCCTGTAGGGAACATCCGTTGCGATCCGGGCATTGTGGGGTTGGAACCTACCGGCATTCACCACGGCCAACAAAAAAAGCGACGCTCCAAAATCGTTTGACTTTGGAGCGTCGCTCGGAGTTTCATTGCCATCGACGGGGTCGAAAAGCTACTGCTTAGTCGGCCACGCGGACGGAAACAGCACACGGGCCTTTGCGGCCCTGGCCGATTTCGTATTGGACCATTTGACCTTCGCTCAATTCCTCGATGGTCGTACCTTGGACCTCCGAGTGATGGAAGAACATATCGTCCCGCTCACCTTCGATGAAACCAAAACCCTTGTCGGCCAAAATTTTCTTAATCTTTCCTTCTGGCATTGCTGCCCTCCACGCACCGAGACCTAACCATGGGTAAACGGGAACACTCGAAAGAAGCGTACCATCAACCCGAATAAAAAATTGGTGAGCAATCAGCCTTACACCTGGAATGCCGCTTCCATCAAAGGGCACAACTACCGAGAGCGGGGCTTCACAACAAGAATAAGGGAGGGCTTTCGACAGCCCGTAGAAAAACTCGATTCGCCTGCGACCAGCCTAGATAAGGTCTCAGCCCGGCGGTTGAAGCAGTTCTTCGGGCGGACGTTTTTTACCTGCTTCTATTCTCTCGTTGCTACTCGTCACCAAACACTGTGGGCAGATTATAGGTAAGCCCCAGCCCAATAGCAATGGACTGCAAACTTGGCCAGCAGGGCATTTTCCAAGGACCGAATTGCGAGGTGCGAGGTCTCAATTTCGCCCCGTCGAGGACCGAACTCCGAGCGGGCTGCCAGGGCCGGCCGTACGTTTTACCTATTCGCTCTGCTCAGACTCATGAGCCAGCAGGAAATAGGTTCCCCCGGGGCCTTCTACCACGGCCACTTGTCGATACTCATTCTCAGAAAGCCGGGCCAGAACGGCTTTTGTCGAAGCGGGGCCGGGGCCGACCACGATGTTTTGCGGAGGTTCGCCCGGCCATGGTATGGAACCTTCTGCGGTGGCTTCGGCGGCCAATGTGTTGGCCAGGGCGAAGCGGTAGTCGCCGCCGGGGGCCTTCAGATGGGCCAGGACATACAGCCAGGAGGCGTTCATCACCCAGAAATTGTCTCGCTGGGGTAGGAGTTCCTGCACTTCTGTGGCAACCGCCTGTTGTTCGGCCGCCGGATTGTCTCGCCAGGTTTGATAGATCACGCCCCCCAGTGCCAAGCCCCGCGGTACCAGCGGCAAGCAGAGCATTAACAACAACACGGCGGCCTTGTCCGACTGAATCGCCAACCGCCGCGAGAGCACATGGGCCAGCTCCACGGCCACCAGCATTGCCCAGAGCGCAGGAAGCTGCACGTAGTGAGGGTAGTCCCTCACGTACAGCGTCGCGGCGGTCCCCAGTAATCCACCTACGAGCGCGAAGTGAAATGGCAGACGCCCAACGAGTAGCAAGGCAATCCCCATCAGCACGAAGGCCGGCAAGGTCGCCAGGGCACTGGTTTCACTAAGGCCTAAGAATAAGCCCCGCAGGCCGAGGGCAGGATATCCCCCGGGGCGATCGCCGAATGTTGCCATGTGGGTGACAAACTCTTGCACGTTCAGCCCATTCAGCAGCGCATAGCAGACCGCCGGCAAGGGAATCATCACCAGAAACAGCACCGCAGAGAGAACGACCTGTTTTGGGCTGTGACTTGCTGCGTCGTTGCGGTGGGCTTCATCCGTCGCGCCCCGGCGAACCAGCACCAGCAGCAAGATGGCCGGCAGAGCCAGGAGTGCGTATTGCTTGACCATGAGTGCCGCACCGCACAGTAGCCCTGCGATGCAACTACTCCACATTCTGTGTCGCTGGCCCAAGACCACCATCGCGGCAAGCAGAAAGAAGTTGACCAGCGGCTCCAGCACGATGGCCGTTCCGTCCAGGGCGACGGTCCAGGCGGCGAATACGACGGCGGCCAGCAATGTCACGTCGCGTCGATAACCCCAACGCAACAACAGCCCGCACAGCAGCGCGGCATTGGCGGCGTGAATCAGCACCCACATGATCTTCACCACACGGGGGTTCGTTACCGCTTGAGGCCCCAGGAGCGAGAGCAACTCGATCGCCGCTGGAGGGTAATCGCAAGGAAGATCGCGATACAACGCTTGGCCCTGGGCCATATCCCGGGCCAGCGATAGATAGAGCCCCGCGTCGACATTCAGCGGCGCTCGCAGTAGCCCGACGATCCAGGCAACCAGCACCAGCAGCAACAATCCGCACGTCGTTGCTGGAATCAGGCTACGCATTCAAATCGATGTTGATAGAGAAACGTCAGACAACTTCCCGGCCCAAGGGCGATTCCACCGGCTGAGCGTGAGGTGCCGCAATATGAGGGCTGGGTACTTCCGAACTTCGTCGGTCGAGCTTCTCGTCAATATACTTGGCTGCCCGCTCGGTTGCGCCGGGCATCCCCACGCGTTGCTTGAGCGATTCGAGTTGTTGAATCGTCCGTTGCCGTGCGGCGGCGTCGGTAATCCAGGAAATGATGTGACCAGCGATGGCTTCGGAGCGATCTTGATAGGTGAGATACTCCGGAAAAACCTGTCGCTCGGGGGCGTCCCCTGGATCGGTAATCGGTGCTTCGTCCAGCGGATTGGGCGAGGCCAGCAAATTCACCAGCGTGATGTAACGCACCTTGCGGCAAATCCATTGGGCGAAGTAAGCGACCCGACCGATTGAGTACAAGATGACCGTGGGCTTTTCGTGGTGCAGCAACTCCAGCGACACCGAGCCCGAGACAGCCATCGCACATTCGGCCGCCGCGATCAACTCGGGCGTTTTGCCGACGAACACCTCGGCGTCGATTCCTGCTTCGCGTACGGCCGTCTCGGCGTACTCACCATGTTCTTGCTTGAAGGCGGCCACGGCGAACTTGACGTTGGGCACGTGAACCTTCACCACGCGCGCGGCCTTTAAGAAACTTCGCAGATTCTGTTGCACCTCTTGCGTGCGAGAGCCGGGCAGAATGGCCACCAACGGACGATCGGGCGTGTGCAACTTCTGCAGTACGGCTTCGTCCATCTGGTGATGGCGGACTTCGTCAAAGAACGGATGTCCCACCAACTCGGCGTTGCAACCTTGCTGCTTGAGCCACTCGCACTCGAACGGCAGTCCGCTCAAGACGTGATCGACGTAGCGACGCATCTTCTTCACCCGCCAGCGTCCCCAGGCCCAAATCTGTGGCGGTGAGAAGTAAAACACGGGAATGCCACGTTCCTTCGCCCGACGGGCAATCCACCAGTTGAAGCCCGGGTAGTCGACGAGAACGACCGCGTCGGGGCGTTCGGTTTCGAAGTACTGATCGGCCTGTTTGAGCAAGCCTAGGAATTTGTTGATGTTCAGCAGCACTCGCAAGAACCACATCACGGCCAGAGCCGTGAGTTCGAAGTGCAGCTTGCAGCCGGCGGCCTCCATCTTCGGGCCGCCGTAGCCCACGAACTCGGTGTTGGGGTCCAGGCGTTTCAACTCGCGGATGAGGTTGGCCGCGTGCAGGTCGCCGCTGGGCTCGCCGACCGAGAAAAAGATCTTCCGCTTACCTCGGGCCGAAGCCTCCGGCTGTTCGTGCACTTCGTAGTGTTTCATCGATCTCGATCGCACTCTGGCTATGGAAGGTGGACTGGTCGCGGCAACAAGCTATCCACGGTGCCGCAAGGCGCGGCGGGAAGTATGGCACAACACCCGAGGTCGGCAAACCCCAGTTTCGATGACGCATCCCATTTAATAAAAGGCACTTACGACATTCCGCGTGCACACACCGGCCCACGTTGATGGCCAATCTTCTTCTGCTGATTCGTCCAGTGGAGAGCGAGCCTGCGGATGAACGACAGCACGAAACAATCGCCACCGCCGGTGGTGGGCGTTATGGTGAAGCGTTGAACTGCCGTGTCCGACAGGGTTCGTCGGGCTCGGTTCCGGGGAACAGTTTTGTGGAGGCCGTCGTGGGTTGCAGGCGATTGCCAATCTTTGCACTGCTGGCCATCTCGCTGGCGTTCTGCGCACATCCCTCAGCGCGGGCGGATGAAGAGGGCGACTTCCAAACCGCCCAGCGTGAGATTCGGGAACAACTGCAGAGTAAACAGCCCGAGTCGCGACTTGCGGCGATCGACCGCCTCGGTCAGTACACCAGCATCCCCGCCGCGCGGATGATCGTGCTGACGTGTTTGAACGATGAAGCGCCCGAGGTTCGCACCGCGGCGCACGAAACGTTGGCCGAGCTGAGCCAGGATCCGGAGATCAGCCAGTTCCTGATCACCACATTCCAAAGAGAATATCGGCAACGCGATCGTCACCGCACCGCGGAGGCCCTGCTCACGATATTGCTCTCCTCTGGTTCGCCTGAAACACGAACCCAAACCGAGCAATGGATCGACCAGAAAATCGATCCCGAGTTCATCCAGCATGTGGCGCAGCAAGGCGATGCGGCGGCCGTTGAACTGCTGCGGAAGCTGAGCGAGACCGATGTATTCGTGAACCGCTTCGGCTTTCGTCGGGCGATTGTGCTTGCGCTGACCCAGATGGATTTGCCCGAGGCGGTCGACGTGCTGCTGGACCTCTTCGATACGCTCGAAGGAGAAGAACGCGTCGATATCGTCGTGTATCTCCGCGGTATCAGCGGACACGTCACGGGGCTTGATGTCGAATCGTGGCGGTACTGGTGGAAGAAGCAACGAGACGATTTCGAGTTCCCGCCGGTCGAGCAGCGTACCCGCAACAACGAAGAGATCACCATAATCGAGGAGGATGGCTCGTACTCGCGATACTATGGGATGCCGATTTTTGCCAAGAAGATCGTTTTCGTCATCGACGCCTCGACCAGCATGGAAGGGGGTCGCCTTGAAGCTGCCAAGCGAGAGTTACTGCAGGTAATCAAGGAGCTTCCGGAAGATAAACAATTCGCCGTGGTGGCGTACAACTCGCGAGCCTGGCCGTGGGAGCAACAACTAAAGCCTGCCAACGCGGCGGCAAAGCAAGCTGCCGCGGTGTTCGTGCTGGGGCTTCAGCCCGCGGGCAAGACGGCCACATTCGATGCCCTGGCGGCCGCCCTGGGTTACGACACCGAAGCGGTCTACTTCCTGAGCGATGGGGTGCCCACGACCGGGCGGATCACCGACCCGGCGGATATTCTCAAGGCCATCGCCAAGCTGAACCAAGGGCGATACGTCTCGATCTACACCATCGGCATTCAGGCCGACGCCGAGGGGATGGGCTTCGTCCGCTTCCTGGAACAGCTCGCCCTACAGAATGCTGGTCAATTTCTGCAGGTGAGCCGCTGAGCACGCCTCCGGGTAGTCCAGCCGCGCCGGCTGGATCGGCATAGCCGACAAGATGCCTTGAGTAGAATTCTCCCCGCCGCGAACGTTTGGGTGCGAAACAAGCTGACTGGTCCGTTCCCCCAGGATTGCATCAACTGGTCGAACGAACTTCCATCTGATCGAACGAACTTCCACCCAGGGCATCTTGTTAGCTGCGCTAACCCAGCCGGTGCGGCTGGGCCACCCAGGTGCAGTTCTGGCGGCTTTTCGGGCCGATCGTTTTGCGGCACTTTCTACGGTCGATTAGGATAGCGACACCGCGAGGAGGGGATTTTAGGCCTCTTCAGCGGCCCCACCTGCAGCATCACTCCCCAAACAGGAAGCGTGTTTTGGCATCTTCATTTTCATCCGGCTCGACGTGCGTCGGCTTGTTCCGACCTGTGTCGTGTCGCCTGTTCATTCTTGTCGCGACCGTCGCACTCACCTGCTCCACATCGTTTGGACAGAAAGTGCCCGAGGGGTTCAAGTCGGAACTGATCATGCAGGTGCCCGAGATTGAGCATCCTTCGGTGGTCACCTGCGACGACGAAGGCAACCTGTTCGTGGGCGAAGACCCCATGGACATGCGGGGCCCGACGACCGAACCCATCGATCGCGTGATCTACCTTCGCTGGTCGGATGACGATGGACCTCCGAAGAAGACCGTGTTCTGCGATGGCCTTTCGGCTGTGTTCGGGTTGGTGTGGTACGACGACGCGCTTTACGTGATGCATGCTCCGTACTACAGCGTGTTTCGCGATACCGACGGCGACGGGGTGGCCGACGAACGGAAAGACCTGGCCGAAGGGTTCGGCCCTCCGGCGGGCGTGTTCGGCTTCAACGATCACATCGTCACCGGAACCCGGCTGGGACTCGACGGGCTAGTTTATGTCTCCGTCGGCGATAAAGGCATCCAACGCGCCACCGGGGCCGACGGCTCTACGATCACGCTCGAGGGTGGCGGCGTGGTTCGGATGCGGCCCGACGGGACCGAGTTGGAGATTGTCTCTTCCGGCACACGCAATCACCTCGACGTGGCGATGGACTCGCTGGACAACATCTTCACCTACGACAACACCGACGATGGTCTCGGCTGGTGGACCCGTTTCACGCATCACATTCCCAGTGGTTACTACGGCTACCCTTACGATTACCACGACCATCCCGAGCGGCATCTTCCCCGCATCAGCGAACACGGCGGCGGATCGCCCTGCGGTGCGGCCTGTTATCGCGGGGCGGCCTGGCCCGAGCGGTACGTCGACAGTGGCTTCTTTTGCGAATGGGGCAAAGGCAAAGTGCAGCGGTTCAGCGTGAAGCCCAACGGGGCGACGTTCACCGCCGAAATCGAAGACTTCATGACGAACGACGGTACCGGCGACTTCCGCCCTCAAGATTTATGCTTTAGCCCCGATGGCCGCACGATGTATGTGGCAGACTGGAACTTCGGCGGATGGACGCAGCCCGAGCAACGAGGGCGGCTATATCGCGTGACCTACGTCGGCGACGATCTCCGCGACGTGCCTCCGGCCGATGCGGCGTGTGACGATGTGGACGCATTGATCGATCAACTGGATCATCCCAACTACCAGGCCCGCCGCGTGGCTCAAACTCAATTGGCGAAGCTTGGTCAACCGGCTGCCGAGGCACTGCCTGAATTGCTTAAGAAGGACGATGTCCCGGCCGTAGCGAAGGTGCATGCGATTTGGGCGCAGAACGCTTTGATTGATGAGTTGGAAGGCTACACGCCCGCGGAGGATTGGATCGCTCGGCTGGACGATCCCCAGGCGGATGTCCGCGGGCAGGCGGCGCGGGCGCTGGGGCTGCGGCGAATGAATGAGGCCGTCGAATCCCTGGTTGTTGCGTTAACCGACGACGCTCCCACCGTGCGGCTTCGCGCGGCGATTGCCTTGGGGTGGATTGGTAACTCCAACACCACCCCTGCTCTGTGGGAAGCCTTGGCCGACGAAGATCGGAACGTCAGCTTTGCGGCCATGCAGGCGTTGCGGACGATTGGCGATTGGTCGCTGGCTGGAAAATACCTCGACCACAGCAATGAAAAAATTCGCCAGGCAGCCCACGTCACACTGACTGGCCAATACGATGCGGACGCCGTTGAAGCACTGAGCCAAACCGTCGCCGAGGCCGAACACGCCGACGCTCGCGCCTCGGCCGTAGCGGCTCTGGCCGAGGTGCATCGTCAGGCCGATCCATACGAGTCGGGCTGGTGGGGAACGCAACCGGCGCGGAACCCGCCGGCACGGCCCAAGAAGAATGAATGGTCGGGCACGCCCGTCGTCATGCGAACGCTGATGGACGCCCTCGAACAAGACACCCCCGAGGTGCGTCTGGCCGCCGCCACGGCATTCGCCACGGTCGAGCATGAAGCGGCCCTGCCTGTGCTGCGGGCGATGGCCAGCGAGGATGAAGACGCAGCGGTCCGTCGAGCGGCGATCGAAACGCTTGTCACCCGTCGCGACGAGCAAACGGTGCCGCTGTTGGCCTCGGTGGCGGCCGACACTCAGCTCGACGATGAACTTCGCCGCGAAGCCGTCGCCGGCATCATGCGGATTGGCTCGGCCGAAGCGTTGGGGCAACTCATCGAGTTGATCGCCGACCAGAACACCTCGCCCGACTTGGTGGTGATGTGTATGGAAGCAGTCGCCAAACTCGAGTCGAATCAGGCCAACGATCAGATTCGCGTACGGCTGAAAGATAAAGACGCTGCGGTTCGTGCGATGGCAGCCAAGGTTTACTCGGGCCGCCTTGGCGATCAATCGGTCGTCGATCTGCTGCCGCTGTTGGAAGACCCTGAGACGACGGTTCGCCAGGCCGTTCTGCTGGCGCTCGGAAGCACCCACGCCACCGAAGCCGTACCGCAGCTCATCGCGGCGGCGGCCGACGAGGCGACCGAGTTCGAGGCGCTTTCGGCGCTGGCGATGATGGCCGACGCCCGCGCGTTCCCGCAGTACCTGACCGGTTTGGCTCACCGAAATCAGGCCCTTCGCGATGCCTCGCGGGCGGCACTCACGCAGATTCGCGAAGAGATCGCCGAAGAACTCATCGCCCTGCACGACCGCAACGAATTGCCCCAGGCGGTAATTCAAGACTTACAGATTGTTTACTCGACCCCCGCGCTGGTTTCTTCTTGGCACGTGTTGAACTCATGGACGAAACCGGAGGTGCCCGAGATCGACTTCAACGCGGCCCCCGACTTCGATGCCCCGGTGACCGTGGGCGAAGACACGGTTACCTGGCGAGTGATCGACGCCCAGGCTGAAACTGGAAGGGTATCGCTACACCGCACGTTGCGTCCCCGCGATTCGAGTTACACACTGGCCTACCTGGCAATTCCTGCACAGACCGACTCGCGTGCTCAACTGCAACTGGGGAGCGACGATCAGGTCACCTTGTGGGTCAACGGTGAAGAACTCCACAGCTTTGGCGGAAGCCGTGGTTGGGCTCCCGATCAGGCCACGGTTGATGTTGATCTGCATGAGGGCGTGAACCATGTGTGGCTGCTGCTGGGGAACGACGGTAGTCCCTGGGAGTTCAGCATGCATGTGGGACAGCGCGATCCTCGTTTTGCTTTCCTCGACCAATCGGTTCCCCCGCAACTGAACCTGGCCGCCTATGTGGATTACGCCACCGAACATGCGGGCGACGCCAAAAACGGCGAGCGGTTGTTCAACGACGCGAAGGGGATCGGTTGCGTGAAGTGCCATGCGGTCGATGGCTCTGTCGCCAAGGCCGGGCCCGACTTGCGGGGCGTCGGCACGAAATATCCGCGCCCCGAACTGATGCGTTCGATCCTCGAGCCCTCAAGCCGGATCCTCTCTGGCTACGAGCTTTCGGTGGTCATCACCGACGCGGGACAGGTGTTCCAGGGCGTGGTGAAACTTGAAAACGAAGAGGTCGTCGAGCTGATCGATGTGGAGGGCAAGTCGATCACCATCCCGGCCGACGAAGTGGACGAAATCGAGCGGAGCACCCTGTCGATGATGCCCAATGGGCTGAAAGACGGCATGTCTCTGCAAGATTTCGCCGACATCATCGCCTACCTCAGTGAATTGAAGGAAACCGAAGAACCCGTGGGCGGTCAATAACGCCCCCAGGGCGCATTGGGTGGGGTGCCCAACTAGAATGAGAGACGGCCATCCATCCTGCGGCCGACCCTCGAAATTGCGCATCTGCCCCATTCTTGAAGTTTCGAAGTTACAACAAACCTAGTCATTCATTCCTCACACCGAAAATCACCATGACGATGACGCAGCAAACCAACGGCCAACATAGTCAGGTATCACACAGTCAGGTATTACGGTTCACCACACGCTTCCTCCGCCGCACTGCTTGCCTGGCAGTGGCCTTCTACTTGAGCGGAGCCTGGCTCGCCACGGCTGAAGCACAAATTAAGTACCTCGAAGGGCACAGCGAACCGGTTTACGCCGTGGCCTACTCGCCCGATGGGAAGTACCTGGTAACCGGCAGCTTCGACAAAACGGTTCGCATCTGGGATCGGCAAACCGGGCAGGTGGTGCAAACACTGGAAGATGCCGACAACCTGATTCTTAGCGTGGCCGTCTCGCCCGACGGAAAGCAACTCGCCAGCGGCGGGCTGGGTAAAGCCGTACTGGTGTACGACATGCCGACCAGTGGACCGTTGGCCGAGTGGAGCGACTTCGACGGGTCGGTCACCGGTGTCGATCTTTCTGAAGATGGCACCCGACTGCTCACCGGCGATCGCAGCGGCAACGTGAAACTGTGGGACACGGCCGCGGGTCAAGTTGTGCACAACTTCCCCAGCGACGATACACCCGTGGTGGCCGTAAAGCTTAGCGACGACAACACACTGGCTCTCGCGGCAACTTCCCACGGTACCGTGAAGGCCTGGACCACGGCCGACGGTAAGCCGGCCGCCACGCTGGAAACTGGAACGCCCATCCAAGACCTGGCCCTGCGAGCGGGCAATACCGCGTTGATCACTGGCGACTACGACGGGGTGCTTCGCCAATACACATGGCCGCCTGCGGCGCCCACTTCGGTTGCCGCCCCGCAACCACTTCGGGCCATCGTGCGCGATCCTTCCGGGGCGTGGTTGGCCACGGCTTGCGACGATGGTCACGTGCGGATTCATCAGGCCGCCGATGGCGCCGAACAAAGGGCGATCAACGTCGGAGGCAAGCTCACTTCGCTGGCCGTGAACCACGACGGAACGCAACTGGCCGCGGCGGGGGCCGACGGTCGCGTGACGCTGATCAACCCGGCCGACGGAGCCACACTCGGTGCATTCAAGCCGCACGGGAGCGAAGTCACCGCCCTGGCATTCCACCCCCAAGGCACACAACTGGCCACCGCTGGGGCCAACGGAGCTATTCGCATCTGGCAGTTACCGCTACCCTCGGCCAGCGAGATGCCCGCCACCGAAGGTACGGTTGGCTCCATCGCTTCGGTCGCCTCGAGCGACGGTCGCAAGAAATATCTCGCCGGAAGCGACCAGCGGATTCGCATGGTCGATACCGAAACCGGTGGGGTGCTGGCCATCGAAGGTCAGGCCGGCGATCTCACCGCGTTGGCCTTGGCCGCCGAAGAAGGTCACCTGCTGGCCGGCGACGCGGCCGGGAAAGTGAAGCAGTGGAACACGGCCGACGGTTCGCTGGTTCGCCACATCGACGCTCACAAAAGTGGCGTGGTTGGTGTGGGTGTGTTGAACGAACTGAGACAAGTCGTCACCGCGGGCGATCATCGTCTGCGGTTTTGGAAGGCGGCCGACGGGACTGAGGTTCGCACTGTGGATGTGAAGGTGCCCGTCACCGCGCTGGCCATGCGTGGCGACGACCAACTGCTGGCCGTCGGTTGTGGTGACAACAAGGTCCGCGTTTACAAGCCGGCCGAAGACGAACCCACCGCCACGATCGACGCCCACGGGGCACCGCTCACCGCCGTGGCGTTCTCGCCCGACGGTTCGCAGCTTATCACCTGTGGCCAAGACAAAACGGTGGCCGTATGGCAGGTCGGTTCGAACGAACGACTGCAACTCGAGACGCTTCCGGCCGTCGCGCGCAGTGTTGAAGTGGCTGCCGACGGAAAGCGGCTGCTGGCCCGTTGCGAAGACAACCTGGTACGCAGCCTCCCGATTCAAACGCCTATGCGAATCGCCGGTCATGGTGCAGGCAAAACCGTGCTCGCGTTCACACCCGATGGTTCGCGGCTGGTCACCGGCGGTACCGACCGCATGGTGCATCTGTGGGATGTGGCGAGCGGGTCGAAGGTGCAATCGCTGGCCGGTGCAGTCGACGATATTCTTGCCGTGGCCGCCAGCCCCGACGGGCAGTATGTCTCCGCTGGAAGCAAAGACGGGCACGCTCGATTGTGGCAGCTCGAGCGCAAGGTGATGATCGGTGACTGGCCCACGCGGAACCCTGTGCTAAGCGTGGCGTTCACACCCGACTCGAAACGGGTGCTGGCCGCCGGTGACGACGATCGCGGACACATCATCGACATCGAACGAGCCAAACCCCAAGAGCAGCTCGCCGGTCATACCGCGGCGGTGAATGGGATTGTCGCCCTACCTGATGGTCGTGTGGCCACCTGCGGGGCAGACAACACTTTGAAGCTATGGAGTTCGCCGGTCACTAAGCCCCTTACGGCTCATCCGCGTGGTGTGAATGCAGTGTCGTTTGCCTCCGGGGGAACGCAACTGTTCACCGCCGGTGAAGATGGCGTGCTTACGCTGTGGAATCCTGAGGACTTCACCCCCACGCTGCAATTCAGTGGGGCGGTGGCTGGGCTGAAATCGATCGACGTTCAAGACCCTGGTACGCTGGTCGCCGCGGGTGGCGATGATGGTGTAGTCCGCGTGTGGAGAACCACCGACGGAGCGCCGGTGATGGAAGTGCAAACCCCGCTGGCCGTGACGGCCGTGGCGATCAGTCGCGATGGCTCTCAGGTGCACATCGGCGCGGGCGACAACGCGGTGCGGAGCTACCGCATCCCCTCGGGCGAGATGATCGCCGAGTACAAACAACATGCGGCCGCCGTGACCGACCTGGCAGTGGCCGCCGCCGGAAACCGCCTCTACAGTGCGGGGCTCGATCATTCAGTCGTCGCCTGGCAACCGACTTCATCGACCGCTCGGTTGCGGCTCGAAGGGCATACCTCGCATGTCTACGCGTTGGCCTTCAACAATGACTCAACGAAGCTGGCCTCCGGCAGTGCCGACAAGACGATTCGCTTCTGGAATACGGCCGACGGGGCGAACGACGCCACCGGCGAAGGACACGAGTCGCAGGTCTACTCGCTGGACTTCCACCCACAGCAAGATGTGCTGGCCAGCGGTGGGGCCGACAAATCAATTCGCTTCTGGAACCCGGCCGACGGCAAACAATCGAGTGAGATCAAGGAAGGCATCGCCGACGGAATTTACTCTGTGGAATATTCGGCGGATGGTGCGGAGTTGATCGCCGCCGGGCTGGCCAAAACTTGGCAACGCTTCAATCCGGCCGACGGCAGCGTGATGGCGACCACCGGCGGGCATAGCGATCACATCTATCGGGCCTTGTATTCACCCGATGGTACGCGCGTGGCCACGCTCGGCTACGCCGGCACGCTCATGCTGTGGGACAGGGCCACGGCACAGCAACAGCACTCAGAAACCTTGCCAGTGAAGGCCGCCTTCTCGATGGCGTACTCGCCCGATGGCAGCGAACTGGCGATTGCCACCAGCGACAACCGGTTGTTGTTGTTTACGGTTCCCCCTGTTGAAGAAGCTGCGGCAGAGGAGTAACAGAGTCGCGCGTTAGCTCTTGAATTAACACCGGGTGGCCCAGGTTCTTGAACCTGGGTCGCCGCAGGCGACAAGAGGTCATAGATTTAGTTCTGCGCTGCCTTACGCTTTCTGCACATGGCGAGCCAGACGTTTGACTGAGCGGCAGGGTCTACGTCTCCACGAGAGTGAAGCCAACTTCAGGGCCTCCGGTGGCTGCGCCACACCGGATCGAGATCCGGTGGTACCCATCGGGGAAATCTCTCGCTCTTTAAATGCAACAAGGGGAAGGCCTGGAGACCTTCCCCTTGTTGTTGATCATCTTGCTCTTACGGTCGCTCGAAAGCGATCACAACAGGCTGACTATTCAGTTTCATTGAGCTGCGGCACCTTGGCGGTGTACTTCGCAGGGTCGGCTTCGAACTTCTTCGAGCAGCCGCCGCAGCAGAAGTAAACCTTCTGACCGTCGTACTCAACCGACTTGTCGACGTTGATCGGCTTGCCGGCTACGGGGCATTCTGTTTGCAAGGTGAAACCCTTGGAGAAGTCGCCAAAGACTAGAGCCAGGAGTTCATCGCCCGAGGCTTTGCTGGCCTTGCCTTTGCAACCACCGCAGCAGAACGCGACTTCGGCCGAACCAACGGCGACCGTCATCTCTTCGTTCACCGGCTTGCCGGAGATCGGGCAGGCGACCTGCGTGATCTGCCCGGTTTCCAGCCATTGCTCGTCAACCTTCTGGGCATACTTCTCGGGGTCAGCTTCGAAGCCAGCGGGGCAACCGGGGCAGCAGAAGTAAACTTTCTTACCCTTGTAGTCGACCGCAACACCTTCTTGGGCCGGCTTGCCGGACAGCGGGCAATTGGCCGTGAAACCCTTGTCTTCGTCGGCCGTGGCCACCGAACTACCGGCGGTGAACAACGCGGCAGCGGCAACAATCGCGACAGCGGCCAGTGCGAACTTTGCTTTCATCGTCATCTTAAGCATTCCTTTTCTTAGTGAGTCTCTTATCACCGCGTTACGTCGTTAGCGGCGAATCAACTGCAGAATAAACTTTGCAACAACACAGAATGATTCGAGTTCAACAAGGGGCGTCATCGCGCGATGACGGCGCTCTAAGTCTCGAATGAGGGTGCGCGGTCTAGAGGTGCATGATCACAGCATGCGATACTCGCGCACCGAGTTGGTCAAACTTGCCAACAGCAGTAGAGTTCTCGCAACGAGACGGGAATCTGCAAACCGCACTGCGGTGCATGAACCCTAGGGCGAGAAGAATGATCGGCCGTGGTGGCCAACACACTGTGCGATGAAGCACAGTCCAGCAAACGTAGCGGTTCGGGCTGAGATGCCCGACGCGCGGTATCCAGCGGGGTCGGGGTGTGTGAATTGCAATTGCAATGAGCCTGCGCGGTGGCATCGACTGGCTTCAACGCCGCCGATTCTTCGTTTTTCGCAGGTTCTTGGGCTGCATTTCGCTTCTGGCAGCAAGATTTCTTCTGAGCGTTCTGCGAGTCTTCGCTCGTTGCGGCCTTGCGACGACAGCAACAGCAGCCATCGGTGCCACAGGCGCCAGTACCGCACTTGCAGCTTGAAGAGCCGTCGCTCAGAGACGACATGTTGCAGGCGCTGGCGGTCGAGAGATTCAGCGGGGCGCCCAACATGGAGAACGCTAGCAGAAAGGAAATCAGTCGATTTTTTCTGCGAAAGTGAATCATATCCGCACACAATTGAGATGTCGGGACCCGCCGCCATTCTTGCCGGCACACCCGCAAAGTCAAGCTATTCCCGCTCGCTTTACGTCAAGCATATCGTCCGTTTTGCAGTCGAAAATCAGTCGAGTTTGCCGATTCTGAGGGCTGCGTAGGGAATGACGACCCGTTCTGAGCTCGAGCTAGATGCGTGCCAGTACACGCTGTCGACCAGAGGCCGGCAGGCCAGTTTTCCCCAAAGCATCGCAACCAAACAACTTACTGCCCCAGCGCAAACTGAGGCGGGGCGAGACAATATCAGGAGCCAGTGGCGAACGCCAGATCAACAGAGCCATGCCAAGTGCAAGGCTCCGCCTGCTGGCTTTCATTTCCAGCTTACTTGCCGGCGGTCCCGGCGGCGGGATTCTCTGGTGCAACAAGCTTACCAATCATCGAATAGATGTTGATCAGGGCCTGGTTCATCAGCTGTTCGCCGGCGCCAATTTCCACGGGCGATACCGGAGGGTCGGCCCCGTAGCCGCCTTCGGAGACGGCCTCGATCGTGGGGAAGTACAGGTTGTGGCCGTTGCAGTAGCCAAAGAACAGCGTGTGATCGAGGTAGCTTCGCTCCTTCAAGCGGTTGCTGTGGTTGCAGAAGAACTCACCCGATCCGCCCACCAGGGCAATGTTGCCATTGAGGATCACCGTGTTGAGTTCGGTCTGCACTCCGTCTTCCATCTCATCGCCAAAGTTGGCCACCAACTCTGGGAAGAAGGCTCGACCAAAGGCCACGCGAATCCAAGGATTGCTGAAGTCGATTCGCGAGGGGAACGTGAAGTAATCGACCTTGCCTTTGAGCGTAGGTTCCTCGGGCACGCTGGTTTCAATGCCGTTGGCAATCTCGACTACTTCGTTGCCCAGGACCTCGCCGAAGGCTTCATACCCGCTGACACCCTGGGGCGAGTTCGACGATTGGTCGCCGGCGGCTCCCTGCATGAAGACGCTGGTGGTGCCGAGCTTCTCCTCCACGGTGTTGTGCATCGAACCGACGTAGTCGGCCGAGTACTTCAGAATGTTCGAATCGATCGACGTGGGGTGTGCGGCGAAGTTCACCAGAATCCCAATCGGATTACCCTCCATGTCGTCGAACCGCATGACGGCCAGCATGGGATCCGTGGCTTTCGGGAGCCGCTTGGTGTGACGATTGCGATTCAAAGCGACATTCTTCGTGCCCACGCCCATCTTCGCCGGCTGCAGGGCGGCATCGGCCTCGAGGATGACCTCGATCAACGTATGCGGGAACTGTTCGGCATACTCCACGGCTTTGTCGAACTTGCCTTTGCCGTAGCCTTCTTTGTCGGTCAGCTCAATCACGGGGCCGTGATGGGTGTGGCTGCCGGAGATCATTACATTCTCGATGCCCGCCTTCTCGGAGAGTTCCTTGCGGATGAGCTTCATCATCTCGATGGTCGGACCACGCCCGATATCGAGGCCGACCAGGGCCAGCTTGTCGTCGCCGGCCTGAATCACCACGGCCTTGGCATACAACGGGTCGAGCACTCCCTCCGACAAGTCAGCGTGACGATCGCCATAGCCCCACATGGGGATGCCCGTGGGCGGGGTGATATCGCGAGCGGCCACACCGACTTTGAATTCGGCCTTGTCTTTCGCCACCGCAGGAGAATCGAGCGTTGCCACGCAGACGGCGACGCCCACGCTGAAGAGGATCGTCAGAGCTCTGAGGGATTTGATCGTGCCTTGCAAAGTCTTCATGCCGTAAATCTCTATCCGTTGGGCAGGAGAAAGCCGAATGCAAAACGCCGCCGTGCCGTGAAGATCAGCCGGGACGATTCGCCAGCGGGAGGGTTACCACCGAAGTCCCTAGCATACCACGGGCGTCGCTCAAAGCGCAGCAGGTCTGCCCGATTCCATGATCGAGCCAGGTGCTGATGGGGGCCATCCTCACCCAGGCGGTCTCTGGCGAGCGTGCCAAGTGGATCGTCAAGTCGGCGTTGGCGAACAACATCGGTGGGTTGTCCAGAGCGACCGGGGCCCCCAGGGCGTTTCCACAGTCGGCTGCCGCAGCAACCGCGGCAGTGGTCGAAAGCGGCACACCCTCGAGGAGGTCGGCATGCACGTGAAGCCACGCTTCGGAAGGCACGGGGCGAAAAAATGCACCTTCGACCCGCATCCGCAAGTCGCAGCATTGCAGAAAGGGCGCCATGGGTCGGCCGTCGGGTTGTTGGGTCAATGGGGTGAAGTCATCCGGCGTATCACCCGGCGGGGCGAGTTCGAGCCCCGTGCCTTGAAGTTGCGGAAGCGAGACCTCCATCTCCTGCGTTCGCTGCACGCGGGCGGTGGCCGTGAGTTTGTCTTCCTGGATCAGATCGAGTTGGTGCAGCCCTACGCGGCGGCCCATTTTCACCGTGGAAGTTTTCACCACAATCGGCGAGCGAGTCACCGGGCGCAATAGATCGAGCGTCAACCTTGTGGTCACCACATCGTCCCCCGGCTGAAGTTCTTCACCGACGCTCACGCAGAGTGCGGCCACAGGGCCGGCGTGCAAGTGCTGCGGCGACCAGGGCCCCACACAGGCCTCGAGCGGGGTCCACACCTGTCCTTCGCGCTCGAAGAATACAGTCTTCATGTCACTCACGCACTTCCTCCGTTCCGTGCAAAAACTACTCGTCCCACAGTCCTTCTGGGATTGGCTTGGCCTCGACCACTTCGATCAACACGTTGTTGGGCCCACGGACGAAGAAGCTGCGCATCTTGAGTTCTTCATTGAACTCCGGCGGGGCGACGATCTCCACACCGTCGGCCTTCATTCGCTCGAACACCGGGTCGATATCGCGATACGAGAACGCGATGTGATCGATGGGACGATTGTCGGTCGGTTGAATGTCCTTCAACGGAGGGTCGGGCCACCAGGTGGGCGATTCTTCGTAGTCGGGCTTGCCGAAGAAGATCATATTCACGTTGTCGCACTGAATGCTGTTCATCCAGATGCCGGCCAACGTGTTGGGGTCGCCAGTTGGCTTGGGGCGCACCGGCACGCGGGGTTTGATTCCCAGGTGTTTGCTGTACCAGGCCACCGTTTCGTTCACATCGTCGCAGAAAAAATGTACATGGCCGAAACGGTGGTGCCCCATCGTGTTGATCTCGATGAGTTCCTTGTCGGGCCCGTTGATGTACATGTAGTAATTGTCGTTGCCCGGCAGCGGTGAGAGCCGGGTGTGGATATCGACCCCGTGTCGTAGCCACCATTCGTATTCGTTCTTCACATCGACCCCACCCCAACCAATGTGCCATATGCCGGTGTTGAGCGTTGGATCGGGGGCGTCGTCGACCTCGTTAAAGAGAATGAACGACCGCTCGACAAACAAACCATCGCTCGCGTTGCGGAACTTCACCGGCACCGCGCCGAACACCCGACGGTAGAACCGCATCGAGTCTTTGGCGTCGGTCACGTTCAGTCGGACATGATGGAAGTGGGCCGGTTCGGCATCCTCGGCTGCCGCCTTCGGGGCATTCATCCCCGGAGAAATCAGCCACGCGATGGTGCCCAACAGGATGATTCCCAGCGTGCGTCGCGTTATCATCGAAGTCTCCTCGTCGTGCGCGTGTACCGTCGTCCCACCTACGCGACGGCGGGCTGTATTGTAATCGAAGCCGACGCCCGATTCCTCCGCCCGGTACGCCGCGACGAACCCACCCCCACCGGAGAAGCCATCTTGCCTGATTCGCAACGAAGCAACGGTCGTAGCACGGGCCCAATCTGCCGTGGAAAGTGGCGTGGCATCCAGCTGTGGCTGATTCTCTTCCTCATCGCGGCCTCGGCCGTTCAATCGCAGGCCGACGAAGATGCTTCCCGCACTACTCCCCTTCCCCCGAGTGAAGCAATTGAGCAGTTCGTTTTCACACCCGGCGTGCGTGTAGAACTGGTGGCTGCTGAACCGGCGGTGATCGACCCCGTAGAGATTCGCTTCGATGAACGGGGAAGAATGTGGGTTGTGGAAATGCGGGGCTATCCCGACGGACCGGCCGAGGGTGAGCGGCCGCAGTCGCGGATCCGGGTGCTTGAAGACTGCGACGGCGATGGGTTCTTTGAAACGGCACACACCTTCGCCGAAGGATTGCTCCTTCCCACCGGACTGCAACCGTGGCGCGAGGGGGTGATCATAACGAAGGCCGACCGGGTGGTCTACCTGCATCGCGAACCGGGCTGGGAGACTGACCCTGCCACGGCCAGCACTCCGCCGGAAGAAGAACTATGGCTGGCCGGGTTCGCCGAGCAGAACGAACAACTGCGGGCCAACCATCCGCGGCTGGCTCCCGACGGGCATATTTATGTGGCCAACGGATTGCGAAGCGGTTCGGTGGTGGATCATCGTGGTGATTCACCTGCGGAACCGCTCGAGATCCGCGGCCGCGATGTTCGCTTCGACCCCAACGGTGGCCCATTGGAAGCGATGAGCGGGCCGGGGCAATTCGGGATGACGTTCGATGAGTTCGGGCGTCGCTTCATCTGCAGCAATCGCAACCCGTTGATGCACGTCGTGCTGGAAGGCGAACCGACGCGGCGGAATCCGCTCTTTGCCTTGCCCGCCACGCTGCACGATGTGGCCGCCGCGGGGGAAGCTTCCCGCGTGTATGCTTTGACCGAAGCTTGGACCACTTCGATGATGCACGCCGGCCAGTTCACCGCCGCCTGCGGGGTGCATCTCTACCGCGGCAATGCGCTGCCCGAGCCGTTTCACTCCCAGGCGTTCGTTTGTGAGCCAACCGGGAGTTTGGTGCGATGTGAATTAATGGAGCCCAGCGGTGGTACATTTCTTTCGCACCCGGAGCGAGAGAAAGCTGAGTTTCTGGCCTCTCGCGATCCCTGGTTTCGCCCGGTGAACCTTGAGACTGGGCCCGATGGTGCACTCTACATCGTCGACATGCATCGGACCGTGATCGAACATCCTGACTTCATGCCCGAGGAACTGCGAACTCGCCGGGACCTGACCCGTGGCAACAACGCTGGCAGAATCTACCGTGTGGTGACCGCCGAACGTCCTTCGCCAGGCACGCAGGTCGATCTATCGTCGCGATCGCCCGGGGAGTTGGTCGCCGCGTTGGATGACGAGAACGGTTGGGTTCGAGAGACGGCATTTCGGTTGTTGCATGAAAACGATGAGGCCTCGGCTCAGTCGGCCTTGGCCCAGCAAGTACGCACGGCCCGTCATCCGGAAGGTCGAGCGTGGTCGCTGTGGACGTTGACGGCGTTGGATGCGCTGAGCGACGAGGTGCTGCTGGCCGCCTTGAATGACGACGATGCCCGCGTGCAAGAGGTGGCCGTGCGACTGTCGACCCCGCGGCTTGGAGATTCGGCATCGGTTCGCGAAGCCGTGATCGCATTGGCCGGTGCGGATGATGCCCGGCTTCGATTCTGCGTGGCATTGGCGATCGGCGGCATGGAAGGCGACGAGGCTCGGAATGCGTTGGTGAGTATTGCTAGCCAAGGGTCCGGCGATGTGTGGACGCGGCGGGCAGTCGCAACCGCACAACCGGAACTGGCCGTGGCGGTGACCACCGAGTTGCTGGCCGGGGCCTCCGCGTCGGGAGCGCGCGACGATGAAGGCTTTCGGTTACTGCTGACTCAACTCTGCGAAATGGTCGGACGCAGCAAGAATGCACAGTGGACCGAAGCGGCCTTTGTCGCTGCGATGAAACCGGGCGAGTGGTCTGACGATGCGGCCCGGGGGAACGGAGTGGCCGCACTTTCGGGACTAGCCCGGGGGTTGGCGGCCACGGGTCAGCCGCTGTCGAGTTGGTTGTCACGCACCAGCGATCAGGCAGCAGAGGGTGTCGCACGGGCGGAGGAATTGTTCATCCGAACGGTAGATGTTGCACGCTCTAACGAAAGCTCGTCCGACGATCGTGACGCCGCCATCGAGTTCTTGCGGTATGGAACCTGGGACCAGGTTGGTGAGGCATTACTCCCGATCGCCACGGGAAACGAGCCGGCCCAAGTGAAGCAGGCCGCAGTCAATTCTTTGCGGGCCTTCTCCGACACCGCCGTTGCGGAAGAACTCCTCGGGGAGTTCAATGCTCAAACCCCGGCCATTCGGCGGGCGATGCTTGATTTGCTGCTTAGCCGCCCGGCGTGGTGCGATGTGCTGTTGACCGCCATTGAAGCAGGCGACGTCGACCGGGGTGAGTTCGACCCGTTGCGTCGGGCGAAGCTGACCGAGCACAAAGATCCGGCCCTTCGCCAGCGGGGACGCGAGTTGCTCGCGCGCGAGACGGCGGCCGATCGGGCAGCGGTGATCGAGGAATACACCGCGGCCCTTGAGCTTCCGGCCGACACGCTGCGGGGCCGGGAGGTGTTCAAGAAGAACTGTGCCAGTTGCCATCGCGTGGCCGGCGTGGGGGTCGATGTGGCCCCCGACATCGCCGATTCGTACAACAAGAAACCGCCGCAGTTGCTCACCGATATCCTCGACCCCAATCGGGCGATCGACAGCAACTACGTCAGCTACACCGTCATCACCACCGACGGGCAAGTACTCACCGGGATCATCGCCTCGGAAACCGCCACGGCGATCACTCTTCGCCAACAAGAAGACCGCCAGGTGACGCTGCTCCGCGACGACATCGACGAACTGCATTCCAACGGCCTGTCGCTGATGCCCGAGGGCTTGGAGCAGAACCTCAGCCCCCAGCAGATGGCCGACGTAATTCGGTTCATCAAGAACTGGCGGTATCTGGAGAGTGATATTCCTTTGGGGGAGTGAGACGACAGCTCCTGCTTAGCGAAAAGATGAGCAGGAGTCCCTGATCGCTACGTAAGGTAGTATTTTTCAGCGATTGGGCCGAATACGCTTGGTTTGGCGAATACGTAATAGATTAGTTCTCCATCGCCATACAACCTTATGAATTGCTCTTCGTGGCCGGATTCCCGAAGTGAAAGATTTAGCACTTCTTCAACTGCCTTTCCGTCGTGATATGACCTGTATTGATCGGCCCGAAATCGGTAGAGTTTGCCGTCATGGATGAACTGCACGACGTAATGTGAACTCTTGTACTCGTCTTCGTCACCATAGTCGATTGATCCATCATCAAGGCTGTGCCAAATTTGACTTGGCGATTCGACACTGAAGAGGCCTTTAGTCGCATCGGCGAATTTTGATACTAGGCGATGATGGGCAACTGGTAACTCTCCAGTCTTGCATACAAATCGAACAAGAACTCCGGCCTCTTTTAAAGCCGCAAGCAATTCACTGGCCTCTGTCTCATCTACATTCGGCTCGGCCCTGCGACGACGCACTTCGTTTAGGCGAGTCACAATTTCATCTGGTGGCTCAGAGATAACTCCTGCAGAAGCCAAGTCATCTAAAGCATCTCTTAAACGAAGAGAGTTTAGTTTCCAGGCAGCCCACATTTTATTGTAAGAATGCATCTTCCCCAGTAGGTTTTTTAGTGCTAGGCGGCCTTCCTCACCAAGCTCTCTTAAGACGAAACGCATCTCGTCCACATTGAGCACCTTAGGATTCTTCAGCAGTACCCGGAGCACTCGAGAAACATCCCCCTTCTCAACTCGTCCAGACATCATCTGAATGGCCGTCCACGTGCTTCTTGGACTCTCCGAAAGGTGCTGCAATGCGAGATCCACTGCAACCTCCGGCATCGCCTGAGCGATTCCTTCAAGGGCCCAATGTCGGCTCACCAAATCTTTTGCGTTGCAAGAAATATCCTCAAGAAGTGGAACCGCCTCCCTTGTTGCGGTAATTCCTAAGCTGCTAGCTACCTGTTGTTCATAACGCTGCTCGAATCGGTGTCGCCTCACGTAGTCATGGGCAGCTTTTCTGGCCCGCATCGACATGGCAGGATTCGAGCTTTCCAACACACCCCTGAGAAAACTGCAGACGGATGGGTTATATTTCTCCCGAGTAAAGATATGTTCCAATATGACTTCAACAGTCTTTGGCTTGGTCGCGACTAGGGCCAAGTAACAAGCAACCTCTGCTAAGTCGATTACTTCTCGATTCTGCAGAACTGAAACGAGCCGTTCTTCGGTGCCCGTAAGGCGGCGCGTTGCACAGACTTTGATCGCCATCATTCTGGTCCGCTCATCCGGGTCTGAAATCATCGAGAGAAGTAGCTTTGCCCTACCACCAGTTTCAGCTTCTCGATGTTCATTCCAGAACTGCTTCACCGAGCAGTACCTCAGATCGACACTCTCTGAGGTTAGCGAGTCCAGCAAGAATTGTTCGCCTGCAACTTCCCCTAGTCGATGAAGCACAGTTGCAGCGCGGACCCTGATTAAGGCCGCCACTCGAGAATCATTCATAGTGCCAAGCAGTAAGGGCAAGCTCCTTTCGAGGCTGATTCGCAACGCCCAAAAGTGGTTTGCATCGAACAGCCAGTCCTCATTCTTGACGGCTTCTATCGCTTCTTTGAAGAGGGCTTCTACCTGCTGCCTATGTAACTCGCGTGCTTCTGCAATTTCCGTTTCATCGGTGAGTTGCTGAATCTCGCCTACGCCTAGATATGACTCGCTGTCGTTCTTCGATGGTGAGTGAGCAGCCTGCTCGACCGGCAATCGATTCGGCTCACCATTTTCAGATTGATAGCTCATGTTATGCCCTGCCCGATGTGCGGTGGTGAGGTCAGCTCAAGGTACAGCGACACAGTTGGGACTTGCTCGGTTCGCCGAGCAATAGCCTGACCGCACTAGTGAATGGATATGCCACTCTAAGAAGAGATGTCACACCGTAGCTCTATCGGCGGCTAGTTCGCATTTCTACCCTGATATACTAAAAATGCCGACTCAGATCAGAATTTCTACTCATCTTCAATCGCAGCGCGTTATATCTCCCGCGCATTGTCGCCCTTGGACTTAGGCAGGCTTTCCCGTCCCTGTGGGAACTGAGTTCACGAGGGTGTCGCAATGTCCAAGATTCGTCAATACGTTCATCTCTTGTTGCTGGGTGTGGCCGGGTGCCTGTTTGTTGGCTCGTTGTTGCTGCCAGGGTTCGTGCTCGACTTGGAACCATGGGGGGAGGACGTCCCGGCCCCGGGATGGTTGTGCACGTTGGTGTACTTTCCCGCCTGGCCTGCGAACGTGTTGCTGCTGTTTTCCCCGCTGCTGAGCTGGATAGCCGGCCAGACTAAACCACGAACAGCCGGGTGGCTGTCCGGCATGTACTGCGGTGTGTGCGCCCTGACCTGCGGTGTCTCGCTGACGGCCGCGGTCGCGTTCGACCATTCAGACACTCTGCAGGTCGGCTTCTATGTCTGGACCGCTTCGCTGGCCATGGCGGCTTTATCGTTCTTAATCGGGCCGACCAATCGTGAAGATCGCACTCGATTCCTATCCGTCGACACACAGGACCAAGTGCCTGAAAAGGAAAAGGTGTAGACATGAAAGATCCATTGAGTGAACTTGGCCGCAGCTTGGTGAGAATTATTGGAACCTTCGTCGGGTCGCTACTCGGGCTTGTCTTTGGGTTGGTGCTCGGGGGAATTCCTGCCGTACTATTCTCAATGATGCCGGAAAACCAAGGCGGCGGAATGGTTGTGATGCTTGCCGCAATCTTCACTGTCCTTGTCATTGCTCCTGCGGGAGCGATCAAGGGAGGACTATTCGGAGGGAACTTTGCAGAACGGCTTTACAATCGCAGAAGTCCAGCAAGCGTCACCGCAAAGCACCTTCCGTCGCCGCAAGATTCGAATCTTTATGCGAGTTTTGGGAAGGAGTAGGCTAGTCGACCCGCAGTGTGATTGCTGCTTCAGCCGAACCTTCGCTAGATTTATGTCTCGAAGGCCCCGGGCCAACTGGGCAGCAGAGCAACTCAGATTCGAACGAGCACCACGATGAGACTGATTGAGATTGCCGAATCGGGTGAAGTTTCCGAGGAATTCCAACAACACGAGTTGTTACGCGAAGTGGTCGTTGCGACCAAGTCGCTGTACCAAAAGACGGGATTCCAACGACCCTGGGTCAGCTACATGGCCACCGCTGACGGAAACGTGCAGGGAACTTGTGCCTTCAAGTCGCCCCCGGCAAACGGGGCGGTTGAGATTGCGTACTTCACGTTCCCCGAGCACGAAGGACATGGCGTAGCCACGGCGATGGCCCAAGGGCTGATCAACCTGGCACGGAAAGAAGACGATCGGATTACGGTGATTGCTCAAACACTACCAGAGTCGAATGCCTCGACATCGATCTTGAAGAAGCTGGGATTCACATTAATCGGCGAAGTCGATCACCCCGAAGATGGGCTCGTGTGGGAGTGGCACTTGAAGCGGACAGATGACTAGCGGTCACTGCCCGGCTTGAACGGCTCTGGGGTTACTGTGCCATTTGCGACTGTAAGAAACGTCGCCTCCGGCACCTCTTCCCAGTGCTCGCTCACTTCGTCGATGGGTTCTGAAAGCACAATCAGGGCGTCGTCGGGAAGTTGTTCGTTGCGGCCGTCGATCTCGCGAATGGCGTGCGCGCTGCGGTTGTGGTACAACGAGGGCGGTGGGTTGCCGGGCGAGGCGTAACGCACGACAAAGAGTTGCTCGCCATTGCTGATCGCCAGGGTCATGACCAGTGGAGCCGGGACGCTTTCGGCCTGGGCGATCTTCTCGATGTGAGCGACCATCTTCTGCAACGCCGCACGTGGGTTGTCCATCAGCCCGTAAGTCAGGGCGAGGAAGAACATCCGCTCGGAGTCGGTCGAACCTTCCATCAACGGGTACAACTCTGGTTCGATTTCCAAGTCGATCGCCCGTTTGAGCCGGGGGAAGTTGTTGATCTCACCGTTGTGCTGAAACAACCAGCGATCGTGCCGAAACGGGTGACAGTTGGTTTGCTGGATGGCGCTGCCGCTGGAAGCGCGGATGTGGGCCAGAAACAAACCGCTGGTTGTGTGCTCGGCCACGTTCTGCAGATTGCGGTCGTTCCAGGCTGGCTGAATGTCGCGATACACCCCGGGCCAGGTGCTGCCGCTGTACCAACCTACACCCACGCCATCACCGTTCATAAAGAACGCCGGATGGTCCTTGTCTGGGTTCGCCCCAGGCGTTCCCCGCCGCGAGTGGCGGCTCTGGTCGATCAACGAATGCTCGGGCTTGAACAGCAGCGAGTCCAGTGATACCGGCGATCCGGAGTAAGCAATCCAACGGCACATGAGTATGGTTCGCCACGTTAAGGTTACGACACAAGCGAGACATATGATCTGGCCAAGCTGCGGCCGAATCAGTTCGGATTGCCATTCTATAAGAATTGACCGCTGTGACGCCAAACGTGGCGAGTGAGTGCCGAAGCTTCAGGTGTCATGCACAGAGACATGAGCCATGTACTGCGACAAGATGCTTCGTTCGGTTAATAGAAGAAGTTGATCGACAGGATGTGATTGACGCGATTGGGGCGAAAGGGGATGGAAATTGTCTGGTTCAAATAGCCAACTTCCGTGCGGAGTCGGCTCTCGGGCTGACGTTTGAACCCGAGGCCTACGAAGACACGGTTCTGGTCGAAGCCTGGCTCGGCTCCCCAGTCGGTGTCGTTGAGGTGGAAGAAGATTTCGTCCCAGGTCACAAAGCTGATTCGCGGGCGGTTTGGAATTTGACGCTGCAAGCGCATCAACTGGCGAAAGCGCCAGCCGGTATCGCCGCCCGTCTCGAAGAAGCGTTGTTCCAACCGCGAGCGAAGGGCCAGCGTCCACAGGTCGTTGCTGTTCGACCAAGTTAGTTGTTGCCAGATGCGATGCTCGTCGAAGTTCTCGCCTGCCACAGGTGAAGTGTGGATCCAACCGTAGCCGGCCCAGACGGCGAAGTTATCGCTTAGGTCCCACCCAATGCCGGGGCGGACGATGCTTTGGTTGAAGCCGTCGGCATCGTCGAGAAATCGCAAGTGCGCATCGAACCACCAATTCAGCCGGCTGGCACCCTGGCCAAAATCGTCCTGGGAAAATAATGCCAGCCATTGTCCGGCATCGTTGATCACCTGGCCTCTGCTGGTATCTGACCATGCCAGCGTCAGCAGGGTCATCCCCAGTAAACTGCGAACCCAATTCCGCATCGTCGGCCACTCCCGCTTGTATTCCAAACGTTGCTGTTCCTACATCTTTCTCATCGGCCCCCTGCGCTGCGTCGCTTTGCGATTCCGGGCTGGAACAAAAGACTTTACCTCCGGGGGTTGTGGGCACCCATTCGTATGGGTTTCGTTCAAGTTGCTCTGCAGGAGATAAGCCGCTTGCCCGTGTGAATCGCTCGTCTCATGCAATAGGGCACTGGATTGCTGTAAATCAATTTGATCGCTATCGATTCAGTGCCAAGCATCAATGGCACTTACAATTCTTCCTAGTTAGGCTGGATTTTCGCGCCGGCCCCTGGGCATGGGATTTGCTGATTGTTTAAAGCCTGATACGTGCCCCCCTAACAATCAACTCGGGTAAAGATTAGCGATTTCGTAAGATGAGCCAAAATCGCCCTCAAATCGACGCCGACTGCAGCGGGACTCCCTATGAATTGGGCGAAGCGCTTGGTGAATCGATGCGTAAGAAGATTGGCTTGGCCACCGAGGTTCTCGCTGAATTCGAAACGTTCCGTTTGGGTCAACCGTGGTGGATGCCGTACATGTGGTACCGCCGGTACGCCGAGCGAGAAGCGCGAAATTTGCTGGAGCCGACGGTTCAACAAGCTTTTCCAAAGTCGGCCGCCGTGTTGGCCGGCATGGCGGCCGGGGCGAATGTGAACCTTGAGACGCTGTACTTGTTCCAGGCGCTTGAGTCGCTGTTCGTAACCATGGCCTGCGGTACAGAGGCTTCTCCGATCGCGGCATCCCCTGTTGCGGCATGCACGGCCATAGGGGTAACGGCCGCGCGATCGACATCTTGTCGCGCCATCGTGGCGCACAACTTTGACGGGGTGCCTGAGCTTGGTCCTCTCCTCTCGTTGAGGCGTCAACAGAACGAAGGGCAGCAGCGATTTCTGGCCTTCTCCGCGGCTCCGCTGGCCGGAGTGGTCGACGGTATTAACGAGAGCGGGCTGTGCATCACGTACGATTGGATTCTAGCCACCGACGCGGCCAAGCCCGCCCCGCCCTTGTCGCTGGCCATTGAAGAAGCCCTTTCGATGTGCACCCGAGTGGAAGACGCCATCGCCAAGATTTCCGCCATGCCCCGCTGCGGCGGTGGTAGTTTGATGATCGCCGATGCGACGGGAACGGTTGCGGCGCTGGAACTATCCAACCATCGGGCCGAAGTTCGTTACCCCGCCGAAGATGATGGAGCGATTTACCACAGCAATCGATTTGTGTCGCCCAACATGGCCGACGTGCAGCCTGAACACGATGCGTGCTTCTCGCAACACGCCCCCAAGGAACTGCAAGGCCACCGTATTCTCGAATCGGCAGAACTTCGCGACGAGCGGCTGAGGGAATTGCTTCACGGCGAAGAGACGTTGAATGCCGACCATATCACGGCGATGTTTGCCGACCACGGCGCGGGAAACGAAGCCAACGCCAACACCATCTGCATGCACGGCGAACAGTGGCAGACGCTCGCCAGCCTGCAGTTTTCGCCGGCGGAGCGGAGTGTGCGAGTTTCGTACGGGCTGGCGTGTGAGGCCGAATTTGTGGAGTTTGGGGTGTAAGGGGTCGTAGTGGCTCGATTTCTCTATCCCATTAGACGAAACCAGTCTTTAACGGCTAGGTTTAAACGGTCCACTTCGTCCTCTGTCATCGGGCAGCAGTGTGCAATTGGACCTCGAAGCAGATTCAATCCCGTCATAACTCTTTCTACGGCACGTTTGCTAGTAAACACGGCACCAAAGATATCCCAATTCGCAGTAATGATAGTCGACAGTTCTCCAAAAGTAGTGTAGTCAATGGAATCTTCAGAGCGTCTTGTCACTCCGCTGTCGACTTCTCTCCTTATCCTACTAGACACATCTTGCGAAACATTCTGAGGTATTCGAGCACTGCTCCACCACGACCCACCTTCCGCGTCCTGAAGCGTTTCCGCTATCAATTTTCTCATTGCTTTTTCGAGGCAGTAAAATGTTTCATAATGGGGAGCCATATATGCAGCTTCGGCTCGAACAGTCTGCTCAAATTGAGTGAAGTAGTTTGAGCTCTCCTCTCCACCCTGAGACGAGACATGCCCCAATTCGATAGAATAGCGGGACTCAATCGCTCTTAGCTCGTCGGTCACTAGATATCCAGACATTCCAAAAGAGCGAATATGGTTTTCGATTTCCTGTTTCATTGGATGTTCTTGAGTAGATTCTCTTTAAGGCTCTTAAAAATTGCATTGAATACTGAAATATCTGTAGTCGCTGGAAGATTCAGATTTATCTGATAGGAAAGATTCATTCCGACCGTCTGCCCTGTGCTGGGCACGTGAGGTCCGTCGAGATGCATCGGCGGCAGGTCGACACTTTCCGGCTCAGATTCGGGTCCCGCCGGTGCAGCTTCTGCCGAGAAGTCTGCAAATTGCTTCAATGCTGTAAAGGCAGCCAAGATGAGTGCCGGAACCCTAGAATCATCGGCTACACCGGTCTCTTCTATAATCAGGCCACGCAGCTCATCATCGGACAGTGAGTGCGCGTACTCATTCCGAGTGAACAAAGGAGCATATGCCTCTCGAATTGCTTCTGCTACTGCTAGTCCCGAAGTCGCTGAATTACGAAATCTGTGATATCGCTGAGTCGGAGTACCATCTGATTCGGCAAATCCAATTTTCTTCAGAAACGCAGCGATCTGATCACCGGAACTCCCCGGAATCTTCAGGATTGTCTTCACAAAATCTTGGCTCACAGACGCCGGTGTTGCGGCTGCCTTTATAGCCCGCAATGTCTTATCAATATTTCCTGGAGATGCAATATATGGAAGTGTAGATGCCATTAATGCCCTCTTTATCTAATAGCTTTTATAATCAGTGACTTACTTCGAAGACAAATTTTACAAATACCGGTTCACCAAATTCTCCAGCATCTCTTGTCGCCCGCTCTCATTCGCATCGGCGTCGCCCTTGTCCAGCATGTATTTTTCGAGCTTGGCGAAGTCCATTTTGCCGGCTTCGATTTCGGCTCCGATGCCGGAGTCCCAGGAGCGGTAGCGGTGGGTGAGGAGGCGTTTGAGTTCGCCTTCGCCGCGGATGGCGGCGGCGATTTTCAGCCCGCGGGCGAAGGCGTCCATGCCGCCGATGTGGGCGTGAAATAGATCGGAGGGTTCAAAGCTTTCGCGGCGCACCTTGGCGTCGAAGTTGATTCCGCCGGGGGCGATGCCGCCGTACTTCATGATGGTGTACATGCACCAGGTGGTGAGATAGATGTCGGTGGGGAACTGGTCGGTGTCCCAGCCCAGCAGCAGGTCGCCGGTGTTGGCGTCGATCGAACCGAGGAAGCCCTGTCCGCCGGCGTAGTCAAGTTCGTGCTGCATGGTGTGGCCGGCCAGCGTGGCGTGGTTGGTTTCGATGTTCAACTTCACGTAGTCTTCCAGGCCGTTGGCTCGCAGGAAGTTGATGCAGGCCGCCGCGTCGAAGTCGTACTGGTGCTTGGTCGGCTCTTTCGGCTTGGGCTCGAAGAGGAACGTGCCTTTGAAGCCGATCGATTGGGCATGCTCGATGGCCATGTGCATGAACCGGGCCAGGTGATCGAGTTCACGCTTCATGTCGGTGTTGAGCAGTGTCTGATAGCCCTCGCGTCCACCCCAAAACACGTAGTTCTCGCCGCCAAGTTCCTTAGTGACCTCGATGGCCTTCTTCACCTGGGCCGCGGCGTAGGCGAACGCGTCGGCGTTGGCGCTGGTGGCCGCCCCGTGCATGTAACGGGGGTTGCTGAAAAGGTTGGCCGTGCCCCACAGCAGGCGAATGCCGGTGCGCTTTTGTTCTTGTTTGAGCAGCTCGACTACAGCGTCGAGATTGCGATTGCTCTCGGCCAGTGTCGAGCCCTCGGGCGCCACATCGCGATCGTGGAAGCAATAGAACGGAACCCCGAGCTTCTCCATGAACTCGAACGCCACGTGCACACGTTTCTGGGCGTTGTCCACGGTGTCGGCGGCCGCTTCCCAAGGGCGTTGCATGGTGGGGGCACCAAACGGATCGGCCCCCGTGCCGCGGAACGTATGCCAGTAGGCGACGCTGAAGCGAAGATGATCCCGCATCGTCTTGCCTTCGATCTTGGCATCCGGATCGTAATGCCGAAACGCCATCGGGTTCTTCGAATCGGGTCCCTCGTAGGCAATCTTCTGAATATCAGCAAAAGCGGTCATCGGTCGCGTCTCGCTCTGGGGTTGGAGTTCCTCGGAATTGGCAATGCGGAGAGCCACAAATGTGCCACATTCCCTTGGGCGAAACAACCATCCCTGAAACTAGTTAGCCCGTCCTGGCGTGGCAAAGTTTTCCAAGTACCAATCCGGGGCTGATTCGCGAAACCTGGAGTAGACCCAAGCCGGCTCAGACGTGTCGTCGGCCCAGGCAATGCATTGAGAAGGGCAAGAATCGATTCCCTTTTGCGCCAGGCCAGAGAATGGGTCAGGAACCCAGGCGATCAAGAATCCCTTTGCAGCGAGTCGGGCACCATTATCAGAAAATAGCGCGACCCAAGTATCCCAGGGTGGGACATCAGAGAAGTCAAAGTAACCATCTGAGCAGACTTCAGATCCACCCGAGGCTTCAGATCCCTCTAGTTCGTAATAAATTAGGCGACCGCGATACTTTTCAGAGTGTCGTGCGCCAGCTACCAGAGAAGCACGGAGTTTTAAGAGTCGGCTGACATCGTCGATGGACAGCCAGTATGGTTCATTCGTGTAGACATCAGGAAACGCCGCTCGTAACTCCTCCGAACGTAAGCACTCTGCCGGTCTGCTGAGGTCGACTCGTGAGCTGCACCAGGCGATTGTTTCCTTGAGTGAATCGCGAAAGGCTTGTTCTGAAGGCGTGGACGGCGGGTGCATGGGAAGGCTTGAACCCTACGGGATATTACGGCTCGATTCGTTTACCCAGGCTGATGCGTTGTTCTACGGCGAAGCCCATGCGTTCGTAGAAGGCGATCACCTGGGTGTTCTCGCCGAGCACCTGGAGGTTGAGCTTGGTGCAGCCGAGGCGGCGCAGCTTGGTTTCGGCGGCAGTGAGCATCTGGCGGCCCAGCCCTTGTCGGCGGAGGTTGGGATCGACGGCCAGGTAGTAGATCCAGCCGCGGTGTCCGTCGTAGCCGATCATCACGGTGGCCACTACTTCGTCGTCCAGCGTGCCGACCAGCAGCATGTCGTCTTCGTGCGCCAGTTTGCGGCGGAGGTCGGCGGCCGGCTTGCTGTAGTCGCGGCGGTGGGGGAAGTATTTCTCCCACATGGCGATCACCACGTCGAAATCTTCCGGCTCGATTGGCCGTACGATCAGTTCGCTCATGCCCGTCCGTGTTCCTTGCGAAGTGTTTTCAATCTGTGAGTTCGACATTTCAATACTGCGGCTCGCCTGGCTTCATTTCCTGGCGATGCTGCTCAACTCGCTCGATGATGGAAGCGAGAACCTCGGGATTGTCCTCTGCCACATCGAATTGCTCCGAAGGGTCGTGCTCCAAATGATACAGCAGCGGCGGGTCGTGCTCTTCGGGGCGGAGCTGTCCGTAGCCGCTTTGCGTTTTGAAGTGCACCTTCCAGGGTCCATATCGGGCGGCGAACAGGTCGGGGCCGCGATAGTAGCAGAACAACCGTTCTTCGCCGTCTGACTTACCGAATAATACGGGAGTCAGGTCCACCCCGTCGATGGTTCGCCCCGAAGGCAACTCCGCGCCCGCCATGCTCAGGCAGGTGGTGTAGAGATCCATCGTCGATCCCACGGCCTGGGTCGTAACACCTGCGGGAATCTGCGAAGGCCACCAGGCGATGCCCGGCTCTCGCATGCCACCTTCCCAGGTGCTACCTTTGCCGCCTCGCAATAGCCCGGCCGAACCGCCGTGCAGGTTGTACGTGAGCCAGGGCCCGTTGTCGCTGGTGAAGAAGACGAACGTCGACTGGTCGATTCCCAGTTCGGCCAGCGTGTCGAGAATCTTTCCGGTACTCCAGTCGATGGTCTCGATCACGTCTCCATACAACCCACGAGCACTATTGCCGGCGAAGCGATCGCTGGCGAACAGCGGCACATGCGGCATGGAGTGCGGCAGGTACAAGAAGAACGGTTTGTCGCTGGCGGCCGAGTCGGTGATGAACTTCACGGCCTCGTCGGTGTAGCGTTCGGTGAGGAAACGCTGATCGGGCTCGGTCTCGACGGTCTCTGTTCCCTGGATCAGTGGCAGCGGGATGCCCTTCTTCGCTTTCCCGCGTCCGTTGATCTGGCCCATGTCGTTGCTGTAGGGGATGCCAAAGTACTGGTCGAAGCCGTTGCTGGTGGGCAAAAACTCCGGCAAGTGGCCCAGGTGCCACTTCCCCACACAAGCGGTTTGATATCCGGCGGCGGCTAGCTCTTCGGCCAACACGCGTTCGTCGGCGGGGATGCCGGTTTCAGAGTTAGCGAACAACACCCGGCCCTTCACGCCGGCCATTCCGCTACGTAGTGGGTAACGGCCTGTCAGAAGAGCTGCCCGACTGGGCGTGCAGACCGGCGCGGCCGAATAGAACTGTGTAAAACGCATTCCCTCTTGGGCCATGCGATCGAACCGCGGGGTAGCAATTGTGGGGTGACCGTAACATCCAATGTCCCCATAACCGAAGTCGTCGGCAAAGATAATAATGATGTTCGGCTGTTTGGCTTTCTCGGCGGCCTGCGATGTGGTGCTAGCGAAGACAAACGTTGCGAGAACGACGAGAATCGTCGCATACGCCGCCGATCGATGCTGTAAACGAATATGAAGATCTGATGACATGAGGGGCCTCGAAGGCGTGGGGAGCGGGAGTAGTCGAGAAGGTTTCGAGACCTCGGAACTCTCGAGGTTTGAGGCCAGTATTGTCGGGGCACTCGGCTCGGGCAAGCTTTCAGCCCCGAGCGAGAAAACACTCACTCACCCCCAGGAAGATTGTTTGACGGCCACTCTCAAGGCGTGTTATCTTCAGCAATACTTAGCTTACTAACTACCGTCGATTTCTCGCCACCCGATGCGTAAACGGCTCGGCGGCTCTTCTTGGTGCGTGGGGATAACCTGGAGATATCGCAATGCGTCTCGCTGCTGCCTTCTCAGTTGTATTGTTGGCGTCGTTGGTTCAGGTATTTCCCGTGGCCGGTGCAGAGAACTCGGGCGAACAAACCCGCATTGGTCAGAAGGTCGATTTCGAACTTCGCGACTACCGCGGCACGCTTCGTTCTCTAGATGATTACGCCGATAAGAAGTTCGTCGTCCTGGCGTTTCTCGGTACTGAATGCCCGTTGGCCAAGCTCTACGCACCGCGCCTGGCTCAAGCCGCCGCGGAATACGAACCGCAGGGCGTGGCGTTCATCGGCATCAATTCCAACCAACAAGACTCGGTCACCGAGATCGCGGCCTATGCCCGACGTCACGGTATCGAGTTCCCCATCTTGAAGGACATCGGCAACGAATTGGCCGATCGCATTGCGGCGGTTCGCACGCCTGAGGTGTTTGTGCTCGATCAAGATCGTCGGGTGCAGTACTGGGGCCGGATCGACGATCAGTACGGCTTTCAAGACAACTATGTGGCCTATCAATTGCCTGAGCCGCGTCGGGCCGACATGACGATTGCCCTCGACGAACTGCTGGCCGGCAAACCGGTGAGCAAGCCGATCATGGAGTCGCCGGGCTGCCACATCGGCCGCGTGAAGACTCCTGCCGACGATGCAGACATTACCTATAGCAGCCACGTGGCGGCGATCATCAACGACAACTGCGTGTTCTGCCATCGACCGGGTCAGATCGCTCCGTTCCCATTAACCACCTACGACGAAACCGTGGGTTGGGCTGAAATGATTGCCGAAGTGGTTCGCGAACAACGCATGCCGCCGTGGCATGCCGACCCCGAGTTCGGCAAGTTCGAAAACGATTGCCGGCTGAGCGACCAGGAAAAAGAAACCATCTATCGTTGGGTTGAATACGGAGCCCCCGAGGGCGACCCCGCCCAAGTTCCGCCCGCGCCAGAGTTCGCCGAAGGTTGGATGATCCCCGAACCGGATGAAATCATCTACATGCGGGACGAACCGTACACGGTGCCCGCCGAGGGTACGGTTGAATACCAAAACTTTGTCGTCGATCCCGGCTGGGAAGAAGACAAGTGGATCTCGGCCATCGAGCCCAAGCCCGGCAACCCGGCGGTAGTGCATCACATTGTGATGTTCGTCCAGCAGCCGGGCGGTCCGCGAAAAGGGGCTGCAGGCAGCCTGCGTGCCGACTGGCTGGCGGCGTTCGCCCCCGGCTTGCGACAGCCGATATTGGAGGAAGGCCTGGCCCGATATGTTCCGGCTGGGTCGAAGCTGGTCTTCCAGATGCACTACACCCCCAACGGCACCGAGCAGACTGACCTCAGCTACTTGGGCGTGAAGTTTGCCGACCCTGCGAAGGTGAAGAAGGAAGTAGCGGTGAAGAACGCCGGCAACTTCACGTTCACCATTCCTGCAGGCGAGCCGAACTATGAGGTCGAGTCGGAATTCGTGTTCCGCCAAGATTCGCTGTTGATTTCGGTTTCGCCGCATATGCACGTGCGAGGGAAAGACTTCTTGTACAACCTGATCTATCCCGACGGGCGTGAAGAGACCGTGCTGTGGGTTCCTCGTTACGACTTTGGCTGGCAGGCCACCTATACGTTCGAAGAACCGAAGTTGCTGCCGAAGGGAACGCGGATGCACTGCGTGGCCCACTTCGACAACTCGGAAGATAACCTGAACAACCCCGATCCCACGATCGACGTCCGCTGGGGCGAGCAAACGTGGGAAGAGATGATGTTCGGCTGGTTCGAAATGGCCCTGCTCGACCAAGACCTGACCAAACAGCCGATTGGCCCGATCGACCGTGTGGCCGATTTCCTTTCCAAGGTAGAAGCCGGAGGGCTGGAAGTAGACAGCCAAACCCAGGAGGTCGCCTCGCGAGCCCTGGAGAAGGAAGAAGAGTTCCGCTTTGTGTCGTACTACCTGGCGGAAACCGTTCCCCAACTCGATCGGGTATGCGTGACCTATGTGGACCCAGACCGCGGTCGCTTGCGTCCGATGTTCGTCGAGGAAATGAATGGCCTGAAGTCGACATTGCGTTCGCCAAGCACCGTGATCAAAGCAGACGGCGTGGCCCTGGCCGAGTACCCTGCCCTGACCGAGCCGGTGGTGAACGACGACCTGACCGACTCGGAAGATTCGCTATTCAATCGCATGAACCGCAAGGGTATCGTCTCCAGCTTGCACGTGCCGGTGGTGATCGATGGAGTGCCGGCCACGGTGAACTTCTGGAGCGGCGACGCGAAGGCGTTCCCGCAACCGGCGGTTGATTACCTGAGCGAGGTGGCTCAGCTTATTGCGAAACGCGGTAAGTAGTCCGCCTTCAAGACTTGCAGCCGGGAGATTCCTTGCGCCACTGGCATCCAGCCAGTGCCTGGCCTGGTTTCACGGAAATCGCCTCCCGCTGGAAGAAAATCTTCCCTGCCGTTAAACAAGGGCCGTGGGTGATAGCACTGTCACTCACGGCCGCTTGTCGTCTGCGACGACCCCGCTTCGAGCAGCGGGGCCACCCAATTGGTAGGTAGATTCCGCATGCAACCGAGCCTCCCACCCAGGTCTGGTGGTCGCTTGCCGTTTGGGAACGGTTAAACTGGTAGCCAGCTACCGTGCCCTGCCCAACATTCCTCCGCAAACGCTCTCCCCCAGGTGATCATGCGTCGCTTTGATTCTTGCCCTGCCCTGCTGCTAGTTGCCGTATTCTTGCTCACGCCCGCCACTTGGGCCGAGGAGGTCAACGACTCTGAATATCAACGCAACTGGCCGCACTGGCGTGGCCCACAGGCCAACGGAGTCGCCCCGCTTGCCGATCCGCCGGTCGAGTGGAGCGAGGACAAGAATATCAAGTGGAAGGTCGAATTGCCTGGGCGGGGAACATCATCGCCCATCATCTGGAACGACAAGGTTTTCGTTCTCACGGCAATCAAGACCGACCGAGAAGGCGAACCACCCGCGACACCCGATACGAGGGGACCGGAAGATCATCCCCAGTTCAACCCGTTCAAGATTGAACCGCCTTCGCACTTTCACCAGTTCGTGGTGATGTGCCTCGACCGAGAGACAGGCGAGGTACTTTGGAAAGACTTGGCCCGTGAAGCGGTGCCGCACGAAGGTTTCCACAATGATCATGGGTACGCTTCCGGTTCGCCTACCACCGATGGCCGCTACCTGTATGCCTCATTCGGTTCTCACGGTGTTTACTGCTACGACCTGGAAGGGAATCGCCAGTGGGAGCAGGACCTGGGCGACATGCGCACCCGCTTCAGCTTTGGTGAGGCCAGCACCCCGGTACTGCACGACGACACGCTGATCATCATTTGGGATCAGGAAGAACAATCGAAGATCTTCGCGCTCGATGCGGCCACGGGGGAAACTCGCTGGGAGAAAGATCGCGACGAACCCAGCAATTGGTCGACCCCGCTGATTGTCGAACACGATGGTACCTGGCAAGTCATCACCAACGGTACGAATCGCGTTCGCAGCTACGACCTAAGCTCGGGCGAGCTGCTGTGGGAGTGTGGCGGACAAACGCAGAACGCTATTCCCTCGCCGGTCAGTACCCAAGGGCTGGTGTTCTGCATGAGCAATCGTGGAGGCAACGCCGTAGTGGCAATGCCGCTGGATGCCAAGGGTGACATTACCGAGACCGAGCATGTCGCCTGGAGCCGCGATAAGGGAGCCCCCTATGTTCCCTCGCCCTTGCTGTACGGCGACCGGCTTTACATGACCTCTTCGAATCGGGCAATCTTGTCCTGCCTCGATGCAGCGACCGGTGAACCACTAATGGACCAAACTCGCTTACAAGATGTGCGAGCATTTTATGCTTCGCCTGTGGGGGCAGCCGACCGACTTTATTTGATGGGCCGTGAGGGAACTTGCCTGGTGCTGAAGAACTCCCCCGAGCTTGAAGTACTGTCCACCAATGAGCTAGACGACCCCATCGACGCCACCCCCGCGGTGGCCGGCCGTCAACTCTTTCTCCGTTCCGCAGATCACTTGTACTGCATCGAAGCTGAATGAGCGATTCGCTTATCTCCGCCGAAACCCGCATTTTTCCGGGGAAAATCGACCGCCCCCAAGTAGTGACGCGCTGGAGCACGGCCCCGCAACTTCTTGAGTTTCTGGAAAAAAAGTTGCCGCCAAATTGTGGACACGCTCGAAACTTCGGTTCAATATTGAACTTGGCCAGAGGCACTTGGCGATTTCCCCCATTGACCGAAATCGCTAGGGGGCTATCGACTCTCGGAACATCGATTGGAGGCTACCTTCTCACGATCCGTTCGTGGGTTCGGCCGCCGTGGCTGCACATGCTTGCAATGACTCGGCATGCGAACCGTTCCCGTTCTTTTCTAACCTCATTCGAGGAAGAGCTATTCGGAACAAGTGGGAGGCAACTATGAAAAGGCACGGGACATTACGCGCAGAGAAACTGGAGAACCGAGAACTTCTGGCCGCGAACTTCGGCAGCGATATGGCCGAACAAATGGCTGCGTTCCAGGCGCAGTTGCAAGCATTTCAGGCGCAAATGCGGCAAGTACAGTTCGAGGCGCCGCGACACCAAAGTCCAACCCAGTCGGCCAGCATCGACGGTTCGGGTAACAATCTTGCCAACCCCTTATGGGGTAGCACCGACGAGATGCTGCTGCGACTGACAACGGTGGAATACGGCGACGGTGTTTACACCCCCGGGGGCGCAGATCGTCCGAGCGCTCGCGAGGTGAGCAACGCGGTGGTCGCACAAGAGACCACCGAACCCAACGATCGGTATCTCACCGACCTGGTTTGGCTGTGGGGTCAATTTATCGATCACGACTTGAGCCTCACCGAATCGGCCGACCCGACAGAATCTTTTTCGGTTGAGGTTCCTCAGGGCGACCCCTGGTTCGACCCGATGGGTACCGGAACCCAAACGATCACCTTGTCGCGTTCGATCTATGACTCGGAAACCGGCTACTCGACCGACAATCCGCGACAGCAAATCAACCAGATCACCGCTTTCCTCGACGGATCGATGGTCTACGGTTCCGATCAGGAACGGGCCGATGCCCTGCGAACCTTCTCGGGCGGAAGGCTGAAAACCAGCGAAGGCGATCTTCTCCCGTTTAACGAAGCGGGGCTCCACAACGCCGGAGGCAATAGTGCCTCTTTGTTCCTGGCCGGCGACGTGCGTGCGAATGAAAACGCGGCCCTGACTTCAATGCATACGTTGTTCGTCCGCGAGCACAACCGGCTGGCCGACGAACTGGCGGCCGCGCACCCAGAGCTTTCGGACGAGCAGCTCTATCAACATGCTCGCGCAATTGTGATCGCCGAAATTCAGGCCATCACCTACAACGAATTCCTGCCGGCACTGGCAGGCGAGAATGCTCTGAGCGATTACAAGGGCTACGATCCTACGGTCAACCCTCAGATCAGCACCCTGTTCTCCACCGCATCGTATCGGTTTGGTCACAGCATGCTCTCCTCTGAGTTACTGCGGCTGAACAACGACGGCACGGTGATCGACGACGGCAACCTGTCGCTGGCCTCCGCGTTCTTTGCTCCTCAGGAAGTGATCGATCACGGCATCGATTCGTTGCTGCTGGGGCTCTCGTCGCACCTGGCCAACGAAATCGATAACCAGATCGTTGATGATGTCCGCAACTTCCTGTTCGGCCCTCCAGGCGCCGGCGGTTTCGACCTGGCTTCGCTGAACATCCAGCGGGGACGCGACCACGGGCTGGCCGACTACAACCAGACCCGCATCGATTTGGGTCTCGACCCGGTGACTAGCTTCTCGGACATCACATCCGATCCGGTGCTGGCCGCCAAGCTTGAAGCTCTATACGGCGATGTGAACAACATCGATGTTTGGGTTGGTGCCCTGGCCGAAGACCATGTGCCTGGTTCGAGCCTGGGTGAGTTGAATCAGGCCGTGATTGTCGATCAGTTCCAGCGGCTTCGCGACGGTGATCGCTACTGGTACCAGAATGTGTTCTCCGGAACCACGCTGAAAAACCTGGAAAACACCACGCTGTCGCTCATCATCGAGCGGAACACCGACATCACGGGTCTGCGTGACAACGTGTTCTACGACGATTCGGTGATGTACTTCGAGGTGGCCGATAAACGCTTTGGCGCCAATATCGAGGTCGTCTCCGACGGAAACACGATCGACATCGTGGACATGAACACCCGCAGGGTGCTCGAGAGTCGCGCGGTGGACGAAGTTTCCAAGTTGATGCTTGTGGGTGCCGAGGGCAAAGCGGATCGTTTTTCGATCGATCTTGCCAAGGGTGGTGTATCTCTGGAAGGCGGCGTTGAAGTTCACGGACGTTCTGGCAGCGATACGATGATCGTGCATGGCACATGGAACCCTGACACAATCTCCGTCGAGGGCGACTCGGTTTGGGTCAACGACGAACAAATGACCTACACCGACATTGAAGTCCTACACGTTAAGCCAGGCCGGGGCATGGACGATGTTCAAGTGGCCGACGCCACAGACGCGCGGGTAATGGTCATCGATCACGATCGCGTGGCAGACAACCCGCAACCCCACCCGACGCCTGACAATCCTTTCCCGGATAAGCCGTTCCCAGACAACCCCTTCCCGAAGGATCCTTTCCCGTCCAATCCAAGTGGTGGGCAGCACTCATCGGGCTACCAGCTGCCGGGGGTTGCTCTGATGGGAGAAGCTCTAGGGATGAAGGCTTCGGCCACCAGTGTCGGATCGCAGAGTGCCAAGCAAGGTGATGCGGGGCAAAGCACTGCTGCGGCACAGGTACCGCAGGCGGTCGTGCCTTCGGCCGGCGGTGGTCAACAGGCGGGAGACGCGGCTGCGGGAATGTTCGCTTCCCAGTCGATCGTTACTCCGCAGGCCCCGCAAAAAACTCCGCAAGGCAACGCACTGGGACAACCATCGGCGAACCAAGCGTTGCTCTCGCAGATGATGGGCGGTGCACAGCAGAGTTCTGCTGCTCTATCAGCTCGCGACATGCTGTTCGCGAAGTTCATGTTCTAAGCCGGCAGATTGCCGAACTAGCGTCGATTCAGGACGGTCTCTCGAGTATCGAGGGGCCGTCCTTTTTTGGAGAACTTGATCATGTGAGGCCGTATTTGTCTTACGGCTTATTTCGACAAGTCTTGGAGGCGGTGCCACTACCACTCGACTAGAATTGGCGCATGGAAACAAAGTCCAAGAAAAACTGGCGCCACTTCTTGCAGTTCAGAATCAGCACGTGGTTTCTCCTGGTTGCAATCTTGGCTTGGCTCATGACCACCGATTACGATTTCTTCACTTCGCCACCATTGAACTACTCGGAAGTAGCGATTGGGTTTACGGCCTCTTGGCAATCGCTTGAGAGTTTCGGCGTTGGGCCCTTCGAAAAGGCAGATCATATCTCGGTCGAAGCTTGGATTGGTCCCAGATCCAAGGGTGTACGTTACTACTTCATGTGGATGGTTGAGCCATATCAATTAGTTTGGCCTATCATTATCCTTTGCATTTTCGCCGGCTGGAGGATCACTGTCTTCTGGAACGCCAGACAACAGAGTTCTATCTCGGCTCAACCTTAGGATATTCCCGGGGTCTAAAAATTTGCTCTCCCTCCGCCGGCGGTCAATACTGGCACCTGCGAGAAAAGAACACCCTCTGACGCTATCGATGGGGAGCGAATAAGAATGCGTGCCGGATTGTCCGACGATGGAATATCTCACGTCCATACACTTTCGCAGGAACAAGAGCCTCACAACGCAGCCCGCACGATAGTCTTGCTGACTGTCCTGGTCGCGGCAATCTCCTTAAACCCGCTCATCTGCGCGGCCGCTCCGCCGAATGTGGTCATATTCCTGGCCGACGATCAGGGTTGGGGCGACTTGAGTGTGCATGGGAACGGCAATCTCGCCACGCCCAACATCGACTCACTGGCCAAAGACGGCGCCCGTTTCGATCACTTCTTTGTCTGTGCGGTTTGCTCGCCGACGCGGGCCGAGTTTCTCACGGGCCGGTACCACGCGCACGGCAGCGTTCGCGGCACCTCGATGGGCGAAGAGCGGCTCGACCTGGATGAAGCGACGATCGCCGACGCGTTCAAGGCTGCCGGGTACGCCACCGGAGCGTTCGGCAAGTGGCATAACGGGACCCAGTATCCCTATCACCCCAATGCCCGCGGGTTCGACGAGTACTATGGCTTCTGTTCCGGCCACTGGGGGAACTATTTTGACCCCGTGCTGGAACACAACGGCCAGATGGTGCACGGCGAGGGGTACATCACCGATGACCTAACGAACCACGCCATCACGTTCATCGAAGAACACCGCGACGAGCCGTTCTTCTGCTACGTGCCGTACAACACACCGCATTCACCGATGCAGGTGCCCGATCGCTTCTATGAGAAGTTCGACGGGGCCGATTTGGAGCAGCTCAATCGCGATCCGAAGCGGGAAGATCCCCTCATGTCTCGGGCCGCCCTGGCGATGTGTGAGAACATCGACTGGAACGTGGGTCGCGTGCTCGAAAAGCTCGACGAGTTGAAGCTGGCTGACAACACGATCGTTATCTACTTCAGCGACAATGGCCCCAACAGTTGGCGTTGGAATGCGGACATGAAAGGTCGCAAGGGTTCGGTCGACGAAGGCGGAGTCCGCTCGCCGTGCCTCGTACGGTGGCCGGGACATATTCCTGCCGGAATCGAGATCGATGAAATCGCAGGGGCCATTGACCTGTTGCCTACGTTGACCGACTTGGCGCAGGTCCAGACGGTTGGCGACAAGCCGCTCGACGGAATGAGTCTGAAGCCATTGCTCACGCAGTCGAGCGAGGCATGGGATGACCGGATGATTTTCTCGCAGTGGCGGAACCGCTTTAGTGTGCGAACCCAGCAGTACCGGCTCGACGGTTCGGGTGCGCTGTTCGACATGGAGGCCGACCCCGGGCAGCGACACGACATTTCAAAAGAACAATCCGAGGTTGCCGCTCGGCTTCGCACGGCCTTGGCGAATTGGAAGAAGGAAATCGCCGGCTACTACAACCTCACCGAGAACCGCCCCTACCCCGTGGGCTATGTCGAGTTCCCGGTGACCGTGTTGCCGGCGCGAGATGGGGAACCGGGGGGTGGAGTGGAACGAAGTTCGAAGGCCCCCAACTGTTCGTACTTCACCCATTGGACGAGCGTTGATGACGCGATGACATGGGATGTCGACATTCACACCCCTGGCACCTATCAGGTCGAGCTGTTCTACACCTGCCCCAAAGACGACGTCGGCTCTGCGATCGAACTCCGCCTGGGGGAGAGCAGCCTGCAGGGACAGATCACCGAAGCTCATGACCCGCCTCTGCGGGGAGCTGAGCACGATCGCGCATCCCGCGGCAGTGAGTCGTTCGTGAAGACCTGGCACCCCCTCGATTTGGGCCAAGTCGATCTCACAGCCGGGCGAGGCGATCTGACCCTGCAAGCCATCAAGATTCCAGGCAAGGGCGTCGCCGACGTACGGGGGCTGAGATTAACGTTGGTCGAAGCGAAGTGAACAGCACCAAGACAAGACTTAATTGAACCGATGGCCAGCCTATCTGGAGACGGAAGACAGTATCTGAATGGAGATCTGAATTAGAATCCCTCAATCATAGATTAGGGGAAACTCTCCTCTGCGTTGAAGGCTGGAAGCTCAATCTTTACGCCGTGCCGTTGTGTCGTTGTGGTTATCTCCGTTGCCTGGTCATGCAGCAGGGCCCACGCGACACCTGTGACTCTATTCTCACCGATTGTCTCGGCCTAAACTTCTTCTCATAAGTGCCCGTGATGCAGTTGGGATTGCAACCATGCTGGGTTATGCGACCATTGTTGGGCATCGACTCGATGCATTCGTTTCATGACTGAGACAAGCTATGTTTTTGCGTGAGCCGCCACCTAGTCCATACGATCTTCGCTTCGCTGTGGGGCGGATTCCGGTGCGTGTGCATCCACTGTTTTGGTTGGTCGCCATGCTCTTGGGAATCAATCAAAAGGTGCCAATCCAGATTTTGATCTGGGTTGGAGCAGTTTTTTTTTCAATTTTAGTGCACGAATTTGGGCACGCGATTGCCGCCCTGGCACACCGTTGGCCATCGCGTATTGTGATGTATGCCGCTGGCGGGATGGCGGTCTATCAACCCGAGCGATCGACGTTGCGCAGCGACATCATCATCTCTGCAGCGGGCCCCGTCGCTGGCTTTATCTTCGCCGCGGTGGTGATTCTCAGCGTCGTTCTAACAGGGCACTCGGTCGACTTCTCTTTGTTTGGTTGGGAGCCTGAATTCAACGCTTCCGCACCTCGACTGAACAATCTTGCAACCCGGTATTTGGTCTACGACCTGCTCTACGTGAACATCTATTGGGGCCTGGTGAATTTACTGCCAATCTACCCGTTGGATGGTGGCCGAATCTCGCGATCAATTTTCGTTAACCGATTGCCTGGCAATGGTTTGCGAGTATCGCTCTTTGTCTCGTTTTACGTCGCCTGCGCACTTGCGGTGCTCTCCATTCTGGCTGGAAAAGGGCTGTTTCTGCCAATCTTCTTTGGCTTTTTCGCCTACGACAACTACCGCAGCTTGAACAACCAGATGTGGTGATCGAAGTCAACGCGCGGCGTTTCAAACGGAACCGAATGTGGCTCTGCGATCGTCCTCATTACGACTCGCAAACCTTCTCATTGAGCGCGATGTTCGTCCTTTGAATGATCGACTCTTGCACCTCCCCTTCGATGTGCTTCAAAGCAATCATCGCGCGCTCGTTTGCTTGTTCGCGCGCTGATTGAAGCAGCGTTTGGTTGTTGTTTAAGAAGCAAGAGCGCGTACGCGCGGTCTTGAGAGAACACGGAACTAAGGTGGATTGGTGAGGAAAACGTATTGCACAATTTTGACGAATTCGTACTAATATCGTCATGAAGTTCCTTGCATGAGACAAGACGGTCTGGTTTATCGCGACCCAGCGAGCACACGGCCAGGGCGATGCCAAGGAAAAAGTCGTGTTACTTGTCAGTGATGAGTGTTGCAGTTATTTCGTGGCTCGCATGAGGTGTCCACGACGATGCTCATCAGGAACTTTATTTAGGAGGACGTAGCGTGGCTAAAAAGAAAGCCAAGAAGAAGGCTGTCAAGAAGAAGACAGCTAAGAAGAAGTCCGCAAAGAAGAAGGTAGCGAAGAAGAAGACAGCCAAGAAGAAGGTCGCCAAGAAGAAAAAGGCTACCAAGAAGAAGGCTGCCAAGAAGAAAAAGAAAGCTGCCAAGAAAAAGACCGCAAAGAAGAAGACCGCGAAGCGAAAGAAGAAGTAGCTCGCACTGATCCACCGCGAGGCTCTACCCTAGGGCCGCCGCAGCGGAACAACCTTTCTTCGGTCTTTGCGGCCGATGATCAAAGGAGCAAGAGCCGTCTGATCAACGATCGGGCGGCTCTTTCCTTTTTTATACGTCGGATATCTCGAAACGCTTGCCGGACTATCCCAACACCGAAAGCGACGGCAGCGGCGGATCGGCTTTACGGCTGCTGGTCAGGTTGCGAACTAAGGCCTGGCAGATGTGCTCCAGGTAGGGGCTCGACTCTGGATCGTCGAACACCGATTCGATACGGCCTTCGTCCCCGTTGATACGAATCTGCATGTTGATGGGCACTTCGCCCAAGAAGGGTACATCCAGTTCCTCGGCCCTTTTCTTCGCACCACCCGAGCCGAAGATCTCATACCGCTTCCCATTGTCGGGACAGATGAAGTAGCTCATGTTCTCCACCATTCCGGCCAGCGGAATGTTCACTTTGCGGAACATGGCGATCGCCTTCACAGCGTCTAACAGCGCAACATCTTGCGGCGTGCAAACCACCACGGCTCCAGACAGCGGCAACAGTTGCGATAACGTGAGTGCGATATCACCGGTACCCGGCGGCATGTCAATGATGAGGTAATCCAACTGCCCCCACTCGGTATCGCGAAGGAACTGAGTGATCGCTCCATGCAACATCGGTCCTCGCCAGACGACGGCCTCATCGGGTGCAACCAGGAACCCCATCGACATCACTTTCAAGCCGTCGGCGTCGATCGGTTCGATCCGTTTCTGTTCGATGATCTTTGGTCGTTCGTTTACCCCGATCAAATGTGGAACGCTTGGGCCATACACATCGGCGTCCATCAGACCGACCTTGCAGCCAGCGCGTTTCAAACCGTAGGCAATCGATGCCGAGATGGTACTCTTCCCCACACCACCCTTGCCCGAACCGACGGCGATCACGCTTTTGCAAGCCAGCCCAATCTCACCGATACGCTCTGGCGGGCGAACGTGAGTGTCCAGCTTCACGTCGATTTGCGAAAGCCCCGGCAACTTGCTTTTGAGCAAACCCACCAACTCCTCACGCGTGGCTTCGTGCAATGGGGCGGAGTATGAGGTGAGACCCAACGTCAGCGACAGCTTATCGCCCTCGAGCTTGACGTCGTGAACTTGCTCCATCTCGACCACGCTGCGGCCGGTCTCGGGATCTTGGAACTCGGCCAACACTTTTTCGACATCGGCCTGAGCTACTTTGTCGGAGGACATAGGGTTTTCTCCGGTTGCGGTTGATTCAGCTAAGTGATTTGCTTGGATCGACGAAGATGCCCGCGGCTATTCACACCGCCATTCGCTTTCGCCACGTCGCTGGAGCTACGTTGCTATGGCAATGGCTCGAATTCGATCGGTTCATCATCCTCGTCAATGGGTGGTTTGCTTCGCGATGACTTGGGTATCGGACGGGTGGGGTCGACGGCACGAAAGGGCAATCGACTGGACACGCTCTTCACGATCCCTTCGTCTTCGCGGTGCTGCTCTGGATGTGCACGCACGGTTGCTGCCCATTGCTGCACGATTTTGGCGACCCGCTCTGCCTGACGCGGCGAGTTGATCACGGCGATGGCACCCGCTTCCCACGCCAACAAAGCGATGGTGGAGGGAACGCGATTTCCCAACACCACGCAACTGGTTCGAGGGAAGATTCGCAGCAGACGGTCGATCCCTTCGATGGTCTGCTGAAAACTCTCCAACCGTAATTCGATTGCCACCAGGCCTTGCGAGTTCGGGCTCAACGCCTCGTGAACTTCGGCAAAGCCCCGCGTTTCTCGCAATTCGTACGACGGAGAACCCTCCACGCGACGCAGCGCCGCGGCCCAAGTTCCGTGCCGCTCGAGCACGATACAGGTGGGTCGATCTGGCAGGGTCAATCCCGGTGCTTCCATAGCAACATCACTGCGCATCATAAGGGCAGGCCCCCCCACTGCCAACCTCCTGAGCTGGGCCTTGGGTGTGCGTAACCACACGAAAACTCCGGCGATTACCGACGTGGAGGCCGACGAACGCCATCATTCTTCCAAACCTAACTGCACCAGCCGGCGATACAGCCGCGGACGGGTCAGCCCCAGGAGCGCAGCCGCCTTCGATTTGTTTCCCTTTGCCTGATGCAGTGCGCGACGCACAATTTCCGCTTCGATTTCCGCTAGAAACTCATCGAGCTGAATCGTTTCCTCCGATTCCGCCGGCCGTTCGGCTGCCGAGCGGCCATGAGCAATCTTCTGCGGGAGGTCGTTCGTGGTGATCAACGCACCCGAGCAATTGTCGGCGGCTTCCAACACCACGCTTCGCAGTTCCTCAACATCGCCGGGCCAGGGATAGGCTACCAATTCATCCAGGGCCCCCGGCTCGAAACCGCTCAACTGCTTTGATTCCTGCTCGTTGAATTCTTCGACGAACAGTTGCGCCATGGGTGGAATGTCTTCCGCGCGTTCTCGCAGAGGTGGTAGTTCGATGGTTAGCGCAGCAAGTCGTACCGCGAGAGTGTGGCGGAAGGCCCCTTTCCCGTCCGGCGTCTCCAGCGGGTGTGTGGCGGTGGTGATCAATCGCATGCCAGGGTGTGGCACCCCGAGCAGAGTGTCGAACTGCAACTGCACGTGCTCGGGCAACTGATCGACATCGGTCAGCAGCAAGGTTGCCAACGAGGGTGATGAATCGGAGGGGCCACGCGAACCCAAACTTTCTACGGCCGCCGGCAAGGCCTCGGGCGCAAGGGCCGTGGCCGAGAGATGAATCAAACGTCCTGCCCGCGATTCGCCTTGGCTGTAGTGAATCGATCGGGCGATGTGGAGTCTGCCACTGCCCTCGGGGCCTACGATCAACACCGATGCTTTGCTCGCTGCGGCCATTTCCACTTGCTGGCGAATACGCTGCGATTGGGGGCTGGCACCAACCAATCGATCAACGTGGTAGCGACGACTCCACGTGAGCCGAAAGTGGCGCACCTGCTCGTGCAATTCAGCCGCCGAGGGGTCTTCGGCCAGCAGAATGGCTTCCGGCGTTTTGGCGATTCCCGTCGAATGCTGCAGCGGCCCTTGCAGGCAAACCAGCACGGGAGGCACCTCCGCCTGAACTTCCTTACCTGAGTTCGGCAATTCGTCCAAACCGGCGACTAACGAATTAAAGGTGGCCTGATAGCGAACCTCTTCACCGGCAGTGTTGCGCCACGCGACGATGGCGACGGTTGATTGTTGTCCGTTGAGTTCCGGCGGAGGGCACAAGGCGGCAGCGATGGCGTCCGGACGGTCATTTGTCTCGGGCGTGTGATACCGGCACGTGCGATGCACTAGCTCGTCGGCATCCAGCTCGACCGCGGCGGCCAGGGCCTGATTGCACCAGACGATCCGGCGATCGGCCCCCACCACGAACCAGGGTGTGGCGACCGAGTCGAATAAGCGGCGAAGTTCGTTCCAACCGCTACGACGCGTCGCCATGTTCGCTGTCCCTCACCAAGAGAATTCAAAGCCGAAAGCCAATCGTAAGGCGCCCCATCACCAGTGACAATTCCCAGCTACTGCCCACCTGTCTAATAACGAAAATCGAGGCGGCGCAAGAAGTTCCGATTCCGACACTGGTTGCGAGATGTACTCGACAAACTGAACCCACATCGCGTAACCGAGCCTAGAGCCGTGGAAATTCTGAGAAAAATTTGGCGAAAGTCCGCAAGGGGTGACACACGTATGTCACAGGCACTGGCTATAGTACCCAACGCCATCACACGACGCGGGGCAGGTGCAGACGGACAGCGGCCAAGAATACCTGCGGATTTCGATCCCTGGGTTCGCCTAAATCTTGGCCGCTTCCGTCTCTTTTTTTGCGCAGGCCAAGACGCTGGATGGAAAGCCGCGACCGGTGGGCTGCCCAACCTTAAGGTTGGCTTGTATCGGCCAGCTTTCGGACGCCTACGATCGGCTGTGATGCCCGAGGGCCGTTGAGAGAACCTTGGGCTGGCGCTGCGATGGGAACGGCTTCGCCCTCCTGATCCGCATCTTTCTCTGCTGCGGCCGTTGCTTCCAGTATGGCCTCGCTGCTGCGAATCGAAGCGCTGGCCATGAGCGAGGTTTCCCACAGGGGGCCCGAGGCTACGCCCGCTCCTACGACGAACAGGGCTGAGAGCGCCATGGCCAGCCAGGCCCCGACGCCACCATCGGCCTGAGGCGTCGCCAGCGGTTTGCGGAAGTACATCACGCCGATAATGCGGAGGTAATAGACCGCGGCGATGGCGGCGTTCACCACACCGATGATCGCCAACCACACAAACCAACCTCGCAACGGGCTGGAGCCTTCCACTCCGGCATCGACGGTGAGCGCTGAACCGAACAGCGCCAACTTGCCCCAGAAGCCGGCCAAAGGGGGAATGCCTGCCAGTGAGAACATGAAGACGGCGACGGTCATCGCCACGAAAGGCTGGCTGTGACCCAACCCTGCCAGTTCGTCGATGCCGTCGACTTCGTGTCGATCGTCGCCCAGGTAGGTGAGCGCCGCGAAGGTCCCCAAGGTGGCCACGGAATACACAGCCGCATAGAGCAGAATGGCCGACACTCCGTCGAACCCGGTGGTGGCGCTGGCGTCGCCGGTGTAGGCCACTGCGAAGGCCGCGGCCAGCCCGATGAGCATGTAGCCGGCATGAGCCACCGACGAGTAGGCCAACAGTCGGCGAACGCTGTCCTGCCAGAGGGCCAAAACGTTTCCAATGGTCATCGTCAGGATGGCCACAATGAGGGCGATCCGCCACCCGATTGGTTCGAAGGTCGGCATGGCGACCAGCAGCACATGAATCAGGGCGGCCAGGCCTCCAATCTTGGGGATGATCGACAGCAATGCCGCGTTGGCGTTGGTGGTGCCTTGGTAAACGTCGGGAGCGTAGAAGTGAAACGGCACGGCGGCGATTTTGAAGCCTAACCCACCAAAGATGAACAACACGGCCAGCGCGGCCATCACCGTCCAACCGGCTTCTTGTACAACGCCTGCAGCCAAGGCGGTTTGGATATCGGTTAGATGCGTGGAGCCTGCCAGCCCGTAGAGGAAGCTGAACCCGTACAGCATGATGGCCGAGGCCAGGATGTTGAGGAAGAAGTACTTCACGGTCGACTCATACGAGCCGAGGTTCTTGCGACCCAAGAACAGCAACGCGTACGTCGGCATCGAGATCAACTCGAGGCCCAGGAATATCATCACCAGGTCTCGCCCGGTGGCGACCAACATCGTGCCGACCAGGGCCAGCAGCAGCGACCCGACCACTTCCGCACCTTGATCGCGGGTGGCAGCTCGCCCCGTGAGAAGGACGAACAGCAGCCCCACCCCCAGAACCAACCAGCGCAAGAAGACCGCGAATGCGTCGTTGGCCAGCGGACCACTGAGACCTCCACCACCAACCTGGGCCAAGGCCATGGCTGCACCGGCGAGGCCTGCGGCCGCAATCCAACTCCACAGCCAGCGGGCGGCGAAGAAGGCCCCCAGTACGAAGATCAGCGTGGCCGTGCCCGCCAGGATGATCTCCGGCAGGAGTTGCAGCACGGTATCGACGGTCACAATTCTGTCAGTCATGTCTGGCTGATGCTCGAAAGGTAGCGATTACGGTTGGGGTTGAGGCACAGCTTGTGCCGCGGCAACGGGAAGATCGACGACACCCACAATGGGCTCTGCAGGCGAGTGCAACGGCTGTGGAGTGTGCGACAGTTCTTCGGGGGCAGCTTCGAGAGTAGCGCCTTCTACAGGCTCGATCTGCGATACACCTTCTTCGGCTGGCGGTTCTTCTTCAGCAGCGGTGGCTGTACCGCCCAGGTTTTCTTCTACGTGTGGGGCCACTTCGGCCACGATGCGGTCTAGCTCGGGGGCCATGCGTGCCAAAAAGAATTGGGGTTGAATCCCAATCCAGAACACAAACACTGCCAACGGGGCTAGGGCTGCAATCTCGCGGAGCGATAAATCCTTAACCGGGGGATCGGCCACGCTGTGCGTCGATTCGTGCAGAGGTCCGAAGAATACGCGTTGGACGAGCCACAGCATGTACCAAGCACCGAGCACCACGCCGACCACAGAGAGGACCGCGATGATCTGCAACTGCAGTTGCCACAGCCCGGGGGCTTGGGCCCAGGCCCGTTGGAACATGCCAATCAGCAGCAGGAACTCGCCGGCGAAACCATTGAGCCCCGGCAGACCGATGCTGGAGAAGGTCATCAGCAACATGAACGCTGCCAGCCATGGCGTGCGAAACGCCAGCCCGCTGAGCTGTTTAATCTCGCGGGTGTGGTAACGCTCGTACAGCATGCCGACCAGGGCAAAGAGGGCCCCGGTGGAAAGCCCGTGGTTGATCATTTGTAGAACGCCGCCCTGCATGCCCAAATCGTTCAGGGCGAAGAGCCCCAGCATGCAGAACCCCAGGTGGCTGACGCTGGAATAGGCAATGAGCCGCTTCATGTCGCTTTGAGCCAGGGCAACTAAGGCCCCGTAGATGATGCCGGCCACCGAAAGCCACAACACCCACGGCATGCACAGGGCCGTGGCGTCGGGCAGCATCGGCAGGCTGAAGCGAACGAAGCCGTACGTGCCAATCTTCAGCAGCACCCCGGCCAGAATCACGCTACCGGCCGTGGGGGCTTGAACGTGGGCCAACGGCAACCAGGTATGCAACGGGAACAGCGGAACCTTCACCGCGAACCCGGCGAACAGAGCGATGAAGATCAGCAGTTGCATCTGCGTCGACATCGGGTGTTCGCTCAAGATGTCGGTCAAGGCGGCAATGCTGAACGTCATCGTGCCCGACTGGAGATAGCCCCAGACCACGATGGTGATGAGACCCAGGAACGTGAGCACGCTGCCGGCCAGGGTGTAGATGAAAAATTTGATCGCCGCGTAACGGCGTTCTTCGTGCCCCCAAATGCCAATGAGGAAGAACAGCGGGATCAGCGTGAACTCGAAGAACACGTAAAACAGCATGATGTCTCGGGCGGCAAACACGCCCAACATGCCGGTTTCGAGCAGCATCAGCAGGATGTAGAAGCTGGGAGCGCGATCGTCGATTGCTTCCCAACTGACCAGCACGGCGGTGATCATTAATAGCGCACTGAGGGCATAGAGCCAGACGCTCAGCCCGTCGAGCCCCAAGCTGAACCGCACATCTAGCGCGTTATCGCCCACGGCCAGCCATGACCAATCAACGGCGTACCTGTCGCCCGTGGCGGGGGCGAACTGGGCCACCACGGCGATGCTCGCCAGCAAGGTCACCACCGAAGTCACCAGCGCCACCATCCGGGCGGTTTCTTTGCCGCCGGGGGCCAACGCCCAAATGGCGCCGGCACCAAACAGCGGCAGAAAGATGCTAATGACCAGCAGATTGAACATCTTGAATTACCGTCGTTCTGAAAGAGCGTGAATCGTAATAAACACCAAATGTCCTACACCAAACTTCGCCCTGGAACCTACTACTGGGGCGGCCATTGCAGGTAAGCCTCGACCAGGACCAACACCAAAAGGCCCAGCACCATGGCCAGGGCATAGAACTGAATCATGCCCGTCTGCAAGTGCCGGAACAGCCGACCAAATGTTTTGGGGATAGAACCAACCGTGTTCACAATTCCGTCGACGAACAGCCGATCGAGCGAGTAAGCAACCACCGCCAGGGCTTTCACCGGCACGATGATCAACAGTTCGTAAATCTGATCGATGAAGAACTTACCGTAAGACAAGACATAAGCGGGCTTGAGGATCGTCGTGAGCACTCGCAGGGTCCAGCGATCGCCGAAGTACAGGAATGCGGCCACGCCGATACCAGAGAAGGCCACGATGGTGCTAAGCATGGCGATCTCGCCGTGCATTTGCAGACCACCCTCGGGCAATGTGGCAAACAGAGGGGCGTACGACAGCGAAGGAGTCGACCACAGGAAGTGGGCGAAGGTGTGCCCGTAGGAAAACACCCAGCCGACCAGTGTGGCACACACGGCCAGCACCACCAGCGGAATCGTCATCGAGGGCGGCGACTCGTGGGCGTGATGCCCTGCTTCTTCGGGGATCTCTAACTTGCCGTAGAACGTAAGGAAGAACGCCCGAAATGTGTAGAAGGCCGTCATGCCGGCGGTAACCACGGCGGTCCAGTAGAACACCTCGAACCAGGGGTGATCGTGCCCAGCGTCGTGAACGGCGGCCAGGATCTCATCTTTGCTCCAGAACCCGGCGAAGGGGAGGATTCCGGAGAGCGCCAAGCAGCCGATGAGGAACGTCCAGTGGGTGTAGGGCATCAGCCTTCTCAACCCACCGAAGCGGCGGATATCGATCACATTCCCCATCGCGTGCATCACGCTACCGGCCCCCAGGAACAACAGGGCCTTGAAGAACGCGTGGGTGAACAGGTGGAACATGCCGGCTGTTACGCCGGCCAACGTGCCCGTGCCGAGCGAGAGGAACAGGTAACCCAACTGGCTCACGGTGGAGTAGGCGAGCACCCTTTTCAGATCGTTTTGGGTCAACGCAATCAACGCGGCGAGCAAAGCCGTGAAACAACCGACGGCGGCCACCACGAGTTGGGCCTCGGGTGAGGCGAAATACAGTGGCATGCACCGTGCGATCATGTACACCCCGGCCGTGACCATGGTGGCGGCGTGAATCAACGCGCTGACCGGGGTGGGGCCTTCCATCGCGTCGGGCAACCACACGTGCAGCGGGAACTGAGCACTCTTCCCGCAAGCCCCGACCAATAGCAGCAGGCAGATGGCCAACCCGACACCACCGCCGACGTAACCATTGGCGGCCGCCAACCGCGACTCGCCGAAGATGCCTGAGACCAGGGTTTCGCTGGTCTGCGTTCCTTCGGCCGCGGGGATGACCGTGTCGTGGAAGTTCAACGTGCCGTAGGTGGTCCACAGCAGGAACACCCCCAAGGCAAACCCGAAGTCGCCCACGCGGTTGACCAGAAAGGCCTTCTTACCGGCTTCGGCCGCTTCGGGCTTCTGATACCAGAAGCCAATCAGCAGGTAGCTGCACACGCCGACCGCTTCCCAAAACACATACAGCAGGGCGAAGTTGCTGACCGAAACCAGCATCGTCATCGAAAAGACGAACAGCGAGACGTACGTGAAGAACCGCCAGTAGCCCGGGTCGCCGTGCATGTAGCCGATGGAGTAGACCACGACCAACGAAGAAACGAAGGTCACCATCGCCAGCATAATGCAGGTGAGCGGGTCGGACCGTAGCGTGATGCTGACATCGAAGTTGTACGGCACCGGCGACGAGCCACCTTCGACCTCGGGGGCGGTCGTGGCGTCGAGCGCCGCGGGCACGCTGGCCCAAGTCCACAGCGTATAGATGTGCTCGTACGGAATGGGGGCGTCGCTGTGCTGGCCGTGTGCGGCTTCTTCCGCGATGACGGTATCATCGTGTTGGTTCACCCGAGAGTTCACCGTGGTGAGCAGGGCGATGCTGAGCACAAACGACGAAGTCATGGCGGCCACGGCCGGCAGGTGACTGTGCTGCTTCAGCAGGCGAGGTCCGAGAATTGGCGTGATGATGGCTGCCAGTAACGGCAGAGCGGGAATCATCACCATGAGCAAGTCGATGTCATACATGGGTGCGGTATGAGACCTCTTCTTCGCTGGTTTCGGGCTCGATGCCGGCGGGGGTCAAACTGGGCCACTTGGCCTTCGTCTCAAGCTCATCCGGCAGCTTTTCGTCTACATAGGCCGGCTGATTGGCTTCGCGGTTGTTCTGCCAGAAGGCAATGTCGAGATTGCCGCTGCGTTCGTACAGCATGAGCACCAGGGCCAGCGCGATCCCGGCCTCGCAGGCGGCCACCGTGAGGATGAAGATCGTCAGAATCTGACCATCCCAGTTGTTATGAAAGCGGCTCCAGCCCACCAGGCTGATCGATACGCCTTGCAGCATCATCTCGGCGCACAAGAACATGATGATCATGTTGCGGCGGCACAGGAAACCGACCAGCCCAATGCTGAACAGCATGGCTCCGACGAAGAGATAATCGTGTAGAAGCGTGACTTCGTTCATGGTCTTACCGCTCCCCCCGTTGGTTATTTGCCGCTTGATGGTTCTGGACCACTCCCACGGGAACATTGCTGCGTCTGAGTGGGCCGCGTCCGTGCACTACAATCGCCACCGCACCAACCAGGGCCATGAGTAACAAGGTGCCTGCTATTTCGACGGCCAACAGGTGCCGGGTGAATAGCTGTGCCCCCAGCTTCGCCATGTGATCGTCGGTCAGGACGCCCTCTCGGAGTTCTTTCATGCGAGGATACACTTGCTGCTCGGCCTCAGTCGCCCCGGCGGGCGGTTCTGTGGCGGGCGACTCTGTCGGGGGTGGAGGATTGGCATCGGTGGCCTGAGCCAGCGCGACGGTTTCGTCATTCTCCAAGTCGATATCGGCCGAAGCTGGAGTGAGTTCGACGGAGATCACCATCGTAAGCAAGCCAACCATGATCGCCCCGGTGAGGGCGGCGAGGTTTCCTTCCCAGGTCACGCGATCGTAGTAGGCGTGCCCCTCGGGCTGGGCCAACATGATGACGAACAAGAACGTGACCAGAATTGCCCCGGCGTAGACCACCACGGTGGCCACCCCCAAGAACTGGGCACCGTGCACGAACAATAACCCGCCCGAGGTGAGCAGCGTTAGGGCAAACCAAATGGCCGAGTAAACCGGCTTGCGACAGGTAACCGTAGCGACCGCCGAAGCAATCGTTACGCCGGCCAGAATTTGAAACACGCTGCGGGTGAGCCACGACTCGACCATGGGCACCCGCGATGCGAGCATCCCGGCGCCGATGAGGGCCAACACCACGCCAATCCAAGGGCTGCGTAATCCACCGCGAGGCAACATCAGCCACAGACCGACGGCAATCAACAGCGACGCGATGCTATAGAAGATGATGATGGAGTTCATTGAGGGGCCTTGCCGGGCGCCGGCTTCACGTGCGGTTTGCCGGTCACCGAAATCATGGGCTCGGCGTCTTTCGTTTGGTCGTAGACGCTGAGAAGTTTTTCCTTATCAAAAATCATTTCTTCGCGGCTGCGGCCCGTCAGGTCGAACAAGCTGGTGAGTTCGATGGCGTCCACGGGGCAAGCCTCTTCGCACATGCCACAGAAGATGCACCGCAGTTCGTCGATGACGAAGTTCTCGGGATACTTCTCACGGTCGGGCCAGGGACTTTCTGCGGCCAGAATATCGATGCAATGTGCCGGGCAGGCCGTCGCACATAAGAAGCAAGCCACGCACTTCACTCGACCTTCGCTGTCGCGATTCAGGCGATGCACGCCACGGTAGATCAAGGGGTTGCCAAACTTCGGGCGTTGTTCGGGGAAGCTCTGCGTGACCTTCTTCGAGAACAGGTGTTTGGTTGTGGTGGTCAGCCCTTGCAACACCAGCGGCAGATACATCCTGCCCGAGAGACCCAACTTGGGTTCTTCAAGCCATTTGACGTGCGGACTGTCGGGTTTCATCGTTAATCAACCTTCGCGGTTGCCCGCGATATGGGTGTTATAGGTGCGTACTATCGGGCACGGCGTACAGTCGTGGACGGTTATCGCCCCGGGGTGGCGAGACGGCCGTGGCAATCAGCACGGCGGCGAGCGACACGCTCCAGGTAATTGCGGCCAGCTTCCAAGTGGTGCCGGAGCCCAGCATCGATTCCAGCGGTTGGCGATACTCAACCAGTACGGCCACCATCACGAGGTTCAACATGCCCAGGGGTAGCATCACCTTCCAGGCGAGCGTCATCAGTTGATCGAAGCGGAATCGTGGCCACGACCAGCGGACCAGCATGAAGAACAGAATCACGGCCATCACTTTAGTCAGTAGCACCGCAATGCGAGCGATGCCCTGGAACCAGGTAACATCGGTGGCGTTACCGCCGGTGATGCCCCAGAAGTGCCAACCGCCAAAGAACAGGATGACAATGAGGAAGGCCGCCGTAACCATGTGCAGGAATTCGGCCACCAAGTACATCAACAGCTTGATGCCGGAATACTCGGTGTGATAACCGCCGACCAGTTCCTGTTCGGCCTCGGGTAAGTCGAACGGCAGTCGGGCCGCTTCGGCGAAGGCCGCCACGAGAAACACCAAGAAGCCCAACGGTTGCACGGCAAAGAACCACACGCCGGTGGCCGCCTGGGTTTCGATGATTTCGGCAAGGTCGAGCGAGTGCGACATCAGCACCACGCCGAGGATGCCCAAGCCCAGGGGGAGTTCGTAGGCAATTAATTGGGCACTCGAGCGCAACCCACCGATGAAGCTGTATTTGTTGTTGCTGGCCCAGCCGCCGAGAATCACGCCGTAAACAGCCAGGCTGCTGAGGGCGAAGACGTACAGAATGCCCACACTTACGCCGGGGGCAATCACCAGCGGAATCTCGTGATCGGTAAGCCCGAACGAGGCACTTGCCGGAAGCATGCTACCCACGGGAATGACCGCAAACACGGCCAACGCCGACGTGAGAATGACGATGGGAGCCAAAAGGAACAACGCCTTGTCGACGTGTTTGGGGGTGTACTCTTGCTTGGCGATGAACTTCAACCCGTCGGCCAACGGCTGCCCGAGCCCGAACAGACGGATCTTTGTAAAGGGAATGCCCACGCGGTTGGGCCCGATGCGACCTTGCATCCAGGCACACATCCAGCGTTCGACCAACACCAAGTAGGCCGCGGCCGTCATCACGACGAACAGCATCAAGGCGATCTTGATGAGGGCTTCAATAGCGATTGCCATCATGGCAGGGTGCTCACTTGGTGGGGGCCAACTCAGAGGACTTTAAATAAACGCCGGTATCGGGCACACCATCGGCGGCCGCGGCAAAATAGGGAATCGACTCGGCGACTTCCGCCAACACCGGCGCTGACTTATAGAGCCCGGTCTCCTTCAACAATTGCCAGTACAAGCTGCCTTCGACCCGGGCCCCCGCAGGCGGACGCACAGCCCATTGGGCCGTTTGCAGGTGATCGTTGAAGTTAACATACGAGCCTTCCCGCTCGGCGAATGCTACGCCCGGCAGTTTGATGTCGGCCGTTTCCCAAGCTGGCGAGGGGAACATATCTTGCACAATCAGCAGTGGTGCCTGGCGAAGCTTGCCGGCGGTTTCTTCATCAACCCAATTGGTCTTGTACCCGCCCGTAAGCCAAACGGCCCCAAACGTGGAGGCCTGCGAGATGATCTCATCCCAGGTGGTTACCCCGCCGGCGAAGTGCTTCAACACTTCTTCCACACCGCGGCGGTTGGGGCACTTTTCGGCGTGAATCGTGAACCCAGTGGGGAAGACTTCATCCTGACCTGCGGTGGGAATGTGCCCCAGAACCAGCCACGCCCCCGGGTCGTACGATCGCAGCAGCTTGGCGAACAGGTACGCTTCTTCCACAGTGAGGTGCGGCGAGATCACACCGGCTAATCGCCCGGCAGATCCCAGTCGACTGGAGAGTGTTTCGCCCACGGCCGACCAATCGAGTGGTTCCTCTCTGCCGTTGGCATGTTGCAGTGGCTCGACAAGACGCTTGTCATCGTGAACGTGGTGGTAGCCGTAGCGGCCTTCGTCGCACATCCACCACTGATTCACCGCCTGATTCTCGCGGGGTCGCAAGCGGTAAACCGTGTCTTGATTCTCTTCAACCGTAATCGAGCAGCCCGTCGAACAGCCGGTGCAGACGCCATTGTGCTTCTTCATGAACCACACGCGCTGCTTGTAAAGAAAGTCGCGATCACCCAGGGCCCCTACGGGGCACAGATCGACCACGTTGCCTGAGAGCTTGTTGTCCAACGGGAAGCCGTCGAAGACGTTGATCTCCTCCCGGGCACCGCGCGATTCGACCATGAGTTCTGAAGTGCCGGAAACCTCGCGGGTGAAGCGAACGCATCGCGAACACATCACGCAACGGTCGGTGAACAGGGTGACCGTTTCGCCCAGATCTTTGCGGCGGCTGGTGAAGGGGCGGATGTCGGCCCGACGAGACTGCTGACCGTGCTGGAAGTGATAGTCCTGCAACAGGCACTCGCCGGCCTTGTCGCAAATGGGGCAATCAATCGGGTGATCGATCAACAGGGCTTCTTCAACGAACGCCCGGGCATGCTCGACCTTTTCGCTTTTGGTTACGAACACGGTCCCGTCGCGGGCCGGCGTTTGGCACGCGGGCACCAGCTTGGGCATCATTGCAATTTCGCCCGTCTCCGCATTCTTGGTGCCGGTTTCGACCAGGCACATGCGGCAACTGGCGACAACAGTAAGCCCCTTGTGCCAACAATAGTGCGGCACATCGGCACCGGCTCGCCGTGCGACCTCGATACCGTTGAGGCGCTCGTCGTCACCAATTTCGATTTCTTGTCCGTCGACGATTACGGTGCCCATAAGTTGCTTTCCAATTTACCCACGGCTGTCGGCTCGAACTCGCTGTTTTAGTGCCCGTTACTCAGTATGGGCAAGGCCTCGACTGGCTCGGTTTCCATGTACCCGGTGGGGTTGGTTTGTTTGATGTAGTCTTCGAATTCATCCCGCCATTTGCGAATGGCATTCTTGATCGGCCAGGCCGCTCCGTCGGACAAACCACAAATGGTTGTGCCGGGGATGATGCCGATCGTGTCGCCAATCTCGAGCAGCAAATCGAGGTCTTTCAAGCGCCCCTTGCCGGCGCGAATCCGGTTCAGCATGGTGACAGACCACGAAGTGCCCTCTCGGCACGGGGTGCATTGCCCACAACTTTCATGATCGAAGAACCGGCAACTGTTGTGCAGGAACTCGACCATCGAGGTGGTTTCGTCCATCACTACCACGGCTGCGGTACCAAGTCCCAAGCAACCAGCCTTACCCGGCCCGGCAAAGTCCAGGGGAAGATCGAACTCATCTTCGCTTAGCAGGCCCATGCTGATTCCGCCGGGGATAGCCGCCTTGGCTTTGCGACCTTTCCACACTCCGCCGCCGTAGTCTTCAATCAACTGCCGGGTGGTGATGCCCAAGGGGACTTCGTAGCAGCCGGGTTTATTCACATGCCCGCTCAAGCAGTAAAGCTTGGGGCCATAACTTCCGGCATCTCGAGGGTTATCTGGATCGGACGGGACGCCCATCGACTTAAACCAATCGGCACCGCGATTGATGATGTGCACCACGCAGGCGGCCGTCTCCACGTTATTCACCACCGTGGGCTTGCGAAAAACCCCTTCGACCGCCGGAAACGGCGGCTTGATGCGCGGCCAGGCTCGCTTGCCCTCCAGGCTTTCGATGAGCCCCGTCTCTTCGCCGCAGATGTACGCGGCGGCCCCGCGGTGCAGATAGATGTTCAGCGAGAAGTTGCTGCCCAGGATGTTCTGGCCCAGGTATCCCTTGGCATAGCATTCGTCCAAGGCACTCTGCAAGCGCTCGTAGGCCAGAGGGTATTCCACACGAATGTAGATGTAAGCCGTGGTGGCCCGCGTGGCATAGCAACTGATGATCAGCCCTTCGATCACCTGATGCGGGTCTTCTTCCATGAGAATGCGATTATTGAACGTGCCGGGTTCGCTTTCGTCGGCGTTCAAGCAGAAGTAGATCGGGCCTGGATGATCTTTGGGCAGGAAGGTCCACTTCAATCCACAGGGGAATCCGGCCCCACCGCGACCACGCAGATTGCTCTCTTTGACCTCTTCGATGACGTCGGTCGGTTGCAATTCCCCAACCACGCGGCGAAGTGCCTTGTAGCCACCATGCTGCTCGTAAACCGGCATGGTGTGGCTGTCGAGCTTGTCTACATGCGCCAGCAGGACGGGTTCGAACGCACTCACGTCTGGTCACCTATCGAGTAAAAGCCGCGCGGTCACTTCAGAGAATCGAGAAACGCTTCGGCCGATTCTTTGGTCAGGTCTTTGTGCAATGTTTTGCCGGCCAACATGCAGGGAGCAAAGTCGCAGGCCCCCAGGCACTCGGCGAATTCGATCGTCAAACGGCCGTCTTCGGTCGTTTCGCCCGGCTTGATGCCCGCCTTGTCGCACATGTGATCGAGCACTTCTTCGCCCCCACGCAGGGCACAGCTAATCGAGCGGCAGACCCAGGCCCGCACTTCGCCGTGGGGTTTGTCTTGTTTGAAGTATCCGTAAAAGGTCAGCGTGTCTTGCACCTGAGCCGGCGAGAGTTCCAGCAGTTCGGCCACTTCAACCACGGCTTGCCGCGGAACATATCGCAGGGCCTCGTTCACAATGTGCAGCGCCGGAAGCGTAACAGCCTGCTTGTCGGGGTACCGAGGAAAGTAAGCACGAATGGCTTCAACCATTTCGTCGGTTAGCACGCGTTCGGTTGTGGACATGAAGGGCGATCCGAAAATACTCAGCGGCGATTCTTGTGCGGCAGGTTAACCGGCAACTAGCGATCCAACTCGGCGGCGATAATGTTCAAGCTCCCCAGTACGGCAACAATGTCACTCAGCGTGTGCCCCTTAATCAACATGGGAAACATCGCCAGGTGAATGAACGACGGCGGTCGGCAGCGGGCGCGATAGGCCACATCCGACCCGTCGCCGGCGATGTAAAAACCCAACTCTCCATTGGGGGCTTCGATGGCAGAGTAAACCTCTTCGTGCGGCACCGTGAACCCACGGTTACTCATCGAGAGTTCGAACTGCATGATCGTGCCTTCGATCGAAGAGTACACCTGTTGCTTTGTGGGCAGTGTGGTGCGTTCGTCGAGCCCCACATTCACCGGCCCCGAGGGCAGGTTCTCGAGTGCTTGCCCAATGATCTTCAAGCTTTCGCGCGCCTCGGCCATTCGCACGTAGTACCGTGCGTAGCAGTCGCCCGTGGTCATACAGGGCACATCGAAATCGAAATCTTTGTACGCCAGGTAGGGCTCGTCTTTCCGCAAGTCGCGGGTCACCCCGCTGGCCCTGGCGATCGGCCCGGTGGCGCTCCAATTGGTGGCGTCTTCTTTCGCGAGAACGCCAACCCCCTGCGTACGATCGGTGAAGATGCGATTGCGGTTGACCAAACGCTCCATGTCGTCGAGCGTCTTGGCCGAACTTTTCATGAAAGCCCGCACCTTCTCGATGAACACGTCGCTGACGTCGTACACCAACCCACCGACGCGGGTGTAGCTGTTCGTGAAGCGGGCCCCGCAGGCGGTCTCGAAGATGTCGTAGATCACCTCGCGCTGATAGAAGGCATACAGAAAGAAGGTGAAGGCCCCCGTATCGAGCCCGATCGCTCCATTGCAAAGGAAGTGATCGCTCATGCGGGCCAGTTCGCAGATGATGGTGCGAATGTACTTGCAGCGGGGCGTGATCTCGATGCCGAGCAGTTTCTCAACCGCACAGTGCCAAGCCACGTTGTTGGCCATCGGCGACATGTAGTTCATGCGGTCGGTCACAGTGACATACTGGTTGTAGTCCAGGTGCTCGCCGATCTTCTCGAAGCCCGAATGCAGATAGCCGATGTCGGGCATGGCCGCCACGACCCGTTCACCGTCGAGCTTCAACACCAGCCGCAACGTGGTGTGGGTGGCCGGATGTTGAGGACCGAAGTTCAGTGTCCACAAGTAGTCCTGCGTTTCGTCCCGCGCAAGATCGCCCTGAAACTCTTCCAGCTCTGGATTCGAGGTGGGGGTAAGCGGCATATCAGCCCTCGGATCGCGTTAACACGGGGAAGTTGTGGCGTTCGCCTCGGCCCTGTAGCGGATAGTCTTTCCGCAGCGGATGGGCCGTGAACTCCTCGGGCAGCAAGATGCGCCGCAGGTCGGGATGTCCTTCGAACTCGATCCCGAACATGTCGTAGACTTCCCGCTCCATCCAGTTGGCGCCCTTCCACAGCGGCACGGCCGAAGGCACCTTCAGGTTGGGCTCGTTCAAGAAGGTGCGAATGGTGAGCCGCTCGTTGCTATCGATGTTTGTCAGCAAGTAGACCAACCCGAAGCGATCGCTGGCGTCGCGATAGTTCAAGTAGTCGACGCAGGTGATGTCGACCAGTAGGTCATACCCCTGCTCGTTCTTCAGCCAGGAGAGCACCTGGTAGATGCCGTCTTGCGGCACCGCGACACGCGTTCGATCACGGTACTCATCGACCGTGGCGGCAGGAAATGCCTGTTCCAGCGATGCAATACATTGTGGTCTCGACATAATTCACACCTTGCAACCCGTGATGGGCAGCCCGCCTGATGTCCCCACGAAACCAACCGAGCCGCCATTAGCGAAGCGGCATACCTGGATTGTTCAGCACCGGTAGCTCAACCAAGGCCCGTTTCCGCTGATTCCGCTCCTCGGTCGTAAACTCTTTCCCGAAGATCGTGCCTTCGTGCTCGATCTTGTCCTGCAGGTCGATGATGGCCTGGATCAATTGCTCGGGTCGCGGAGGGCAACCAGGCACATACATATCGACCGGTATAAAGCGATCGATGCCCTGCACGACGCAGTAGGTATCAAACACTCCGCCGGTCGATGCACACGCCCCCATCGAGATACACCACTTCGGCTCGTTCATCTGCAGCCAAATTCGTTGCAGCACGGGCAGCATCTTCATCACGACCCGGCCGGCGACAATCATCAGGTCGCACTGCCGGGGACTGAAGCGAAACACCTCGGCGCCGAACCGGGCCAGGTCGTGCTTACTGGCACCGGTGGCCATCAATTCGATTCCACAGCAGGCCGTGGCGAAGGGCATGGGCCACAGACTATTCTTGCGACCCCAACTCGCTAAAGCGTCGAGCTTGCTGATGAACACATTGTCGGGGAGATCTATCGCCATTGGAAAACACCTTTCCGCCAAGCGTAAACCAACCCCAGGGCCAGCAACGCGATGAAAACCATCACCTCGCTAAACACGAGCCCGCGATTGGCAATCAACTGTTGAGCAACGGGGACGGCATCGGCAACCACCACCGAGTCGACCCCCGCGGGATCGCCCGAAGCAACGGCCCATGGATACAAAAAGAACAGTTCCACATCGAAGATGAGAAACGCGATGGCAACGAGGTGGAAGCGAATATCAAACTTCCGCCGAGTATCGTGAATGGGATCCATACCGCTTTCGTACGGCATGCCCTTCACTTCAGAGGTTCGCTGCGGCCCAACGAGGCGCCCCACAACTAACAGCGTTACGGCCAGTCCGGCACAAGCCAGAATAAATAAGATGACTGGCAACCAGAGCGATTCAGGAAAAGTAGCGCCCATTGTACCCGCGGCAGCAAGAGGACATTCGCGCACTTTCCACGACATTGTGAAACGATTCACAAATCGCGGCCAAAAAAGAGCCCGACACACACGTCGAGCTATGTGGCATCGTATCGGGGTGCGACCGACTGTCAAGGTACTCAACCCAATCGCGGGAATATCCTAGGCCATGGCAATGACTTCACAGATCTGTAATCTCGAGGGTCTAACGCTAATTGCTTGTTCCGTCGGCTAATGACTGACGCTCTCGCCAAACGAGTTGCCATCGTCGAAGTCGCATACAAGAATGGGCCGCGAGAATGCTGCTTGCTCTGACTCTCGCATGGTGAACTATGTCGATTGATTTAACGGCCACTCTGAGCGACCTGGTATCGATCCCCAGTGTGAACCCCATGGGGCGCAACGTCTCGGGTCCTGAGTATTACGAATACCGATTGACCGATTACCTGCAGGCGTTGTTCGCGCGATTGGAGATCCCCTGGCACCGCCAGACGATTGAACCGTTGCGAGACAACATCGTCGCTCGTCTCGACGGGAACGACTCGGTCGAAGATGGCGGCGGGATCTTGTTGTTCGAGGCCCATCAAGACACAGTGCCCGTCGACGGGATGACGATCGAACCGTGGACGCCGAAAGTTTCCGAAGGCCGGCTCTACGGCCGGGGTTCTTGCGACATCAAAGGCGGGATGACGGCCATGCTGGGGGCGCTCGCCCGACTGGCCCAAGAACGCCCCAAAGATATGCCGACCATTGTGATGGCCTGCACCATCAACGAAGAACACGGCTACAGCGGAGCCAACCAGCTAGGCGAACTGTGGACGGAAGCCGGTTCGCACTTCATCCCCCGCCGGCCCGATGCGGCGATCATCGCCGAGCCCACCAACCTTGATGTGGTGGTGGCCCACAAGGGCGCTGTCCGCTGGCGCTGCAAAACCCACGGGGTCGCCGGGCACAGTTCCCAGCCCGAGCGCGGCATCAACGCCGTGTACCGCATGGCGAAGGTGCTCACGGTGTTGCAGCGGTATCAGGAAGAGGTCGTCCCCACCCTCTCCGCGCATCACCTTTGCGGGCGACCGACACTGAGCGTGGGCGTGATCTCCGGGGGGCTCAGCGTGAATACCATTCCAGATGAATGCACCATCGAGATCGATCGTCGGGTTACGCCGCTAGAACGAACCGATGCGGCCTACGAGCATGTGCTCGATTACCTCAGCAAAGCCCCCGAAATCGACTTCCCCATCGAGAACGAACTACCATTCTTGGCGGGCGATCCCCTGCCCGACCGAGACAATGACCCGTTAGCCCAGCGATTGCAGGCTACCGTTCGCGAACTCTACGGCAGTTGCGACATCGTGGGTGTGCCCTATGGCACCGACGCGTCGAAGATCGCGGTTCACGGAGTGCCCAGCGTGGTGTTTGGCCCCGGCTCCATCGAGCAGGCCCACACCGCCGACGAATGGTTGTCGCTGGACGAAATGGAACGTGCGAGCGAAGCGTATTACGCATTCGCCCGCACGGGCCTGGCAAAGCGGTGATTTCTCAGCCGTCGCTCGACGATCAGAATGTGTCGAGGATGAAGTGGTGTCCGCGATAGTAGCGTCGCGCCTCGGTGAAGTACTTGCTCTTACTACCGTACTGCACCCACGGGTCGCGTTGACATTCACGTCCTTCGGGATAGTAGTTGTGCCACTGCCGGTTGTAGACCGGAATTCTCATTTCCGGGGTGTACCGGTAGTACATGTCGTTTGAGCTTTTGAAGTAGTCTTCTGCCCAAAAGTTCTGTGGGTAGTAGACGTACGGGTAACTGTAGAACCGTTGCCAGTCCTGGGTGTTGTACGTGCCGGCCCATTGCCGTCCGTACATCTGCTGGGCGTGGGCTTCGGAATCGGCCAGTGCGGCGGCCAGCCCAAGTGCGCAGCCGAGCGCAAGTACCGTGTGACGCAACATGAGAAATCCCCCCGGTGTCGTTGCCTGAATAGCAGAGCCACCCGACCGCCTGCGCGAGGTCCTCCGCGGCGATCACCGGCAGCCTGGGTCTGTAGATAACCCATCGGCTGCCCGAACATCCGGCATTGAGCGAATATTCACTACAGCCGGAATGCCCGGCAATCTCGTTTGAAGCACGGGAAAACAGGGGATTTTTAACGCCTGAGCCTCGGCCCGCCGCACGGGCAAGGCAAGCTAGGCGAACTTTGCCGGCAAGGGCCCGAACGCTATTCCGGGAGCCGGCCCTCTTCCAGTTCACGCTCCCACTCTTCCATCAGCGGCCAGTGCGTGGCGCAGGTGCCAAAATCGGCCATTCCCAGGTAGCCCTGCAGCCGTTCGATGGTGCTATCAAGCAGCTCATCGTCCTTGCGGAACACTGGACCGTGGCTGGGCAACAGCCATTTCACATCGCTTCCGCGGATACGCTGCAGCGAACGGATGAAGGCCTCGATATCGCTACCGTGATGGGCGTCGATGGCCCCCACGCAGCCGTCGCGGTAGATATTGTCGCCGCAGAACAGCAAATCGCCCAGGCGGAACGAAAGCTGGCTATCGGTATGGCCCGGGGTATGCCATACCTCCAGCTTCAAATCGCCAACCGTGATCACATCGCCGTCATCGACCAAGTGATCCAGCTTCACGGGCGTCATCGCCAGGTCGATTCCCTGGGCTTCGATCTCGGCGAAGGTCAACAGCCGATCGCCGGAGGCCAAAGGCTTTTCGGCCAGGCGGTGCCCCGTGGTGGTGGTCTTCAGCACGTTCTTCAGCGTGGCCAGCCCTTGGATGTGGTCCACGTCGGCATGGGTGGCGATGATCGTCTTGCACTGCGACAACGGGAAGTCCATCTGCCGAATCATCTCGACGATTTCTTCCACGGTATCTTCGTAGCCGATATCGATGATCACCCACTCGTCTTTGTCGTAAATGAGATAAACATTGCACCCCAGGCATTCCCCCGCCTGGTAGTTCATCTCAATCACATGCGGAAAGATCGGTTTCCGCTCCAACATGGCTAGCCTCTCATTCAACTAGGCGAACAACCTGCACAGAGCCTTACAGAACGGCTTGAAACGCCAAAGGCTCCGTCGAGATTCTAAGGGGCGTTGATAGTACCGACAAGCTAACCCGCAGAACACCACCGTCTGGGGTAGGACATCGATAAAACATCGCTTTGAGACTGTGTATCAAACTTCCTCCGCCACCACGGCCGCCAGGCCTTCGCGGTAGCTGGGATGGGCTAGTTGAACGCTCAGTTCTTCCAGCATGCGGCGGTTGCCGACACGTTTGCTCGAAAGGGCCCGTTGTGAGGCGGGATGTTCGGCCGAGGGTTCAACGAACTTGGGCGCGGGAGCGCCGACCAGGCGGGCGAGTTCGTTGTAGTATTCTGTCCGTTCCACGGGATGGCCGTCGGAGACATTGTAGAGATCGGTCTTGGATTGCTGCTCAGTGGCCAGCACTACCGTGGCCGCATCGTCGACGTGGATCAGGTTCATGTAACCGCTCTGGGGCGCAGCAATGGGCTCACCAGCCTTTAGCGCTGCCACTCGGGGAATCCGCTTCGGACCGTAGATGCCGGCCAGGCGGAGAATGGTCCACTTCCAGGTAAACGCGTCGTGCAGCAGTAGCTGCTCGGCTTCGAGACAGATGCGGCCCCCTTCCGTGATTGGCTCGGCGGGCGAACTCTCATCGACCCAATCGCCGTCGGTCTGACCGTAAACGCCCGTCGAGCTGATGTAGATCAGTTGCCGTGTATCGACCGGCAAAGCGGCCAGAACATTCTTCAGCCCGGTGACATACACTTCTCGCTTGCTGGGTTCGGCGTTGCGGTCGAACCCCACGGCGTACAACACGGTTTGCACCGCAGGCAACTCGCCGAGCGACTCCGGATCGGTCACATCCCCCACCACCGGTTCGATTCCCAACGCGCGAAACTCGTTGGCCCGCTCGTTACTCCGCGTGAGTGCGAATACCCGGTCGCCCTGCTCCAACCAGCGCTGGGCTACCCGCGATCCGAGGTAACCGCAGCCAACGATGAGTTTGGGCGTCGCCACAGCAGCACCTTTTTGGGGCGTGAGAAGTGTGAGTCAGTCGTCCAGTCCGGCAGGCCGGTCGTCTTCGGTGCCCGACTCGAGAAACGACTCCAGCAGAATCTGGGCGGCCACCATGTCACGGCGGTTTTTCTTCCGCTTTCGCGTCAGGCCTGCATCTCCCATTTTCGCATCGGCCTCGACTGAAGTGAACCGCTCGTCGTGAAACACCACGCGAACGCCCGTCGCCGCGGCCAGCCATCGCCCGAACTCGCGAGCTTCACCCGACTTCTCGCTTTCGCGGCCGTCCAAATGCACGGGCAACCCGACCACGAATAAGACGATCGACTCTTCGGCGGCCAGCTGCTGAAAGTGGCGGGCGTCGTCTTCCCGGCCCACGCGGGTATACGTCTCGAACGGGCTGGCCAGCATCCGCAACGCATCGCTCACGGCCACCCCGATGCGAACCGTACCGTAATCAATGGCCGCCACACGGCCGGGTAAAGAGGAGGAACGACTGGCGGAATCTTCGGGAGTCAACTGTGCTTTCTCCACCGACGATAATTCTAAACGAGGACTCCGCAGATTCTTGCATCACGAGGCGTCGAATGAAGGGAGAGGGTTTCAGTCCAAGTACTGCTTCAGCATTGACTCTACTGAAATGATCGCCGATTGGAAACTCGAGTGGCTCCGTTTAGAACGCGTGTTCCACTGGAGACCTGCCGAAGTGGGAACGCAATCTGACGAATCGGGCGCTCATCTGGATTCAGCGTCAGACTCGGCAATCCACTCCATAAATGACGAGTCGGCTCCGCCCATTTCCACGATCCGACTACCATGGGTCATACAGCCAAGACCGTGCTCCATATCCCAACTGCAGCCGAACTCGAAACCGATATAGGCCTTCCCGCGATGGGCCACATTCAGCACATGTAGGGTATGCAGACCAATCAAGTTCTTGAAATCATCCTTCGACTTGATGTTGGGCATCAACTCTTCGGCTTCTTCATCGGAATAACCGAACTCTTTTTGAAGCTGCGGATATTCCTTAAACAGTCTGGTGAGCATCGCGTCGCGCAGCTTCTCCTGGCTTTTCTGTACATGAGCAAAGGCGGCAATCTGCTGTGGCGAAGGAGACTTCTTGTCGTCAGGAATGGTGACCGAGACCAGGACCTTGCCCGTAGAGGCACGGCGGGACCCTGGCGAGCCATAGTTCCCGCTTCGATCTTGATATCCTGCCCACGCAGGCAACTTAGAAGTTCCTTCCCAAAAGAACTCGTTCTTCTTCAGCTTCGGAAAATCCGGAGCATCCGCCGCCTTTTTCTTCGCCGCCATGGCACCTACCCCCGTGCAAGAATCGCAGAGTTTGTAAGCCGTATCGTGTGGCTGCCAATTCTGCCGAAAGTGAGAGCGGAGTGCAAACAATTGCAGAGCAATTTCGCGAACCTGCACCGAGAACTCTCTACTGGCTCTGGCGGTGCGGACTAGGGGTGATTCTTCGGCCACAAGTCCAAAACATGGCAGGTCCGAATCCCGTGCCGCCTTGAAATGAGGGTCTTACAGGTACCGATCCAACTTGTGCTCGCCAATCAGCTTCACGATATCGCGGATCGACTCTTCGTCGTCTTTGTTGGCCACCAGTGTGGCGTCGGGGGTGTGAACGACGATGCAGTTCTTGAGGCCGAGCGTGGCAATGAGATGCCCTTTCTCTCCGCGGATGATTGATCCTTCGGTATTTTTGCTGACGTGGTCGCCGATGATCACATTGCCGTTTTCATCCGACTCGTGCAGGCGAGTCAGCGATTGCCAACTTCCCAGGTCATCCCAATCATAGGGGGCTTCGATCACCACGACGTCGGTGGCGTGCTCCATCACGGCAAAGTCGATCGATTTCCCTTGGATGGCCGTGAACTCGCGTTTAAACACTTCGTCGTAGCCGGAACTGCCTTGAGCGTCGGCGATGGCCTTCAAGTGGGCGAACATCTCCGGTTCGCGCTCGGAGAGTTCTCGTTGAATCTTGCCGGCTTTCCAAACGAAGATACCGGAGTTCCAGTAGAAGTTGCCCGCATCGAGATACTGCTTCGCCACGTCGGCCTTCGGCTTCTCACGGAACTGCTTCACCTGATAAGCGGACGTATCGATTTTCTTTGCCGCGTCGGCCGGCACTTCGATCGTGCTCCCGGCTTCGATGTAGCCGAAGCTTTCGGCCGGATAAGTCGGGCGAATGCCGAACGTGACAATCCGCTCGGGCTTTTCGTCGACCAGAGAAGCCGCAAATTCGAGCGCCGCCTGAAACTTCTCGCGAGGAGAAATCACATGATCGGCCGGCATCACCACCATCGTGGCATCCGGATCTTCGGCCGCAATGCTGTTGGCCGCCAACCCAATGCAGGGAGCCGTATCGCGCTTGCAGGGTTCGCCGATGATCGACTCGGGGCGCAGCTCCGGAAGTTGTTGGCGAATGCTGTCGACCAGGGCCTCGTTGGTGACAATCAGCGTTCGTTCGCCCGGCACCAAGTCTGATATTCGGGCAACCGTGTCCTGCAGCATCGAACGCTCGCCGGCCAGCGGCAACAACTGCTTGGGGGTTAATTTGCGGCTGGCTGGCCAGAATCGGGTTCCAGAACCTCCGGCCATGATCACAGCGTGCAACATCTGAACTTCTCCCCCCTGGTTGGCGATGAATAAACGTCTCGCGATAAATCGTTCACCGCGAATCTATCAAAACCCCCGGCAAATTGTCACCGGTGGCCGCGTCAGGGATTCCTCCATCAGATGAGAAAACTCCGAGGGTGCCCCCGCTGGCTTGCCCAGCGGTGCCGGAGCTTCAGCTATTCGAATGGTCGCTAGTCCCACGAGTTTCCCGACCTTCCGAAAGAACCCATGGGAGTGATGACTGCGATTCTTAGTCGTCCTTGGAATGATGATTACTGACGCTTCCCACCGCTGGACCAGCCAGCGGTGCCACCCAGACTGTCCCCGAACGCCACTCAACTCACAGCCAACGCGGTTCGTGCTTGCGTAGTTGCTCACGCACAATTTCCAAATCGTCGGCCGATTTGAGCGGGGCGAAGGCGGAACTGCGGGGGACTTCGATCGCGATGGCGTTCTTGGCATGTGGGAGCAGGTCGAACACGAATCGTTCGAACTTGTAGGCGTTGGGCTCCGAGGGCTTCACCTCTTTTCCCGCGGCGTCGACGTGCTGCACACTCTTCAGGGCGAAATGCCAAGGCAGCGTTTCGAGATGCTCGGCGGCGTGCTGCAAGAAGTCGACTTCAATGGCGTGAACCGCGATGTTGCCGGCCCAAAGTTCCAATTCGCCGGAGTCGTCTCGCCGCTGGGCAGCCTCCTCGGGCAGATCGCTGTACTCGATGATCTGCAGCCGGTCGTCGACGGTTACGACGTTGCCAACCTTTTCAGCCGGATCGGTCTTCCGTACCACTTGAGTCGAGATTTCTGAATTGCTGTTGAGGTGATGGCCCAAGAACTCGGGATCGGCGACCGCCACCAAGGGATTGTCGACCTGCATGTAGAACAGATGGCGAATCCCTCGCTGCTGCATGTCATCCAGCAGTCCGGTGCGATTGAGGGCCGAGACCATGCCGCCGTGACCGTCGGGGCTCAGTGCCAGGCTCCCCTTGGAAGCCAGCAACAATTTGCCCGATGCCGCATCGACCGCCGGCATGGTTCCTTGGCAGAAGATGTGCAAGTCGTCCGCAGGTAAGCCGAAACGATTGTGATTCTCGAGGAACGCGACCGTTTCCTCATGCGTGGCAGGGCTGGTCATCAGGTACAGAGGAATGGCCGCACCGTGGGCCGCGGCTTGCTCGAGCTGCTTCTGGATGAAGATTTCAAACAACGTCCGCCCGGAATCGGGCACGATGGGGAACATGCCCTTGGGATGCTCGAACCCCAGCCGGCTCCCCTGCCCTCCGGCGACGATCAATACGCCCACCTGACCCGCTTTCAGGGCTTCACTCCCCCGGCCGATAGCCTTTTCGGCCGCCTCATCCCGGCCTGGGTCGTCGAGCTGCACGGCAGTGGGCCCGGTGGCTCGTTGGACATCGGCCCCGCCATCGTCCTTCAGAGGACCGCGAGCTAGCAGGGCTTCGATCTCGGTGAAGTCGACCTTGGCTAAGCTGGCACTGAGTTCTTCTTGCTCGGCGGGGGATAGATCATCCCAGAATGCGAGCAAATGCTCCTGCTGGTGGTTGGCCAGCCGTGTTCGCAGTTGGGTGATGTCGGGTGCCATCAGGTCAAATCAATTCTCAGACCGTCGTAGGCCAACTCCATGCCCTCGGGCAAGGCCTCGTTGGTCTTCTCATGTTCTAAATCGTGCGACATGTGCGTGAAGATGGTGCGTCGCGGTTTCAATCGCTGGGAGACCTCGATCGACTCTTCCAGGCAGAAGTGCGTGGGGTGCTTGGCTTCGCGGAGGGCATCGAGAATCAGTACATCGAGCCCTTCCAGCAGCGGCCAGCTTTCCTCGGGAATGTGGTTCGTGTCGGTGCAGTAGGCAACATTGCCGAAGCGGAAGCCCAGCACCTCGAACCGGCCGTGAATTAAACGGATGGGTGTGAAGCGGGTGCCCAACACCTCGAAGGGATCCAGGCCGATGCGCTCGAAGGTGAGCTGCGGGATGCCACCCATCATTTGTTTGGGCGATAGATCTTGAAACGCGTAATCGAACGACTTGCGGATCCGCTGCTCGACCATCTCCTCGCAGAACAACGGTAGCTTGTGCCCCAGGTAGTAGGGGAACAACCGTACGTCGTCGAGCCCGAAGATGTGGTCGGCGTGATCGTGCGTATACAGCACGGAATGGATCAGCCCGATGTGCTCACGCACCAACTGCAATCGCAACTCGGTGGGGGTATCGACCAGCAGGTTGCCCTCGGGCAGGCCGATTACCAAACCACAACGTGTCCGCTTGTTTTTAAGGTTGGTGCTTTGGCAAGTTGGGCAATCACAGCCGATGACAGGCACCCCCATTGAGGTGCCTGTGCCCAGGAACACCAGCTTGCCCTGGATATCGTCGGAGGAGGGAATTCGGGCCACCGCACTGTCCGTCGTAAATCGTTGCTTCGACGCGGAATACTGTTACGGTTCGAGGTCGAAAACAGCCGTGGCCGACCACCAACGCGCCAACACGCAGTGGCACATTCGCAGATTAGCTCCGGCGCTGCAAGGGTCGGCCTCAATACTAGCCTAACGCGGACGAATAACCCTTCTTGACCGACCGTGCTAGAAGCAATAAAGTATTCAGGCGGAATGTGTTGCGTCGATGAAAGCCCTTTTGTCACAAGGCTTTCCCGCCACCCATGCGCCCTCGCATCCCCTAGTTGGGGGTAGGCCGATGAGCAACGAAAAGCTGGAACAGATTTGGGACGTCACCACCGGGTTCTTCGGTGGACTGGCGCGCGGTCTCGAACAAGGTCTTACCTCACTGTTCGGGTCCTCGAACGCCCGCTATATCGAAAAACAACTGAAGCCGAAGGTCCAGGCCATCAACGAGTTGGAATCCCGTTACGAAGGGATGACTGAAGAGGAACTGCGCGAACAAACGACCCTGTTCCGCAAACGCCTGGCTGCCGGCGAAACGCTGGATGACATTCTGGTCGAAGCCTTTGCCGTGTGTCGCGAAGGGGGCAAGCGCTTCCTCGGCATGCGGCACTACGATGTGCAGTTGATGGGCGGCATGGTCCTGCACAGCGGCAACATCGCCGAAATGGTCACCGGTGAAGGTAAAACGCTGGTCGCCACGTTGCCCTCTTACCTCAACGCGTTGGAAGGCAAAGGCGTTCACGTCATCACGGTGAACGACTACCTGGCCCGTCGCGATATGGAATGGATGGGCCCGCTGCACATGGGCCTCGGGCTCACCGTCGGGGCCATCCAAGCCGGTATGGACTCCGGGGCCCGACAGAAGGCTTACCGTTGCGACATCACGTACGGAACCAACAACGAGTTCGGTTTCGATTACCTTCGTGACAACATGCGCCCGGCGGCCCCAGGCGACGACCGCTACCCGAAGAACATGCAACAGGCCCAGGGCCCGTTGAACTACGCCATCATCGATGAGGTCGACAACATCCTCATCGACGAAGCGCGAACACCGCTCATCATCTCGGGCCCCGCCCACGACGACATCACCAAGTACAGCAAGGCCGACCGCATCGCGCGTCAGCTCAAGCGTGATGTCGATTTCGAGGTGAACGAAAAAGATCACACGGCCCACATGACCGAAGAAGGCGTACGCCACGCCGAGAAACTGGCCGACGTCGAAAGCTTCTACACAGCCGGCAATATGCAGTGGCCGCACCTCATCGACAACTCCTTGAAGGCCCATCATCTTTATCGCCGCGATGTGAACTACGTGGTCAACGGCGACGAAGTGATCATCGTCGACGAGTTCACCGGCCGCCTGATGCCAGGCCGTAACTGGAGCGACGGGCTGCACCAGGCCGTCGAAGCCAAAGAAGGCGTCAAGATCAAGGAAGAAAGCCAGACGCTGGCCACCATCACACTGCAGAACTTCTTCAAGCTCTACAAGAAGATCAGCGGTATGACCGGTACGGCCATGACCGAAGCCGGCGAATTCCTGAAGATCTACAAGCTCGATGTGGTCGCCATGCCGACCAACAAAGAGCTCGAGCGGATCATTCATCCCGATGTGATCTACCTCACCGAGAAAGACAAGTTCCGCGCCATCGCCGAAGAGGTCGAAGACCTGACGAAGTGGGACGTGCTGGAAATGAAGAACGGTGACCACCTGCGTGGGCACATCAAGAAGGAAGACGATTCGCAGATCGAGTTTCACGCCAAAGACGCTCGCGCTCCGGAGTCGATTCCCAAGGATCGCGTGAAGGAAATCCATCGCAAGGGCCGGCCCGTGCTCATTGGTACGGTATCCATCGAGAAAAGCGAACGCATCGCCGACTTGCTCTCGAAGCGGGGTATCAAGCATGCCGTGCTGAACGCCAAGCACCACATGCGTGAAGCCGACATCATCTCGCAAGCCGGCCGCAAAGGCGCGGTGACCATCGCCACGAACATGGCCGGTCGTGGTACCGATATCGTGCTGGGCGGCAATCCCGAGACCATGGCCTGGGCGCAGCTTCAAGAGAAGTACGAAACCCGGCTCGATGTGCCTCGCGAAGAGTGGGATACGTTGGTCGATGAGATTTCGCAGCGCGAAAAGATGGAAGAAGAGGGCCGCGAGGTCACCCAGTTGGGCGGCCTGCACGTGATCGGTACCGAACGTCACGAAGCCCGACGAATCGACCTGCAGCTTCGCGGTCGTTGCGGACGCCAAGGCGATCCCGGTAGCAGTCGCTTCTTCCTCTCGATGGAAGACGACCTGATGCGGATCTTTGGCGGCGAATGGGCCAAGAACATGCTCGCCCGCATCGGCATGCAAGAGGGCGAAGCGATCGAAAGCAAGATCGTCACCCGTCGCATCGAGGGTGCTCAGCGCAAAGTCGAAGAACGCAACTTCGAGATCCGCAAAAACCTGCTCGAGTACGACGAGGTGATGGACGAACAGCGGAAACGCGTTTACTCCTATCGCCAGCAGATTCTCGATGGCTGCTCGGTCCGCGAGCTGATCCAGGTGATGATCGACAAGTCGATCGACAGCCACCTCGATGAAATCCTCGACAAAGACTACGGCACCGAGTCATTCGCCAAATGGGCCTCGGTTCTGTTCGGCACCGAGATGGACGCGCGGGACTTCCGCAATCTCGATTTCAACGCCGCGGAAAGCTTCGCCAAAGACGAGGCCACCCGGTTGGTCGAGGGCCAGATCCTCGACGCAATCGACGAAAACCTGCCTGAGGAAGAAGACCCCAAAGAGTGGAACTGGGGCGCCCTGGCCAAGCTGGCCAACGGACGCTGGAACCTGAATGTCCGCGATCGCGATCTCAAACAAGCCGGTCGCGACAACGTGGCCGAACTGATGATCGAACGCGCTCGCGAGTCGATCAACCAGGTTGACTGTTCGGCCGGCGAGAAGCTCCTCGAACCCGACTATTCGCTGCACACCGCCTGTTCGTGGGTCCAGGCGAAGTTCGGGATCGAACTCGATATCGAGTCGCTCCGCCACCTCGAGCCTGAGCAAATCAAGGAACTCGTACAGGAGAAGGCCGCCGCCGCTTACGAAGAAAAGGAATCGGAGTTCCCGGTCCTGGCAGGCCTCATTCGTTGCACGACCAACGATGGTGGCCACAAGCGGTACGATCGCGAAATGCTCGTGAATTGGGTTCGCGGCCGTTTCGATGTGGAACTGGAAGTCGATGACCTGCGGAACAAGCAGCGTGAAGAAATCCAAACCATGCTGGTGGGTCACAGCCGGGAACACCGCGAGAAGGCCGCCGCAGCGATCGACGAAGTTCATCAAAAGGTGAACCAACTGTTCGACTCCTCGTCCAGCAACGGTTCGTCGCTGGACGAAACCCCGCTGGTCAACATCGTCGGGGGCAACGGCAAGCTCGATTCGCTCAGCCATTGGGCCCACGACAAGCTGAACTTCGACATCGAGCCCGATGAATTGGGCCAGTTGGACCGTCATCAGCTCGAACTGCGTTTGACCCGTGCCGTGGAAGACGTCTACCGCCCTGAAATGCGGAAGATGGAACGAGCCCTGGTGCTGCAGATCCTCGATTCGGCCTGGAAAGAACACCTGCTGGCGATGGATCACCTCCGCAGCAGCATTGGGCTGCGAGGCTACGCTCAGGTCGACCCCAAGGTCGAATTCAAACGCGAAGGTATGCGGATTTACGAAGACATGTGGGATGCCGTCGGCGAACGTGTCACCGACCTCATCTTCCGCATGGAGCAACTCGACGAGCAGTTTGTCGGTTCGATGTGGGTCGTCGGCGAAACCAAGCACGAGTCGCCGCCTTCGGCCTCGACCGAAATCGGTCAGCAGCAGCAAGATGCCATCGAAGGCTCGGACAACAAGGAGAAGTCGGAGCCGATTCGTAACCGTGGACCCAAGGTGGGTCGCAACTCTCCTTGCCCATGCGGTAGCGGCAAGAAGTACAAGAACTGTTGCATGCGAAAAGGCGGCTAAACGGCCGCCTCGCCCCACAAGCCCTCGCCATCGGTGGGGAAGGATTCCCGCATGACGTCTTACTTGCTCAACGTCGTTTATCTATTGCTGCTGGTCTTCGCCTCCCCAGTGCTCCTGTACAAATCGCTGCGCCATGGCAAATACCGCGAGGGGTGGCGGGCGAAATTCCTGGGCGAAGTGCCCCGCCGCCACGGACATCGATACTGCATTTGGTGGCACGCCGTGAGCGTGGGCGAGGTGAACCTGCTGGCCACCCTGTTGGCAGAAACCAAACGACAGCGGCCCGACTACGAATGTGTAATCTCCACCACCACGGCCACCGGCTATGCGCTGGCCCGCAAGAAGTACCCCGAGCACTCGGTCTTCTACTGCCCCCTGGATTTCAGTTGGGCCGTGAAGAATGCGGTCAAACGAATCCGTCCCGACGTGCTGGCCCTGGTCGAACTCGAATTGTGGCCCAACCTCATCAAGGCCACCAAGCAGCATGGCGGAAGAGTTGCCGTGGTGAACGGTCGCCTGAGCCAACACAGCCACCGTGGCTATCGCCGGGTGCGACCGTTCTGGAAGAAGGTGTTAGCCCAGGTTGATCTGATCGCTGCCCAGAACGACGAATACGGCGATCGCTTCCTCGACCTCGGCGCCCCCGAGCAGAACGTGTACGTCACTGGCTCCACGAAATTCGACGGGGCTCAGACCGATCGCGAGAACGATTCAACCATCGCCCTCGCCCAACTGGCCGGCATCCGTTCAGAGGATATCGTCTTCCTCGCCGGCAGTACCCAAGAGGGGGAAGAGCAAGCGGCACTGGATGCCTACCGATCGCTGTCTGAAGCCGAACCGAGGCTACGGCTCATTCTCGTGCCGCGTCATCCCGAACGCTTCGAAAACGTGGCCAAGCTGCTCGATCGCTCGGGCATCGAATGGTCGCGCCGCAGCCAGCTTTCCAGCGATGCCCCCGAGCCTGTATCTCGCGTGCTGCTGGTCGATGCGGTTGGCGAATTGGGCGCCTGGTGGGGTACCTCGCACATTGCCTTCGTGGGGGGGAGCCTCGGCAGCCGCGGGGGACAGAATATGATCGAGCCTGCCGGCTACGGTGCGGCCGTTTCTTTTGGCCCCAACACGCGGAATTTCCGCGACATTGTTGAGACCCTGCTGGCCCGCGATGCGGCCATCGTAGTTCGCAATCGCGACGAACTAAGGGGCTTCGTTCAGCGAGCGATCGCCGAGCCAGAATGGTCGGCCGCTTTGGGGCGTCGGGCGCAAGGACTGGTCTGCGAGCAACGGGGGGCAACCAAACGCACCGTCGATCTGATCACGCGTCTGAGCAAGCACAAAACGCACGGCCGCCAAGCGGCCTAAGCTTGCTACCCCGTCTGGTTTCCGTAAGATTCCGTGCCATACGCTTGCGAGCGCGGTAATGCGGTCCGTATAATCGGCGACTCTAGTCACTCGATGTGGTGGGTTCTCTTATTCAGTCCAAAGATATTGGGGAGGTTGGCACGTGGCTTCAGGAAATTATCTGTTCACCAGCGAATCGGTGAGCAAGGGTCACCCCGACAAGCTTGCGGATCAAATCTCCGATGGAATTCTCGATGCCCTCCTGGCCGAGGACCCCAGCAGCCGCGTGGCCTGCGAAACCATGGTCACCACCGGGCTGGCCGTGGTCGCCGGAGAAATCACCACTCAGGCCTACGTCGATTTTCGTGCCATCATCCGCCAGGTGATTAACGAAGCTGGCTACACCGACGATTCGATGGGTATCTCGGGCAACACCTGCGGCGTGATGGTCTCCATCGACGGTCAAAGCCCCGACATTGCCCAGGGCGTCGATGCCGACGATCAGAAGGGCAAAGATGTCGGCGCCGGCGATCAAGGCCTGATGTTCGGCTACGCCTGCAACGACACTCCAGAGCTGATGCCGCTGCCGATCGCTCTGTCGCACCGCATTCTCAACCGCTTGACCGAAGCCCGTGAGAAGGAAGAGGTCAAATGGTTGCGTCCCGATAGCAAGAGCCAAGTGACGGTGGAATTCGACTCCGAGAATCGCCCCGTGCGAATCGACACCGTGGTGGTTTCGACCCAGCACAGCGAAGACGTGACCACCGAAGAGATCAAGAATTGGGTCATCGAGAACGTGATCAAGCCGGAACTCCCGGCCGACCTGGTCTCGGGCGACATCAAGTATCACATCAATCCCACCGGGCGGTTCGTCGTCGGTGGTCCCCACGGCGACTGTGGCCTGACTGGCCGTAAGATCATCGTCGATACCTACGGTGGTTGGGGACGTCACGGTGGTGGTGCTTTCAGTGGAAAGGACCCGACGAAGGTCGACCGCAGTGCCGCCTACATGGCTCGTCACGTTGCCAAGAACATCGTGGCCGCCGGCTTGGCCGAACGTTGCGAAGTGCAGTTGGCCTACGCCATCGGCGTTTCCGAACCGGTCAGTGTGCATGTAGACACCGAAGGCACCGGCCAGATCCCGGACTCGCAAATCTGCGAACTGATTCGCAAGACTTTCCCGCTCACCCCGAGTGGTATCATCAAGTACCTCGACCTGCGACGCCCGATCTATCGCAAGACGGCCGCCGGAGGCCACTTCGGTCGCGACGATGCCGACTTCACTTGGGAAGCAACCGGGAAAGCCGAAGAACTGGCCGAAGCCGCCGGGCTCAGTGCCGCCTCGAAGTAGGCCGCTCCCGACGGAAGCAATATTAATCGAGTGCCACGGCCGGCTTGTCCGGCCGTGTGCATTTGGGGCTCGTTTCTAAGCAGGCAGATGACATGGACGTCGTTGCTACCTCACCCACCCGCGTTCGCTCCTGGCCACAATTGGCGTGGGTACCATCCGCGATTCTGCTGGGTACCGCACTGCTGCTGGTCGCCCGACGGGTGAGCGGAGCGCTCGATCAACCGCTTCCCGCTGGGCTGCTACTCCTCACGATCGCCGTGGCATCTCTCACCGCGTGGGGCAGCGTCCGTGTAGTCGACTCAAACCCTCACGCACGCTGGGCAATCTTCGGCATCTCAGCCGGAGCTCTCGCACTGCTGGGGGCCGCATTGAGTTTGCCCGGCACCTCGGGTCCAGTGCTCGGAACCCTGTGGACGTCGATCGCAGTGGTGATTGGACTTCTGGCGACCGAAGTTATCCCACGCAAACGCAGGACGAACGTGCGAGCGGCGGACGCAACTGCCGGCCAGACTGACGAGGTTGAGGAACCGTCATCCATCGAATGGCAACGACTCTCCCGGCTGAGGACCGACGCGGGAGAAGATCGACTGGAAGGTTGGGTGCGGCTCGAATGTGCCCCCGGTCAGCGAAACGATGTGGTGCATCTGGCATTCTGCCCGCCGTTCGAACAAACACCGGTGCTCGACGTTCAGTGCGGCCCAGGCACTTCGGCCCGATTCAAGGTCACGCAGCTTCTGCCCTACGCGGCACGCATCGAAGTGAAACTCGATGCACTGCCAAAAGAGCCCGTGAGCGTAATGGTCCACTTTACGGCCACCAGCCCTGCACCGCAGAATAACCCGAGTGCGAGTGCTTAATCCCTCAGTCCGAGCCAAATTCGTACTCGGGATTCTCGATACTGAAGTCGATGTCACTCAGGCCAACGCCCAACTGCAAGTTGCCAAAGGCGTACGACTCTTCCAGCACCGGCGTATCGGGGGCATCTGGCGAAGGGAACGCGAACAGCTCACATCCCACCGGCACCTGCAGAGCTTTGTCGATGTAGATGTTTACGCGGTGGAATTCCAAGGTCGAAAACGGCTTGGGGTGCACGAAGCTGAACCGGTAACACTCCCGTTCGGTGAGCCGAACGTTTTGGGTCATCGTCACTTCGATGTTGGGATTCTCGCATCCCTGATCCACGTAACTCAACATTCGGCGGTTGAAGTTCCACAGCCCAATCTGCGTGACGGGGCGGCGGCTGTACTCGCGAGCCTGCTCGCTGTAGGGGTCGACCCTCAGCAGCGGAACGATCCTCCGCCGCCAACCACCGGCGTGAACCGAAACCTGGTTTTCATCGCGACCTTCTTGCCACACTATCTCTCGCCCGCTGTAGGGTTGGTGCCACCGCAAGTACACACTTAGCGGCTGGTGGCGCACCTTCAGGTCCATCACGTTCAACTCTTGCACCTCGCCGTCGATGCGTTCGAGCTTTTGAAACACAGCCGTCAAGTCGTTCACTTGGGCCAGGCTCGCCTCGGAACTCTGCAACAACAGCCGGCAGAAGTCGATGGCTGCGTCGCCCTTCAGCGCACCGCCTTCTTCGATGTCGTCGAACTCGACAACCGTTTCCAGGGCACTCGCGTGACGGGGCGCCGACTCGGAGGTGAACAAGCTGCCGGCCATGATGGCGGCCAGGCTAACCACGGCGTACGAACAGAAGACCTGCTTACGACTCCATCGCCTGGGGACCAGCCGAGCCGGGTCGTCGTACTCGGCGCGCGAAAGACGAAACACCATGAAGAACGCTCCCTGTTCCCCTGTTCGAAATGCGCCACGCCCACGAGAAAGATTCCGCCTGGTAAGCAACGACTAGTGCAATCCATGCACCCCGGTCGCAGTAAGGGACGTGGCTGTTGAACCATTCGACCAGCCGTCGCGGTGGCATATAGCAAAACACGCTCACTCAGCTCACAACCGCCGCGAGGATGCGTTGCAGCCAGCACGGCCCGCAGAACTGCGTAGACCGGCTAGGTAAGCTTTTCGGCCTGGGAAAGCTGAACGGATCGGCGGCGAACCCACAAAAAAACCGACACCCGGGGCTCGCTGTTGAGCCCCGGGTGTCGGGCGAGAATGCTTGAGTAACCTTAGCGGAGTCTGAACCGACTAGTTTGTCAGGTTCGCACCACCACTTCGGTTCGTCAGGTTGGGGTCACCCCCGCCCAACAACTTGGTGTAGTCGAGCGTGATGTCCAGAGCCTCGTCGACGTAGAAGTCTCGTTCGATCGGCTTGTCGTTGTTCTCAGCTTCTTCGAACTCCTTCCGCTTCTCGTCGTCGGCATCGAAGGCCTTTCGCTCGGCGAGGAACTTCTCCTCGTTCAAGCTTACGGTCTTCCGCGACTTCTGAGCGAGGTACTTGCCGATCTTGTCACGCGACTTCTTGAAGTCTTCCGAATCTCGGGTGCGTGCTTCCGAACGGCTTCGCAGCTCGTCGATCATGCCCTTGGTGACCAGGTTCAAGTTCGGGTATTCCGCCGGATCGACATGGTCGAACTCCAGGGCGTAATCGAGATCGGCTTCACCCACGTCGTAGTACGTGCTCAGCGAGGGGAGTTCAATGTCCGAAATCACACCACGGTTTTGCGTGCTGTCACCATTGGGGCGATAGAACTGTTGCATGGTGATCTTCAAGGCACCGAAGTTCTTGTTGGGGTCGCGGAGGAACTCCCAACCCAAGTCCTTCAGGCTTTGCACTGTACCCTTACCGTGTGTGCTACGATCGCCGATCACGAGGCCACGACCGTAGTCTTGGATGGCTCCGGCGAAGATCTCGCTGGCACTGGCACTGAACTTGTCGATCATCACCACCAGCGGACCATCCCAGGCGGTTCCACGGTCGCGGTCGTCGTAGGCTTCAACTTCGCCGTTGGCGTTCTTCACCTGAACGACCGGCCCACGGTCGATGAACAAACCGGTGAGCTTGATGGCTTCTTCCAGTGCCCCGCCGCCGTTCTTTCGCAAGTCGACGACCACGGAATCAACGCCCTTGGCACGGAAGTCGTCCAGAATCTTCTCAACGTCGCGGCTCGTGCTCTTGTAGTCGGGCCGACGCAGTCGGGCGGCTGCCATGTCCATGTAGAAGCTGGGCAGCACGATCACGCCGATCTTGTACGGCGTTCCGTCGGGCTTTGTGCCTTCTTCGAAGATTTCGGCCCGGGCTTCGCTGTCTTTCAACTCGATCGTATCGCGTTTAATCGAAACAAAGGCCGGCACTGGATCGTCGTTGTGAACGACCTTCAGGCGAACCGTGGTGCCCTTCTTGCCGCGAATGAGGTTCACGACGTCGGACAGCTTCATGTTCACCACATCGACGACGTCACCGTCTTCACCTTGAGCAACACCAACCACGCGATCTTCCGGACGCAGGTCGCCCTGCCGATCAGCTGCACCGCCGGGGATGATCTTGGTGACAATGGTTTCGCCATCTTCCGATCGCAGTGCGGCCCCGATGCCTTCGAGCTCGAGTCGCATCTGAATGCGGAAGTTCTCCAGCGTTTGTGGCGACATGTAAGAAGTGTGGGGATCGAACGACGTTGACAACGCTGTCAGGTACATCTCCAACAGCTCGTCGGAGCTGACTTGGTGCATCCGCATGCCGAAGCTGCGGTAGCGGGAGCGGAGCTTATCGCGAAGCTCTTCGTCGGTCATGTCATCGTTCTGCGACTTCAGCACGAGATAGTCGTACTTGATTCGCTTACGCCACCGCTCACGAGTGTCTTCGGGGCTGGTCGCGTAATCGTCGCCGTCGGGGTCGACCACCATCTCTTCGTCGAGGGTGAAGTCGAAGTCTTGGCTCAGCAACTCTTCGGTCAGGGCCACGCGTTCATCAACCCGGTTCAGATAAGTCGTGAACATCTGGTAGCCGAAGCTGATATCGCCTCGTTGCACCATGTCGTCGAGCTTCAACTGCTGTTCAGCAAAGTGATCCACGTCGGCCTGGGTGAAATACATCCGGCCCGGGTCGAGCGACTTCAAGAACGACTTGAAACAACGCTCCGAAATCTGGTCGTCCAGGGGATGCCTGGAGATGTGGTCGTTGCGAATCATGACCGTAACCGCGCGAGCGACTCGCCCGTCTTTGGAACTAGGCGGTTCGAGTTCGGCCAGAGCTGGCGAAACAAGCAGACCCCCCAAAACCATGAGGGAGAAAACTGCCTGATAAGCACGGCGCGTTATAGAAGGGTGCAACTTTTTCATGGAAATCCCCGTCGAAAACCCAAGGGACGATTAGACTTAACTGCTTCTAAGGCAATAACTTAATCATACTATACGGACCTTGCGGAAAAGGCAAGATCAACCGCTCAGGCAACTTACGGCATTCGCCGCCGCGAAGCCATCGAAATTCGATCGCACAAATTCATGGTCTCAGTCGAGTTACGCCCCGCTGCCGGAGGGCCAAAACCACTCTCTGCCGCTTTCGGTTACCGTGCGAAGGAATGACTATTTCTTAGCCTGTTTCCGCGATCACCAAAGCTCTCCCTGGTACGCATCAGCCTGCAAGCTTGTTCAAGGCCACGCAGCAGAAACCCACGACAATTGCTCAGCCGTTGTTCGATTACTACCTTTGAGAGGACGAAACGGCCGCGCCCGAACCGGCATTTTCCACACAAGGCATCGGGTTTTCGAGGCCATTGGATTCATTACAACGCAGTAAGGACAATCCCGTGCACCCGTCGCGCGATGCCTCGAAGCCTCAACCGTCCCGCGAGATCATCACCTCGCCCGATAGCGTTGCACTAGAAGATCTGTGCCAACTTCTGGCCCAAGCTGCAACCACGCTCGACTCGAGCAATGCGTGGCCCCAGCAACAACTCGACTGGTGCGGCGAATACGGTGTACACACCTGGTTTCTTCCACCCGAGCACGGTGGGCAGGGTTGGAGCGACGCCGACATCTATCGCGGTTACCTAAAACTCTCCGCGGCTTGTCTCACGACCACATTCATCCTCACTCAACGCATCGGTGCCTGCCGCCGCATCGCGTCTTGCCGTAACGAAGCCATCAAGCAGCAGTACCTGCCTGGGCTGCTCAGCGGAGAACTCTTCGCCACGGTCGGCATTTCGCACCTCACCACCAGTCGCCGTCACGTGGCCAAGCCGGTACTTCGCGCCATCGAAACCGAGAACGGTTTCAAGCTCGATGGCTTCAGCCCCTGGGTAACCGGCGGCGCGCACGCGCAGGTGATCGTTACAGGGGCCACGCTCGACGACGGGCGGCAGATTCTGGTCGCGCTGCCCACACATCTCGAAGGCGTCTCGTCCGACGAGCCGGCCCAACTCGTGGGCCTCTCCTCGAGCCATACGGCCGCCGTGCGGTGCGACAACGTTCAGGTCTCTGAAGAATGGCTGATCGATGGGCCCATTGAGAACGTCATGTCGCAGGGAAGCGGTGCCGCCACCGGTGGGCTGCAAACCTCGGCCCTGGCCCTGGGGCTCGCCGCAGCCGCCATTGAGTTCCTCGACCAGGAGAACCGCAAACGGCCCGATCTCGTGCCGGCCACCGACAGCCTCGCCGCCGAGCATGCCACGCTGGTCGATGATCTGCTGCGGATGGCCAACGGGGAGGCCGTCGCTTCGAACGAGGGTTTTCGCGCCCGATCCAACAGCATTGCCCTGCGTGCAACTCAGGCCGCACTGGCTGCGGCCAAGGGAACCGGGTACGTGGTCGGTCACCCCACCGGCCGCTGGTGTCGCGAAGCCCTGTTCTTCCTGGTGTGGAGCTGTCCCCAACCGGTGCTCCAGGCGAATCTGTGCGAGTTGGCCGGCCTTTCGGGTTAACCGGTTCCTCAAGCCCTCCTGTCCAGGGCTCACAACTCGCGGGGATTGTGATTGGGCGTGGGACAGGTATATTTGGGATCTTTGCCAGGCCGAAACGATTCGGGAGGGGAAGAGCCTCTGCTCGGCGGTCTTGATGGGCGGGATACCTTGGCAATCTTCCGCAGTGGGGTACGGCAATTTGCGTAACTCCACCGCCGGTTCTTCATAATCTTGTTCCCGGTTACGCACTGGGAAGCTGCTTCGGGCGAAGGCCACGGGGCGGTAACATTCGCCTCGAAATTTTGGGACACATTGGGACAAACATGAACGATACAAACGTCCATTGGCACGAACACTCGGTTTCTCGCGAAGAACGCGAAGGGCTCAACAAGCACAAGGGCTGCGTGGTGTGGTTCACCGGCCTTAGCGGATGCGGCAAAAGCACCGTGGCCAACCTCGTCGACCACCTGCTGTTCACCCGCGGCGTTCGCAGCTACGTGCTCGATGGCGACAATGTCCGCCACGGCCTGAACGCCGGACCCGGCATGTTGAAGGAACGTCATGGCGAAGAATTCGCCAAGCGATTCGGCCTCGGTTTCTCGGCTGAAGATCGCGAAGAAAACATTCGCCGCATCGGCGCGGTGGCCGACCTGTTTGCTCAAGCCGGACTGGTCACGCTTACGGCCTTCATCAGCCCCTACCGTGCCGATCGCGACGCGGTGCGTGCTAGCATGAAGGACGGCGACTTTGTCGAAGTGCTGGTCGACGCCCCGCTGGAAGTTTGCGAATCGCGTGACCCCAAAGGCCTGTACAAGAAGGCTCGCGCTGGCGAGATCAAAGGCTTCACCGGCATCGACGATCCTTACGAAGCCCCCGAAAAGCCCGAGTTGGTGCTGGACGCTGGCAAGAAAGACGCCGAGACGCTGGCCAAAGAAGTGATTGCCTACTTGGAAGCCCAGGGCAAACTCAGCTAGCAACCCTTTGTCCAGCTTGCGACACACAGGGCCGCAAGTGTTTACAGATTCTTAACCTAACGGGGAGCACGGGTGCGGCCCAACTGGTGCTGCGCTCCCCCATCTCGAGCGTGTCGTGCTTGACACTTTGTGTCGCCAAGCAGTAAATTCGCGTGTACGACGATTTCGATCGCGTTCTTAAAACCATCATTTTGGTTATCGACTCGCTGGCATCAACGACTGAACCAGTCGGCGAATGACATACTTAGTTTCGTCGCGTCTCGTGGCAACGGAGAGTGCCCGAAGAGATTGGCGCGACGCTTTCAGGGCTCTTCACTCGAAACGTGGAGAGGAAAAGGATGTCCGAATATTTGGCAAAGGAAGCGCAACCAAGGGCTCAGTGCGCTTTGCGAGAAAGCCCCATCTTCGACCTGCGGCACGTTAACGTCGAGCAGGTGGACGACTCCCTGTGCATCTCGGGGTCGGTGTCTTGCTTCTACCACAAGCAACTCGCCCAAGAGATCGTTCGCGCCGTCTCCAACGGTGCCTCGGTGGTCAACACGCTTCAAGTCGAGAACTAACACCCAGTCAGGGTCGTTCTCCTCTGCGACGTTGGCCCCTCTTCATGCTAACGCATTTATGCGGCTGCTCGTGTCGAACCAATTGCCGTCTCGTAGGCTTCCATCACTTCGCTGAAGTTTCGCTCGATCGTATGGTTGAGCGCCAAACCTCGGGCTGCTTTACCCGCCTCGCTTCGCACCTGCGGGTCGCACAAGCCAGAAATTGCCCCGGCCAGTTCCTCCGCATCGCCTGGGTTATCTACGATGTAGCCTTCGATGCCCGGCGTGATGAGTTCGCCCGCACCATTGAAACGGCTGGTCACCACCGGTAACCCACTGGCCAACGCTTCGAGCACGACCAAACTGCAAGGGTCGTAGAACGTCGGCTGCACATACACGTCGGCCGCCGCATAGTAGGGTCGCGGGTCGTCGATCGAACCCAAGAACTGCACGGCCGGCCGATCGGCTTCGCTCGAATTCGGAGTATTGCCCGAACGCTTCTTCCCACCGACCACAACCGTACGAACCGAGTGTCCCAGGTCTTGCAGTCTCTCGGTGGCTTGCACCAAGGCCGGTACACCTTTGAGCCGGTGATTGTGGGCCACGATCAGCAGCAGCACTTCGTCCGGATCGACGCCTAACTCTTGCCGGATGCTTGAACGAAATCGATCGCTGTCGTCCGGAGCAAACCGCTCGGTATCGACCCCGTTATAGACGATTCGCATCTGCTCCGGTTTCACGCCGTGCAACTGCTCCATGTCAGTGGCCACCATCCGCGACAGAGGCAGAAACAGGCAGTTGCGATTGCTGTACTGACGCTCGGCCAACTCAGCGAACTCCCGATAGCGCGGCAACCACTGCGAAGTCCAGCGCTTCCAGGGTCGCAAGACGCGGGGGAGCAACTCCAGGTTCTGTCGATTGGCGGCGAACCGAGAACCACCGTGCGGCTGAAACACGTCGGCAAACCAGCCCGTGCCGGTATCGTGCACCACATCGAGCTGCAACGTGCGCAGATGAGTTTCGATAGCCGCCGCAAATGCGATCCGCGACCGGGGTGCTTCGATCTCGTGAACGAGCAGACCCAACTGCGCAACCGCCGGCGAGACGCTACGGGCAACTGCGTGCACTTCGTGCCCCGCATCAACTAGCCACCGCGCGAATCCGTACGTCCACTGCTCAACTCCGCCCCGCGACGGATCGAAACAATCGAGCACTAATCCAATCCGCATCACGCCTACCTCTTCAACGTGTGACTTATCTCTGTACTGCTTAAGGATGCGGCCCCAGGCTGCGTTGCATGCGGCGACGTTTGGCCAGCACGGCCCGAATCATCCGTTTGTCTTTGGGACGTAACTTCGTAACGCCAAAGTACCGCTTGGCGAACGCCATCTGGTCGGTGTTCGAGATGTGCTCGGAAGGCGCTGAGTACGACAACTGCGCCAGGTCTTTCACCACCCAGCGACGACGCAATCGGTGGCGATGTTCGACCCGTTGTAGGTCGATCAGGTTCACCTCGAAGTTGCCTGGCTCGGGCTCGCGAATGAAGAAGTGGCAGCAGTAAAAGTCACGATGGTTGTAGCCCAACGTATGAAACCGCTTGGCGACTGCCGCCACATCGTAGAGCAGTGTCCGCAGATCGACACTTTGCTCGTCGCGAGGGCCTGCTTTTCGTGGAGCAAACCGGTCTCGCAAGAAGTGATCAAGCTGCGTGTGGCCGCTCAGCTCTTCGGTCAGCACAAACGACTCGGAAAGTCCGCTTTCATGCAGCTTCTCTCCGTAGGCGATGACATGCATCGCGGGGATACCTGCCCGGCGAAGACGCTCGACGTTGCGCGCTTCAACGCTTCCCGCGGTCGTAGTCGTTCGGGCTCCCATCTTCGCCCGCAACCACGAACTGACATCCTTAACATGGTGTTTCTTCAGGTAAGCCGCCCGCGGTTGTTGGTGCGGGTCGTGCAGTTCCAGCTTCCAGTTCTCGCGATCTTTCAGCGCCCGCATGCACGTGCCCTGGGTGGTTTCCATCACCTGGCGGAAACTCCCCAAGTTGGCTTCACGCAGGGTCGGCCAATACGCGGCATCGACCCACAGGTCTTCGCCATTCTCTGTTTGAATCCGGGTAACTTCCCGGGGCTCCACCGCGTCGCTCTCGCGGATTTCCCAAATCTTGCGGCGACGCAGTAGCTTCTGCACGCGGCGTTTAATGGCTTCGACCATGGGCGTGCACTCGGCCGTCAGCCCGCTCATTTCGATGTAGCTATCCAGCAACAGCCGACGTTCGTGCAGGTCGGCCGCTCGCTCGGAGAGCGTGGCCAACAACGCCGCCAAATCACGCACTCGGGACGTAGTCGGCACACGACGTTGGATGCGGCTGCGTTGAAAATCCAATAGAGCGAATCGAGGGGCGTTCTCGCCATCGGCCACAAGAACGTGATTCGCATACAAATCAGGCTGCGTCACCCCGGCCGCGTGAAGTCGAGCGATTTCCCCACCCAAGCTGCGAAAGAACTTGGCCCGTTGCGTGGCGTCGGCGTCCTTCATTGCGCATGCAAGATACTCCGGCAAAGGTCGCATTTCGCCCAAGTCAGCCAGCAGCAAACAGGCCTTGGGGCGAAAGAATCCTTCTTGCATGCAGGCCATCGGGCGGGGGCATCCGATGCCCTGCTCTTGTAGTCGCTGCAACACATGCAACTCGGTGCGAGCTTTCGTCCACCAGCCGCGAAACGCGAACAGGTGACGCAGAAGATCCTTCCAGCGAGTGCGATGTTCTCGCTTGAGGTAGGCCACACGTATTTCATCGCCATGGTGCCAGCGAATGCGGACTGTTTCCCGCCCGCGATTTGCCGGGGCCACCGTCTCCACATCGGCTCGCGCGAGCAGCGGTTCGAGCTGATCTAACTGCTGCGCACTCAACTGGGGACTATATTCCGGGTCGACCCAACGGAAGGAAAACATCACCCCTCCTTAGGCCGCGAAAGAAGAACGACGTCGCTTCAGCAGGGCGACCGCCGTGTCGTAGACATCTTGCACCGAGAGATCTCGCATGCAGCGATGATGGACCAAGGGACACGTGCGTTGCTGGCAGGGTCCGCACGGAACATCCACCTGCAAGTGAGCGGCGTCGGCGTAATGGGTTTCGCTCCACTCGATGTGCGTCGGCCCGAACAGCGTCACCACGGGCACCCCGAAGGCCGCGGCAAAGTGGCGGGGCCCACTGTCGGTGGTGACCATCAGTTCGCTTCGCCGTACGCAGGCTTTGGTCAGCCCTACGGACAACGGTTCGTCGGCCAGGCTTTGCACCTTTTCATGGCGGGCAAGTTGGGCGATGCGTCGTGCTTCGTCACGTTCGGCCGGGCCACAAACCACGACCACGCGAACACCAAGCTGCGTGGCCATGCGTTGGGTCAAGGCGGCAAAGTACTCCGCGGGCCACTGTTTGGCCGCTCCGAATGCCCCGCCGGTATTTACGACAACGACCGACTCGTGTTTCGATATACCGAGCTTGCTCCAGGCTGCATCGGCGGCCTGTTCGTCCGCGGGCAAGGTGCCCAACTCGATGCGGGGCGATTCCATGGGGCAGCCCAACTTGTAGGCCAACCGCAAGTAATCGTCCAACACCGGCGCGGGAATGAACCGTCCGCCGGCTTTCGCCTGATACAGCCGATCAGTCAGCAGCAAACTGCGACCACCCCGGGCGAACCCCACCCGGCGTTTGGCTCCGCTACGCCACGCCAGCAGTGCGGTACGGAATGAATTTGTCAGCAGAACGACCGTGTCAAGCTGCTTCTGCTTGAGCTGTGCGACCACCGCGCGGGTGCGAAGTTCCGGCTTAGCACTGCGGGGATCGAAGTGCACGATCTCGTCGAGCCATGAAGTGCCGGCCAGCACATCGGACATCAATGGTCGAGCCACTCCGGTCATGCGGGCGGAAGGGCCAAAGTGCGCGCGGAGTGCCCTTAGGGTTGGCGTGGCCATCACCACGTCGCCGATCCAATTCGGCAGAAAGATCCCAATATGCATCCGTGCTACCCACCTTCGCAGTCGCGTCAAGAATCGACGCGCGTGTGAGACCGCCGCTTGCCAGCAAGCCGAAGGAAAGATACGGGCCTTTCATTCCCGGGGTCAATGTCACTCGCATGGTGACATCAACGACAGCACCGCATGCTAGCGTGGAGAATGCGAATCGGACGCGGCTCGGGCATGCTCAACGCGATTGGCGATTGTCTCGGCCACCAGTCGATGCGGCCCCAGCCGTTCGGCGAGCACCCATTCGGTTTGCGGGTAAGGTTCCCGGATTTCAGCCACTCGAGTACGCAGCCGCTCCAGCAAAACGCCTTCGAACAACAAGTGCGGCTGAACCACCACACGGTCGAACGACTGATCGCCGGCATCTTCGAGCACCTCATCCAAAGGCGGCTTGGCCATTGCTAAGTAACCAATCTGCGCCTGGCTCACCTCACGCCCAGCGACGCAAAGCCTGGTGAACTGCTCCAACTCCTGCAAGGCCCCGGCATCGTGGCTTCCCCGCCCGACCATCACCAGCAGTGTTCGCTTGGGCTGGGCATCGTGCTTGGCGAACGATTCGGCATACCGCAAGTTCGATAATTCGACCATCTTCTCGTGGCATCCCAGGTGCCCAGCGATGCCGACCTCGATCTCGGGGAAGTTTGCCGCGGCGGCGGCCAGTTCCTCGGGAATGTCGACCTGAACGTGCTGAGCCGAGAGTAGCATGATGGGGGCCGCAATCACGCGACGCACCCCTTGGGCAACCATTGCTTCAAGGCCCTCTGCAATGGTCGGCGGAGCCAATTCGAGGAAACAAGAATTCACCACCGCCGCGGGCATCAACTTGCCTACTTCCCTCGCCAGCTCGTGCAGTTCAGCAAGTCCCGCTTCGTGGCGCGTACCGTGACCCACGATTAGGACGCCTTCGCGAAAATCTGGTGTTTGAGAATTGTTCATTACGCCACACGTCTGCAGTTCTTGGCTATTCAAAAGCAGGCTTTTGCTAAACCCACGATTCGGACCGCAACCTCTGCTATAATTGGAGGTTCTGGGCTAGAAGGCAAGCCGACGCCGGAACAGAATTTGTGTACGCATATCTAACCATCACTCTCGGAAGCAAGGCAGGGACGAGCTATCTGCTCGATCCTAAGACCGAAAATCGCATTGGACGCGGTAGCGAATGCGAAATCGAGCTGGCCGATGCGCTGATGTCCCGCGTGCACGCAATCCTCTCGTTCAACGACAACCGCTGGATGATCCGCGACGACCATAGTCGCAACGGCTCGTTCGTGAACGAGACCAAAATTGACGAAGCCGCCCTGGCCGAAGGGCACTGCGTTCGTATCGGTTCGACCGAGTTTTCGTTTCACGAAAGCGAACAGCCACCAACCGTGGGCTTTGTGACCGATCTCGATCTCACGCAGACGATCGTCCGCGACACCCACATGAACGCCACGGACATGTCCGACTTTGCCCTGTCGGCGATCCGGGATAACGATCAGGCCCGCGACCTGCTGTTGCTGTATCAGTTGAGCATCAAACTGCTGGGCTGCCACGACCCCAACGAAGTGGTGCAGAACGCGTTGGAACTGCTTCACGATCGCGCCGGGGCATCGGTGGTGGCGTTCCTCTGGGTCGACGATGAGGGCAACCTGCGACAGAAGATGGTCCTGCCTGAAGAAGACGGCAAGCAGCTTCCGCTGAATCAGGCCCTTACGCGGTTGGTTTCGCAAGAGGGCCACGCGGTCTGGATCGCCAATCAGCAGGGCTCCAACGAAAACGCTGAGCTGGAACATTATGCCGACGCCCTGTGTGTACCTCTGCTGGAAGACAGCAACGTGGTGGGGGCCATTCATGCCTACCTCGATCGCGGCCGCTTTCGCCAATCGCAGTTCGATTTTGCCATCTCGGTGGCCAACATCACGGCCGTGGCGCTCGTTCGTGCCCGTAAGGACGAAAGCCTGCAGACCGACTTCGCCCGGCTGAAAGAAAGCTCGCCCGGCTACGACAAGATCGTCGGTGACAGCCCCGTGATGAAGGAACTCAAGTCCCGCATCGAGCGGCTAGGCGCCACCAGCGGTTGCGTGCTCATTCGAGGCGAAAGCGGTGTGGGTAAGGAACTCGTCGCCCGGGCACTACACCATGCCAGCCCCCGTCGCGACCGGCCGATGCTTTCGGTCAACTGCGCTGCCTTGCCCGAGCACTTGATGGAAAGCCAGCTCTTCGGACACAAGGCCGGGGCATTCACCGGGGCCGACCGCGATCACGACGGCTACTTCAAGCAGGCGGATCTCGGCACGTTGTTCCTCGACGAAGTTGGCGAGATGACCTTGCAAGGGCAGGCCAAGATGCTGCGGGTGCTCGAAGGTCACCCCTTCTTACCCGTCGGCGGCACCAACGAAGTACACGTCGACGTGCGCATTATCGCGGCCACAAATCAGAACTTGCTGGAGTACGTGCGGGAAAAGAAATTCCGCGAAGATCTGTACTACCGGCTCAGCGTGTTCGAACTCGACGTACCCCCGCTCCGCGAACGAGGGCCGGACATCGCGCAGTTGGTCGAGTTCTTCTTACGCCACTTCGGCCAACAACGGGGCCGCCCCAACCTGGAACTTTCAGACGAAGCCCTGGAAAAGCTGATGAGCTACCAGTGGCCCGGCAACGTGCGACAACTGCGAAATGTAATCGACAGTGCCGTGGTGCTGGCTGCCGGAGATTCAATCCAGGTGACCGACCTTGGCCTGCGCGATGCGGGAGGCGACGAGTTCGAATCGCTTCGCATCGATCACTGGGAGCGCCGCCTCATCACCGAGGCCCTTAAACGCACCGAAGGAAATGTGCCCGACGCCGCCAAACTCCTCGGCATCGGCCGCGCCACCCTCTACCGCAAAATCGACGACTACGGCATCAAGCGGTAGGGCAATCCAACCGACAGCGAATCTATCGGGTAGCCCAGCCGCGCCGGCTGGGTCGACGAAGTCGACAAGATGCCATGAGCAGTAGCATCCTCATCTGGAACTTCCATGTTCAACGTGCGCCCTTCCACGCATCCCTTACAGTAGTCCCCAATATCACCCCTCCACAATAAGGGTAGCCTCCCCGGTAAACTGCCAGAAAATAAGGACAAATCCACTCCACAACTTCACTCCATCGAAAGGAAGTAATCGCATGTCGATCAATCGCGGCTTCCTCTACCTGGCGACCATCGTCGCCACGCTGTGCACCTTCTCTGGGTGCAAATGCTCCACGTGAGGCCCCCAGTCGAATGTCCCCGTGCAGGGACACACGACGAGCGTTGAGAACAGTAACGCCAAAATCGAGGCCCTCGCTTCGGCAACTGCTGCCAAACGCTTGGAGTGAAGCGTAACGCGGGCGAAATTTTCAAAGTCTATGGAGCACTTCGCCTGATTGATGGTGGGGGTCAGGGAATAACCCGGCCTTGCCCCGTGATTAGATTGCTCACCTGCGTTCCGGCTGGGAAATCCAGGTGAAAAACATCGTCGGGAATATCCACGTTCACCTGCAGGTCTTCCACGTCGTAGCGTACCCGCTGTATCCAGTTGTCTGGCAAGACCTCTTCGAGTGTCACACCTTTCTCCCAGAAGACGTATTGCTGGCTGGAGGTGGGCATCCACACTTTCCCTGTCTCTAGCGAGACCTTCTCATAGTTGACGATCGAAGCGTAACTGATCGTCTTATGGTCAGGGTTGAGGACCCACATCCGCTCCAGAACGTAGTCGCGAGCAGGGTCGAACATTAGAACCCGCTCAACATCCTGATGAGTCACCATCAGCCGCAGCATTCGCTTCCCGCCAAACTCGAGGTAATCGGCTGCTGTAACCTCACTGTTTTCAAGCAAGGCTGGAATGTTCTCGCGTTCGTCCTGAAACGCCAGGCTACGCAGGTTTCGAATCGCACCCGTGGCTGTATCGGCAGGACAAATCGTGGCTCGGCCATAAGTCGGATCGTAGATCGTCATTTCGCCATCAGAAAGAATGAACACATCGTCTCGCTCCTCCTTCGCTGGAGTGACAAGACTTCCGTTGAATCGAAAGCGGTCACCCTTGCAAATCACGCTCTGCGAGACTTCTATCTTCGCCGCCGGCTTCACAATCGAAAGTTGCAAGTTGCTGTCGGTCGCAGCCACCTGCTTTTCATCTCTGCGAAGCGCTTTCGCAGCCTTGTCAATGCGGCGTTGAGACTCGGGAGAGTTCCACGTCGTCCGCGTAATAGTCGCCTTAAAAGATGACACCTGGGACCATCGCTGCTCGTATCCAGCCAGCACAAGCTTGACGGCTTCGTCAGTGTCTACCGCAGTTCCATTCACAGGACCTACACAATACGAGACGAAGAGAAGCAGAGGGGCAAGCATCGTCGTTCTCCGGGGATCGCCGAGTGAAACATCCTCAAGCGTGAAAAGTAACAGTCTCCGGAGCCCAAAGTCCAGAAAAAAGAGTCCCGGAAGTTTCGGCCTTCACTACCTACGGCATGATTACTGTGGGGGCAGCGGCAAAGTCGCTAACCCCCACCCAATCTGCTGGCAATTTGCCCTGCCGATGGATTATCATAAGCGGGAAGGATCTGCTGTGCCCTCCTGGTGAACCCTGCCTCACGAATACGGAAGCCCGCCATGCCAGCCCCCGTTGCTCGATCTGCGTGCTTTGTTGGGTTGATTCTATTGCTCACTTGTCCGAGCGTGGCTCAAGACTGGACGCGGTTCCGAGGTCCCAACGGCAGCGGGGTGAGCCCGGCCGCCACGGTTCCGGCCACTTGGACCGAAGAAGACTACAACTGGGTCGCCGAACTCCCCGGCGAGGGACACTCCAGCCCAGTGCTGTGGGGCGATCGCATCTTTCTGATGTCGGCCAAAGATGAAGGTCACAAGCGGATGGTCCTCTGCCTCTCGGCCGAGGATGGCGAATTGTTGTGGTCAAAGACGTACGAGGCCGACACACATGGCAAACACATTT